TCCGGCCGACTTCAGAATCTTGACGGCATGCGTATTCTTCCTTCATGCCCGTTCCACAGACACGGCTTTTACTAATTTTTATGTTTGAATCGGAATAAATAATGATAGGCCATTCAATATGGTGAAATTCAGCACTCGTTGGACAGAATGTTAGTACAAATGCACTCACCTTCGGTTCGTGCTTTGTACAACATTCTGTCCAACTCGTGCTGAATTTCACCATATTGAATGGCCTATCATTATTTATTCCTTAATTCAAACATGACCGTGCTCTATTCGATTTTCTCAACCAATCAGAATGCAGCATAGCCAATATAGAACGTTCTCTAATTCTCCATAGATGCACGACCATGCTCTATTCAATCTGCAATTTGCATTGTTTTGAGTGACGTCACATCTCAGCCGCACATCTGGGGCTCTGTCCTGGGATAGCTGTTATTTTTTACTCCCTCCGTAACTACTGTAACTATTTAACTATGGCAAAACTGCCCTAATTCACGTCACCATACTAGTCAATGGGCAAAAGGGCAAACGCCTGACTTTTTATCTCGAGTTATGGATTTATGTGGCCTCACTGGCCTATCTGAGGTTCTAAAGCTATGTCTAAGCTACATCTTGACACTAAACTCAATAGGGGCCAATCATCTACTTTTTGAAATAATTGGTCAATTGTGACACTACCCCCTCTCTCTGCAGACACAAATTGAAATTCACAAAAATGAAGGCAAAATTAATACGCCACTTGACTCGAAAATTTCCTTCAGATAACCCAAATAAACGCATTTTCAGAAGAAATGGCATGTTGCCATTGCAAAAAGATTACAACTGTGCCTACATACTAGCTTACTGACTCGTCATGATCACAATTGTGTTGGGACTACATTTATTTTTGAATACTACTTTTTTCTATTCAGCGGAAGTGACGTATTAGGGCATTTTGGCCTAATAGCCACATGGTTGGATGATTTCTGGCTTTAAATTGCGTTTTTCCAATTTACTAGAGTTTTTCAAGTAGTTTTGTGCAGTTTAAGAATATTCTGACAGCAATTATGAAAAATATGGCTACTTCATTACCCCTGGGGTCATTTTTCCAAGAACCCAATGGTTTTCCTTTAAATTTGACTAGTTTTTCATTTACATCATGAAATCCACTGCCTGATGGTGACATTTTTCAGTATCGTGTCAAGAAATTGAGTATTTTATTGCATATTGCGATTTTTAGCCAAAATCACTGAACCGTGAACCAGAAAATTGGACAAATTTGGCCCACTTTTTGGCAAAATCTTACTAAAATCATCACTTTTTCATACTTTATTCCATTCAACAACCTCCTGATTTGAAAAATGATGACAAATTTGATCAGTTTTGACTCTGGCCTAGAGAATTGGGACTTTTGAGATATTTCTTAGCTCGAATGTAGTCATTCAGAGTGAACAAATACATCAAAACTTGACACTTAACTCACCAATTTCTGACTGCACCCCCGATATGTACCTTCTTTCTATACTGGAAACCATAAGATGGAAAATTCAATCTTTATGATGAATAGCAACTCGTTGGCTTCCCCACTTACGACAACAAATGACATTTAGGGGTCACTAAGTACAAAATTGTAGCCAAATATCGTCAAAATCAGTGGTTTTTGGGGTAAAAAGCGAAAACTGCTGATTCAGCAAAAACATTAAATTTGTTCATGAAAATTCCCCTTTTTGCCTCCGTCCAAAATATGTTTCACACTAATAAACTTCAATTCTGGGCGATTCTGAGTAGTTTTAAAAAATGTTGGTCACTTTCACATGTGACTAATAGGCAAAACTGCCCTAATTCACGTCACCATACTAGTCAATGGGCAAAAGGGCAAACGCCTGACTTTTTATCTCGAGTTATGGATTTATGTGGCCTCACTGGCCTATCTGAGGTTCTAAAGCTATGTCTAAGCTACATCTTGACACTAAACTCAATAGGGGCCAATCATCTACTTTTTGAAATAATTGGTCAATTGTGACACTACCCCCTCTCTCTGCAGACACAAATTGAAATTCACAAAAATGAAGGCAAAATTAATACGCCACTTGACTCGAAAATTTCCTTCAGATAACCCAAATAAACGCATTTTCAGAAGAAATGGCATGTTGCCATTGCAAAAAGATTACAACTGTGCCTACATACTAGCTTACTGACTCGTCATGATCACAATTGTGTTGGGACTACATTTATTTTTGAATACTACTTTTTTCTATTCAGCGGAAGTGACGTATTAGGGCATTTTGGCCTATGGCTGACTTCAAGTTTATGGTATGAGTACCGTAATCCAACGCCAAATTCGAAAATTCATAACAATACTTTGCACATATGGCGTTCGTGACCAACTATAAAACGCTTACCCCCCATAGTGTTATATATCAAAATGTACCTGTTCATATAGGGGTTCGATTGATCTACATCAAATTATAGGGAGTCAGGTTACTTTTTGAGATATCAGCGTCCATTTATTGTGACTCGCGTTTGCTACCACTTCCTCAATTCTGATATGATGGGCAAACGCGTAGTAAACATGCTCACGTCGGAACTATTTTTGACCTACATCGCTATTTTCGTAATTCAAATGAAAGGTGAACTCCTCCTCTTTATTTTGATACCAAATAGTGGCATACTAGGTACCCTGGAAGCCAACTATGGCGTTATTTAGAACAATACCACGAGTTTTTAAATGGACTATATAGGGGTCATACCTTTTGGCGGATGGATATGGAACCTCATACCTTATATACCGTATAAAATCTAAAGCGGGGAGTAAAATAGAACAGCCCAAACAAATTCTAAAAATTTTCCGGCCGACTTCAGAATCTTGACAGCATGCGTATTCTTCCTTCATGCCCGTTCCACAGACACGGCTTTTACTAATTTTTATGTTTGAATCGAAATAAATAATGATAGGCCATTCAATATGGTGAAATTCAGCACTCGTTGGACAGAATGTTAGTACAAATGCACTCACCTTCGGTTCGTGCTTTGTACAACATTCTGTCCAACTCGTGCTGAATTTCACCATATTGAATGGCCTATCATTATTTATTCCTTAATTAAGGAGTGAGCGTGATAAGCTCTACTCAAAATGTATTCTAAGTGAACTCAACATGGGGGCCTAAACATCGTCAACTATTCATTCATAATTACAGGAGTGAACGTAACCAGCTCCATATTCATGTAGTCTAATGTGCCTATGTAGACGTCATCGTAGGCTCATGAATATCGAGTTCAATTGATCGAAACCGAAACAACACGTTCACTGAAGTGTGATTTATTAAGAACCACAAACGATTATTTGTATTTTTATATTCTAATTCATTTCCTTATGCTATGATGAAGTTTATTCAACGGGAGTCGCAATTATTTATATATACCGTACAATAAACACTTTAACAGTAAATACATACATCATGTACATCCGTTGGGCTAGACAAATGTGATGAGCATTTTGAGTTTCTTATTTACATCGCTAATCATTTAATACTTGACTTATTATTCATTTTTAATACTAAAGATTTAGTCATATGATAATGTTTATTCTCTAAATAACGATTCATAAATAAAAAAAATAAAATAAAAACACGATCTGGATTGAGTGACCAGGCAAAAAATTAATACTAGACAATGCATGCATACTATTTGTACAATACTGCAATAATATAACCACGCACTGACAAATGTCTAGATTATGCCATATTATGGCAAAATAGTGAAAAAAGTGTTTAAACAGTGTGGCATTTGAGCATCGTTTATAATACTGCTAGAGGTGTATATGATAGAAGGGATAATTGTCCTCAATACCCATGGCCCTAACTCACCTATGTATATGTACAGAAGTGTCTCAAGGGAAAAATATTGTAGGAAACGCCCACACATCATTCCTGAAATTCGATTCGATCGCACATACATGTACATCATTTTCCGAGACACAAAAGTGCGAATTTATCTTTAACCGTAAATCGCATGAATGAGATATTTAGATAATTAAATCGTCTCTAGAAATTGATGGTACTGGACAAGTTCCACAGAGATACTAAGTCTAAAACCATGTTAAAAGTATCATTATAAACCTGATGTGGAAAGACTCGCGAACGGTTCGCCTACACATCATCCATGAGGTCACGTGACATACTAAACATAGGGTGTAACTGACCATGATTGAGCAATCAGAAAACAACAATAAGTGGCCTTTTTAAGTCCAACCCATAGTTTAAATACAAATTCAGATCAACTGTAGATATCTGTTTACATTATCTATTTATATTATAGTTAAAAACTCATGCTACCAATAATTTTCACAATACAGTATGATAAAATTAAATTCATAAAAATATATATTTTGAAATTATTGCAACTACAGAATATGTATGTTTAGAGTTACAATCAAAGATAGAAAAACAAAATAAAGGCTGAGAAAAGTGCATGCAATAATTATGATTTCCCAACCAATGTGTCTGTTCCTATTCAGAAATATCCAATGAAATGCATGATATCAAAGAATGAGAGGTTATTGAAGAAATAATGAGTTTTTGATGTAAGTGTACTCAAAAGTTTGGTTAAAAGAGACGCTTTAGAATTATAAATTTATACTAGATGTTGATATTTACTTAACTACAGAAAAATCTCTTTACCTCGTAGCAAGCATTTTTAGATACGTCATGAGAAATAATAAATATGAGAGACAAAAATATAATGAATCTAGACTTCTTGTCAAAGTAGCTCACCATGTCTGATTCTACATTCCTATTGTATATAGGACTCCACATTTATTCACTTTATTGAATCATGTTGATGTGTAAAGTGCTCACCATAAATAAATGACACAAGTCTTTATTCTATCACCATTTCCAGACCATGGTGATTTGAGACTTCACAGTTTCCAATAATGTCTAAATACACATCTCTTAAGTTTTGTATATTTTACATTGTGTATACTCTCATCCACTGATGTATAGCCTCTAGAAAATTCTCTTCTTTTTAACATGGGAAAATCCTCACTTCAGCAAATCCAGGTGTCATTTATTTATGGTGAGCACTGCTATCTTCATTAAGAACTTAAGTTATCAATCTCTGTCTGTTCACATCTCAATCAAATTCAAATGTCCGAATGTTTCATCGAATCTAAAGAGAGCTTCATCGTCTGCTTGCTTCATCCAATTTAACGTGAGCTTCAATGTCTATTTGTTTACTGAATCTAAATAAGAGATCCAAAGTCTGTGTGTTTCTATCCAATAGGGTATTCATTCCAGATCGAGAACTTATCTTTTTCATCTTAAGCTTACACTCAGCTCACGATAAAATATTTTCTAAAATATATTAACAATGATAGTCACAGGTTGTAATTCTTAACATCTTTTGTGGTATTTTCATGTTATCAACTCCATCAAGACTTGGCAAATTACCAACGATGAACACGCCATCTTTAAGGTTAGAAAGACACTAGGTAACACAATTGACAGCAGATCTGGAAAAAATATATATTTAAATGAAATGTTGAGACAAATTCTGGGGATTTTAAATGTTCATTCATTTTTGCATACTTGTAAACAGTAATATATTGTGATTGCCTTAAAATCAGAGTTAATCTGGGTAGCTCTTGGGAGCTCATTTTTGGTATTTAAGAGGTTCACAATTGGGTACTAATAAAAAAATACAAAAGGGAGGTGAATTGCGATGAGTTTGTATAAAAGCAGCTTCAGACTCTACACATACCAGGTTGATAAGAATGTATTAATTTGCTTATTTTGAAAATGAAAAACTGTACAGATATTAAACAATGTAACTAATGTGTAATTGTATATATGTTTATTCTTGTATTACAGTTTTAAATAAAAAAGGAACCTATTAATTGCCTGTATTCAACCAGTTTTTGATTCAATTACTAAGAGCAAAAATGGATTGCATATACATAGTAACCATGAATTTCCAAACATAAAGTGGAGGCTTACCTCTCCAATTCGATCCGTGTCACCTTGTTGATTCAATAATTGGCATTGGTTTTTGGACGACAAAGAAGACACTCTCGTACTCATACTTCAACATTGACCTTGGATTCTGTGTGTAAGTTGATGCAACATTTGTGTCTTCTTTCTGAAAATAAAGTAAGATAACATCACTTCTAGAGATGGTCAGTCGACAGGAAGGAAGAACAAGGCATTAACACGCAAAATGTCACCACCTACCATTTGCTGCAGATACCAAATGTCAGACACTGAATGCCAAACACAAAAAGTTGGAGACTAACAATATGTCACCACTTGTGGACATAATAAAGCTAATTTCATGAGGAACGAGCTGAGGACATAAATTAGTGTACAACGGTGTAAATTAATACTGTTACGTTCGAAAATAACAGAAAGTAAAAACAGCAATTAAAATATGATAACAATATATTTATACTTTGAAAACTAAATAATATAACAATAATATAAAGGAGGTTTAATACTTAAGTGATGTCCAATCAATGGTACGGCTTATTCTTGATGTCGATAAATGTCGTTGACGATCCTTGAGAATGATCCAGATCACGAAATGTTTCAATAATCGTTAATAGTTCTCCAATGTTTGTAATAATCCAATAATGTTTGTTGTAATCCTATAATGTTCGTATCCAATAATGTTTGATGATAATCCACAAATGTTTGATGATAATCCACAAATGTTTATGATAATCCACGAATGTATATGATAATCCGTATATAGTGTGTTTTGTAATATATGTCCATATGAAGTCCTCAGGTTGTATATTTGTAGTGTTATAAATGTTCCCACAGTAGGTGTCTATAATATTCCGCTAAGAAGATGTCCTTTTGATAAACTTTGAAATTCTGCTTTATTTAGTTCCTTTGAGATGTCCAGTTATGATTACTTAATTATCTGCTAAAGAGAGTCACTGTGCTGTTCTTTTTATAATGTGAAAGAATGATCCAGAAACGAATCTTCTGGAACTTCATCTTGATTGGACATCTTTAGTGACATGATTACATTTTAATGAATGGTTATAATTTCTAGAACTATCTGGATGGTCAAGGGTTAATGAATCATTCAGTTCAGTTTTGTTTACAAGATACAGTGTATAATGTCATTGTGACCTTGACCTAAGATCTCTAATAAAGAATAGCTCAACATATGTAGCAAGCATAGATTACAAATTAAACTATAAGTGAATATAGTCGAATATAATATACATGTAGCTCACTACTGTAACACCTCCCTCCTTAAAAGAAAAGTTTTGAATGCAATGCAAAACTTTTACAATAATATCTTGAGTAGCGAGCGTTACAATTTCTAAAAGCGAGGTTGAGACGTACATGACATTTGCTTACAATAGTCTTTTTATATGAAGTATATTTACAAGTATATAATACTTTCTATCGTTACAGTGTGAGTACAATTTAATAACATATAATGTTTTGTAATAATGTATTACAATAGTATCATACTACAATGGTATCAAGCTAAGTTATGCATCAAGTCATAAATACAATACATGCAATAGATCATATAACATGTACAATAGCATACATTTTTGAGTCTGACAAACACAAAACTAGTACAATGTTTTAAATTATCACATGATCTTATGTAAGTATGTCTAATAGTACAATCTCGTATTATCTAGTGATCTTGTGACACTATTTAATGATCACCTATGATGCTCACATAATCTTAATACAATCTTATAGTTCACATAATATCAATTTCACTATTTAGGCAAATGTTTTATATATTGTTAAAATAAAGTGACAGTTATCACAAATCTCTAATTTGCCTACCATATAATATAATCTTCATGAGTTAATCATTATAATTTACAATATCTGACTCTTGAATAACATACATGTATAGTTGTCATTGACATACAAGTTTGGCCTATGAGCTAAGAGCACAAGCTCATGTTGAGTAAAGAAATTTTATCACGCTCAACATACTTTTTCATCATGTGTAGCTCTCTACACCTCACAGGGGTAGTTCTATCAATGCAAATGAAATCATTCAGCACTGAGTCAGATTGTAAGTCAGATATGAGCTCCTTTGGTAGCTCCACTAATGTGAAATTGTTGATTTGTGATTTCACAATATACTTGGTTTTGCTATTCCTAAGCATAAGATGTGATTTTATTTCTAGAAACTGTGTGGCCATAGATAGAATAGTGAGCAGATATTGATAATCAGATTTTGTTTTTGGTAATGGACCAACACAGTCAATAAGAACCTTACTAAATGGTTCATCAAATGCAGGTATAAGTTGTAAAGGAGCAATTGAGATTTTCTGGTTAGGTTTCCCTACCATTTGACATGTATAACAAGACCTACAATACTCTTGGACATCTTGTTTTAATTTGGGCCAATAGAAATGATTGAGTATTTTATGGTATGTTTTAGTTACTCCTAAATGACCTGCCATGGGAGAATCGTGAGCTAGACTCAGGATTTCCTTATGATATAATTTTGGGACAACAATTTGATGTACAATTGCCCAATCATCTTCAGGGGAAGCTTCAGGAGGTCTCCACTTTCGCATTAATATGCCATCCTTTTTGTAGAAACAAACAGGGACCTTGACAGCTTCATCAATAGTAAGACATCTTTTATGAAGATCAATGAGTGATGGATCATGCTCTTGTTCATAAATTAACATGTGTTTAGAATGAGGATCATTTTTCAAAGAATCACTATCAGAAATAGAGGATGAAACCTCAGAACTAGAAGAGGATGAGACCTCAGAACAAGGAGGGGATGAAACCTCATGAACACTAGCAGAAGAAGATGAAACTTCATCAGAACTAGCAAGAGCGGGCGAAACCGCATTAAAATAGTGATCCTGCTCAGAAGGTGAATCACCTCTGGCAATAGGCTTTTTCAATGAAGAATTTGCCTCAATAGATGACTGCTTGGCTTGAACAGAAGGCTGTTTCAATGAAGAATTTGCCTTTAAAATAGGATAAGGATCATCTTTAACAAGTGGTGAGTGACATTCATCATCAAACAAGGAGCTTAAAAACCCACTATCAAAGTCATCTCCCACAGACGAATCCCCGCTATTAGCTAACTTTTTAGCCATAGCCCTAGTAACAGCACAAGCAGGATATATATCAGAGTCCTCTTGGACAGAATCCTCAATAGAACAAGGCTGATCAGAAACAATGGGGTCTAATGATACCTTACCCCCAGCTAAATCATTGCCTAAAAGCAATGCGACTCCTTCAACAGGAAGTTGTGGCCTAACACCAACAATAACTGGCCCTTTGACTAACTCTGATGTGATATGAATACGATGGAGGGGAACTTTAGTAAATCCTAATTCAATGCCTTGCATCAAAATATGGGTACCTGTGAATGACTCCTCAGATAAAGGAAGAACACCTTCTAACAACAAAGTCTGAGATGCACCCGTGTCTCTAAGAATCTTAATTGGCTTTGAATTGGTATCATCACTTGACAGTGACACAGATCCTTCCGACATGAAAGGCTTATAATCCTCCATAATATCACTATGAGTAGATTTCTCAGTATGAGTATATGAATCCCAAACAATGGGCTTTCTTGAAATGGGAACAGTAGCACAACCATTTGAATGAGCAGAACCAGACATCTCTCTTCTATTCTTAATCCTATAGCATTCAGAAATAAGATGACCAGGCTTTTTACAATAGTTACAGGTGACATTTGATGTTGGACCTGACGATTTTGATTGATCTGATTTTGAGCTAAAACTCTGTGATGAATTAGACTGGTCTTTTGCTTTGTTTGATGTATTTGATGATGAGGACTGGTTTGATTTTGTATCATATGAAGGTTTGTTACCTTGATAACCTCTAAAGTTAGGATTGCCCTTGATAAAACTACCCTTATGAGTAAGAGCATAATCATCAGACAGGGTGGCAGCTTGACTTAAAGTTTCTACCTTGTGTTCATCTAAGTAAGTTCTAATGTGATACTGAACACAGTTTTTGAATTGTTCTATTAGCAAAAGCTCTCTGAGCTTTTTGAACTCTTCAGATACATCTTTAGAGACAAGCCACCTGTCAAAAAGCTGCTCTTGCTCTCGGGCAAACTCAACATGTGTTTGGTCACTCTGTTTGTGGGCATTTCTAAATTTTTGTCTGTAAGCTTCTGGCACTAGTTCATAAGCTTTAAGAATCGCATTTTTAATAAGGTCATAATCAGAGCATACTTCTGCTGAGAGAGAGGCAAATATTTCACTTGCTTTACCAATAAATACACTCTGGAGCATAACTGGCCATGCAGATTTAGGCCAGTCTAGGCTCTGAGCGACTTTTTCAAAATGTGTAAAGTATTTATCAACATTTTTCTCTTGAAATTTAGGTACAAATTTGAGAAATTTTGAAGCGTCAAACCTATTTTCAAAATGTTGATGCATAGTAGCATGTTCATCAGTTTTTGATTGAGCTTCTAATTCAAGACGTTTTAATTCAACTTCTTTCTCTTTTTGAATTTCTTGTTCTCTCAATCTTATTTCTTTTTCATTTTGCATTTCTTGTTCTCTTAATCTTATTTCTTTTTCATTTTGCAATTCTTTCTCTCTCAATTCTCTAATTTCTCTTTCTTTTTGAATTTCTAACTCTTTTTCTCTCAATTCTCTTTCATTTTGCAACTCTTTTTCTCTCAATTCAAGTTCTTTAAGCCTAACAGGATCAGTATGCTCGACATGCTGGGCTGGCTCCTCAGGCAGAAGTGATTCTGCGACCAAATATTGCAGTACAAAGTTTTTAATTGTACCTTTATTGTATGAGCTTTTGACTGACAGGCCAACATGTTTTGCAATTGCCAGAAGTTCAGTTTTCTTTAAATCATCAAATTCCTCCAAAGAGGGCGCTTCTAAAAATGTCTCAACCTCAAAACTCATTTTCAATTAATTGCTGTCTTCACAATTTAAATGTACAAGTTTTGGATTTCTAATTTTGAAATATTTGAATTTTAGCTTGTTGTAGTTAGATCCCGGACGAGCCCCCAATTTCTGTTACGTTCGAAAATAACAGAAAGTAAAAACAGCAATTAAAATATGATAACAATATATTTATACTTTGAAAACTAAATAATATAACAATAATATAAAGGAGGTTTAATACTTAAGTGATGTCCAATCAATGGTACGGCTTATTCTTGATGTCGATAAATGTCGTTGACGATCCTTGAGAATGATCCAGATCACGAAATGTTTCAATAATCGTTAATAGTTCTCCAATGTTTGTAATAATCCAATAATGTTTGTTGTAATCCTATAATGTTCGTATCCAATAATGTTTGATGATAATCCACAAATGTTTGATGATAATCCACAAATGTTTATGATAATCCACGAATGTATATGATAATCCGTATATAGTGTGTTTTGTAATATATGTCCATATGAAGTCCTCAGGTTGTATATTTGTAGTGTTATAAATGTTCCCACAGTAGGTGTCTATAATATTCCGCTAAGAAGATGTCCTTTTGATAAACTTTGAAATTCTGCTTTATTTAGTTCCTTTGAGATGTCCAGTTATGATTACTTAATTATCTGCTAAAGAGAGTCACTGTGCTGTTCTTTTTATAATGTGAAAGAATGATCCAGAAACGAATCTTCTGGAACTTCATCTTGATTGGACATCTTTAGTGACATGATTACATTTTAATGAATGGTTATAATTTCTAGAACTATCTGGATGGTCAAGGGTTAATGAATCATTCAGTTCAGTTTTGTTTACAAGATACAGTGTATAATGTCATTGTGACCTTGACCTAAGATCTCTAATAAAGAATAGCTCAACATATGTAGCAAGCATAGATTACAAATTAAACTATAAGTGAATATAGTCGAATATAATATACATGTAGCTCACTACTGTAACAATACTCAGTCAATTGAGATCCACTTGAAAATTATGTCACATCTCTTGCTATTCTATCTCATATTTACAATCTATGACTCACTTTGAAACTTAAAAATTTCTAAAGCCTTATCGGTCTTTTTTGATTCCCAGTGATTTGCTCTGTAAGAAAAGACCACCAGTCTTTTGCTGGTTTTGAAACATGAGTGCACAGCAGATATACCTACCAGATACTTGAATCCTATTTTCTCTATGACATGCTTCAGGTCTTCATAACTCAACTCAATGGATTCCTCATTAGTCAAGTCAGCAAAGTGGTACAGCAATGGACCTAGAATATCCAATAGACTATACTTAAAAACATGGTCATGTTGCAAGCACTTTCCCTTTAAATAAACCATTAATGACTTTAATGACACATTGTTAATACTTTGCAATCAGACAGGCAACATTTTATAAAGATTTTAAGACATTTGCACATGCATTAAAGTTACATCTAATTATTGTGCAATGACAGCGACATAAAATCATGGAAATCTGTATTTCTAAAATTTCAAAATAAAGGTTTTTTGTGTAGTTTTCCTCATTTAAAGGACAAATGCTACTTATTTTATTCTGTGCATTTGAAATTAATACACAATGATTGGTGATTTACCCCCCTCAAGAAAGCAAACCAAAGTTGCCCTTTGAACAATTTGATAAATCGTGTTTATAATAACAAATTCATCAAAGTCATACATCCAATCTAAGTGAGGAAAAATCAAGATTTAAACAGAGACAATCTTTCTAGTGGTATTGTATGTTTTTTCAATTTAGTAAATGGAGTATTTGATAATCAAATGGTCATTACTTTTGGTGTCAAAACAGTGCATAATTTAAATATTTGAAAAAAAAACATATTTCATTCAAATTATAATTTTTCTTCAAAAAAGGTCTTGTCATAGAACTTTTGAAGACACAAGAAATAATATGAGAACAATGAACAGAGAAGAAATATTTCAAACTGTGCGTCCTGAGCCATTCAAATAACTAACAAACGTGGGCTTAGGTAAATGTCTATTTTCCACTAACCTAGATTTATCCATACTCCACCAGGCTTCAATATGTGCCATATCCTCTCCAGATAGGTAATGACATTGTGGGCAGTATCAATGAAGAACACAGTAGCCACACAGTCCCAGTGCTCTGAAAATGTTTAAGTAACCCAATACAAAAAAACAAGGCATTAACATGCAAAATGTCACAAACTGCCATTTGTTACAAACACTGTCCACAAAAAGTTAGAGACTATAGCAATATGTCACCACCAAGGCCATATGAAAAACAGCAAGTTTGCCTGAAATAAATTAATTTCATTCAATAATGTATTTGGGTGTACCATCTTACCAAAAATGTGAAAACAGTTTGTTACTAGCACAGGCATGAATTTTAAAATGGAAAAAATTAAGGTAGGAGAATCTATTTCATCTAGCCATTATTACATCAATATCTGACTAATAACAACCAAGTTACATTGACCATGAATTGAACTACATCTTGGCATACTAAATAAATAAAGGCAATTCCACAGAGTAGCAATTCCACAGAGTAGCAACTCCACAAAGAAGCAAATCCCAATGAACAAATTGTTAATGAATTTGAAATATAATATTTACCATCTTCTGTTGAAGACCCTTGTAGGCCTACTTAAAAAGGCAACCAATAATAAAATATCAGAATTCCCACCCATTCAGCTAAAATACAGTATTGCAAATAAATGCTTTGAGTACCTTTCTCATTGTAGACCTCCAAGAAGTCTCCAGCAGCCATGGTGAAATCACTGCCAGGTGCAATTGCTGCAGGATTCACATCTGGGAATGTGATTGGTCTAGTTTGGTCAGCTGACTTTTTATTGTTACACCATTGGTGAACCCAAGGGTAAAGTGTAAAGCAGTCTGTGTCATTGCAACTGAAAATGAGGGAGATTATACATAAGCCAAATAGAGAATACACCAGTTTAAATTCTTAAATAAATGTTTTATTTTCACGAAATTGCCTGCATGTATCTATTGAGTGTGTATTAAAGGCCATATAAAATAGTAAAATTGACAAAAAAAGGAATCAATATCGCTTATATGTACCAGGTATTTTGTTGTATCATCTTATACAACACAACAATCAGCTGTAATACTGACAATCCCTCAATGTCAGTGATTGATCATGTTGTGGGCCAAGAGACAACTTATAATTCAAGTCAAATATTAGAGGATTAACAATTTCTAGGAATAGCACTATTTACTGTAATTTTAAATGACTGTGCAAAATTTTACATCATTACCTGTTAAGGATAAAGTTTGATGTGAACAGCATGAAAAGACTGAACTCATTGCCCTGGCAGACATAGCCACACAAGGCAATCTCATATGCTAGTCTCCCTAATCCTGCTCCTGGGACTAATACTGTTGGAGGACGGTTGGAACTGAAAAGAACATACATGTACATGTATACATGTTAGGTGTAAGGGGTTTCATTAGCAGCAGGCAACAGGTGATTTTAAGTGGTTGTTTTCACAAAAAAGGTTTTAGGGACTTTTCAACTTTTCCATGTTAAATTTATGATTTCCATTAATTTTGCCTGTATGTTTTCATTTATTTAGCCTGTTGTGAGAAATACTAGTGAAACCGCTGGGTGTATGAGAACAAGTAAATATACTATGTACATTCACTAAGCCAGAAAACCATTGATTAGCCTAGAATTATTTTATCATAAATAAGCTCAAATCTGAGCAGTGTTCTCAGTTTATGTGCAGCACTGTGTAAGCATAATTTTATAACACTATTTCTTCAATAATGAATAAGGCATTTTATCATGAATAAATATTTTAAGCTATACAGTCTAATGGTAGATTTTGTATTTATAAAAATACCTACTCTTTGTCCTTATTCAGGGGAACATACTGTTTGATTGCATCTACAACTGGTTGATAACATGTCTGACGCTCTTCTGCTCCATCAATACTCCAATCTCGCACTATTTGCTTCAACGTGGTCTTCAGTTTATCCATGTCAAAACCACTTGCAGGCCGTGTCACTGCTTCTAAACTATCTCCAACCTGAGATCAATAAAAGTAATTTAACAGTCTATGATTACACATAGGAGTGTCTTTATATAGTGCAGTTATCTCCCCAGTATTAAAGAAAGTGGGCCCAGCACCCACCTGAAATTTTGAAAATAGGCCTGCACCCACCTGAAAATCCATTTGCACCCACTTGAAAAAAAACATTTTTAAAAAACATTAAGAATAGCAAATAACAGTATACATCCGTATGACTTACAAAGTCATCATCGTCATCTCCTCTATGTTTCATATTTTCAAAGATATGATCTGTATTCTTGATAATGAGCTTGATGATCTCATAATTGTGGTTGATACACTGCCGTATGCTTCCAAGATGCTTTGAAAAATTTGGCATAAGCTGTTTGTGGTGCTTGGACAAGTGGCTGTAGAACTGATCTGCACGAGAAACTCTCTGGACAGAGTGGCATCTGAAAACAGAAGAACATACATTTGTACATGTGTGCCAATGATTTCATCCTCTGAATGCAGCATTTCAGACATCATCCATTACATTCCTTCGTTCTACCAAGAAGCAGCGATGGAGACACCTGATGAGTTCGGAATCTGAACACCTGCGCGCTGCGTCCCGGGGATAGACTATATCCTATTTAGTCTGAATTATATTCAGACTATAAGGCACCTATGTTAAAGTTTGGTAATTCTAAATATTTGTTTACATAGGAAGTGCTATTCAAAATGGCTGATTGGGTAAAATTAATTTGCAAATTTGTTACTTCAATTAGCTTTATTTCCACTTGACAATACGCTGTGTTACTTTTTATTGCATTTAATTGTACCTTACTATTTAATTGAAATTTTGTAATGTTTATTTTATTGAAAAAATGGTTCCTCTAATTGATAATTTTGTGCAAAAAATTTCACTGCAATTTCCACAGGAAAGTAGTACATCATAACAGACTGACTTCTAGTCAGTCTGTTGGATACATACTAGTCCCGGGGATGCAATGATGTCCTGGTAACTGTACTAAACGTATATATTATGAAATTATTACTCTAGACTAATCATCTTTTTTGAAAATGAATTAGAATGAGAAATTGGCCTATTTGCTTATTTGCTTTGATTCAAAAACTGCAAAGACAAATCTTGGACAAATAGAAATATTGGGCGATAATAAGTGAATTAAACTTTCAAACTATGTCTGCGACGGCAGTGGATATAATCTCAAGATGAAACTTGGCCAAAGTATTTCGTTAATTCGTAGTGACTAGATAATACCTGTAGTATTTGAATGCATTGATTATACGGACGAAATGCTCTCGTTCTTCTTCATCATCCAAAACACTAGCCTTACGCTTTGGGCTTGCCATGACCCTTGGCATGAATCGCCCAATCTAAAGTTTGTTGTTAGCTATTACGTTCACTCCCACATAACATCTCACAGGTTTTTAAGTGTTGGTCGCTCTTGTTAGGTGTTTGATAAGATATAAAATGTAAAAAATACAGAACCAGCCTGGTACATATTTGTTGAACAAGAAATACCGTGACTGCTGTCATTTGTGGATAAACTAAAAGTCAATCAATATCGAGGGAGTGTATGAAACAGCTAAATAGCAGCCATATTGGAAGACCAAACTTTTAGAAGTTGAAAACTTAAACAAAACTGCCTTTCTAAAGATGTTTTGAGGGGTTGATTGTAGTACAATCCTTATACATTTAATTCTTAGGTATGCATCTGTATGTTTAACTGTCCAGAAATCTTATTTATGACAGCTGGACTTTATTTTTTGAATTTAAATTTCGTTGCCATGATAATTATTCAATTATCGCCCACATCAGCCAGTTGCTCTAAGTCTAAATTCTCTAGACGGGCCTCTCCCGCCTCTAGTGACTTTGAGAGTATCGGTGTCTTGACCTTGAATACTAGTGAAAAATCGAAAATATGTAAACAAAGACCCAGAAGTGCATTAATGCACCTATAATTTCACATACATTAAAATTCCACTATGCTGAATTGTTGTGTAAAGACCCTCGATAACAAGTCGCTACTACAGTCTCAGCTGTAGGCCTAGTGGGGTAGCCATAATGGCTCAGGGGTAGAGCGTCAGACTTGTGAGTGAGGGTCTTGGGCTCGATTCCTATAAGGGCGTCCATGGACGAGTGTGCCCTCATGCCATTACATGTACATCAATTGTACTGCCATGGGGTTTCAATTAATCTAATTTGTTGTTAGCTATTACGTTCACTCCCCCATAATATCTCACAGGTTTTTAAGTGTTGGTCGCTCTTGTTAGGTGTTTGATAAGATATAAAATGTAAAAATTCAGAACCGGCCCGGTACATATTTGTTGAACAAGAAATACCGTGACTGATTAATCTAATTGAAAGCCCATGGTACATGTGGTACTGCCAAGTCTCTGTCAAACATTTTGTGCTTAATTTTTTTCTTTTTAATTGGTAAAATCAGATATAATTAATGCTCTCTGGTAAAATGAAGCAGTAGACTATTCTTAAAATTGGAGATTATATTATTTCTGTTCAAAGTCTGCTAAAGCAAACATACAATTATCAAGACTCTTATATTAATTTTGACATAGATTCTTACTTTGAGGGGAATGGATATCAATTGGGGCCATTAAAACTTACATCCTTATAAGGTAATACTTTATATTTACTCATGCACATACATGTTTGGATGAACATTCAATGATTTGGAAATTGTTGACTTCATTTTGTCTCCATCTCTCTTATTGAACCAGAGTGTTTCTTATTCTAACCACAGAATACAGTTTATCAGTTCTTCGCATCCCTCAGAAAAAAAAAATTTCAAACAAACTGATGTAGTTTCATTATTATCATATTTATTGGATTTTTCAGGTTCATCATTTTAGATTACATCATGCAACAAGGCTACGAATCAGACGAAAGTGATCCATTTAGGAGCCAGACAGAGTTTCCATATGATACAGACTCCAATAGGACAGGTAAGTTTCATTCACAGTTACTATACTACTTCAGGTCCTAATACTTTATGTACTGTCCATTTAATAGCAAACCTTACACCCTTCCATTGCGTCGGGATGTCTTGTGATGTTCACGCTGACAGAGAGTGCTGTGCATATACACGCTATAGATGGAACTGCAACAAAGATATAAGACATAAGATATAAGTACACGTAAGGATTGACTTTTTAAAAGTTCTCGCAGTTTTCAATATTTTTGCTCAGAGCATTTCATGCCATACCTACATGTACTTGTATAAACAATTCTGAATTTGTTTCAAAATAATCATTTGATTTTAAGGTTATCTGTCCAAATATGCCCTGCTTCAAATTCAACATTAAGTTTGTTGTTGCTTTGGAAAAGAGACAGCACAATTGAAGTAAAACCTGTTTCATCCAAAGATGATTGGGACCGTCCAAATTAGGAGGTGTTTACATTTCAAGGTGGTTTTGCATTCATGAGATTCTGGAATCTGAGGAAAAGTGAACACATTTTCAATAAATATTTATATAGTACCTTTTAACCATTACAGCTTTATGGTGTTTCAGTAGTTTGAAAAATCTGATTCAAAAGAATTTACTTGTCATCATGCTGGAAAGCCCCACTATGACTGAGACCATTGATGTTTTTTTCTATAAGTTCTGATATTATGACAAATAAGTGTTTAACTTTCAAATATTTGAGCAATTTTGTGTGAAACATGTTATATTTTTTGAAAAGTGTTCAGACGAGACCGGTTGTTCAAATTGAGAGGTGTTCATTCCAAAAAAGTGTTCAGATTGGGAGGTGTTCAGATTAGCCAGGTGTTCGGATATACAGGTTTTGCTGTTTAATTAATTGTTTTAATACTGTATTTTTTGATCAGTACTTAAAGAACAAACACAAAACTACAAAGGACTATCAGACAATCAGTATCAAAACCGAGCATAATTGGCACAAATTACACATATACTTGGGCCCTGATAGAACTCTCAAGTACTTGCAATTCTAGAATTACTAAATATAGTACTTTCATTAATACTTTCATAATCTTTATTCCTTGGCTTTTTTTGCAGATATAACTTTTCAATAATGCTAAATGGTGCCATACATAAGAATAAATACAGTAGCTTACAATTTCTATCTGTGATATTGTTTTTTCTTTGATTGGTATGCTCTTTGAAATAAGTTATTTTGAAATTAAATCATCTACTTTACACACGCAACTTAAGTATATAATAATAATATAATATTACATTCATAATAATTATAATATATTAATAATAATTAAGAATTAATAGACACACACCTTAATATGTACTCTTCTGTTCTTAAATGTTGGCACAACCTGTAATCATTACAATAGAGTGGCTGTTTCACCTCTCTATTGTCTTTACTTTAATCAGTCTTTCATTTACTTTGTTTTCCTCAGTTCCCAGAAATGATTTCCTGCTTGTTATTGTATCAAAATCTCCATTGTAGAAAACAAACATATTTTCTATAATTTATTTATTGTTTAGCTTTGGTTAACTGTTCACCTGGCTTAAATAGTGTTTACTTTGAGTCAGGTGTTCAAAGTTCATTTGTCTAACTTTGGTCAGTTTCCCTTGTATAATATACCATTTGTCTAATCTTTTAAATCATATACATAACATTCTATTGAATGGTTTTAACAATGCAAATGATTTTGTTCGATTAAACATTTCTTCAATAAATATTCTGTTAACATTAAATAGCAACAAGTCTAATGGATTCTGCAACTGTTGTTGTAAAGTTTTATTGGAAAATATTCGATCTTTTCCAATGATGGGCCATTTGATTTTCACTCTGTATAATAGGCTAGTATTAAATTTAAGACTGTTTATGAAAATTATTGGTATTTTGTCTTTTTCTGTTGCTTTTCTAAAATGTCTTTCATCCCATTATTCTATAAACTACTGAAGGCCAAACGGCCAAACCAAGCTTAAAAGAGGAGGTAGCTATATATAGGCTATATCCATGTGTTGATTGTAAGACGACAAATGTACCAAGGAATGTGAATTGACAAATACAAATAATATTAAATATTGATATCTACAAACTGATACATTAGTCAAATACAATGATGTAAAGTGCTTGAGTTATATTTACTTTGTATTACCTTACTTATAGAAGTACAATGTATCTTCCTTTACACAAAACTAGGGTCGATTCATTTACATTCATGTTAACAAGCAAAATGTATGGCAGTATTTAAAAAACTAGAATAACATGTAAAGCAATTTTTGAGCTGCCATGGAATGTTTCAACCATTTTAAATCATAGTCTTACTCAGTGTATTTAATCAAGATCTGATGTGGAACTTTCATTAATAATTCAAAAATGTGTTTTTTACTTAGTATATGTATTTTTGAAATACTTTAAATCCTTTTGAAACCAATGGTACAAATAATGATTCTTTAGAAAGCATATACCCATAACTTCTTGAATGTAGAGACATAATGATATACTTTTAAAACAAAATGTAAAGTTGAAATCATTGTTACCATACATCAGTACATATCTATATATGGTTTTATGACCATGATCATGATAAATCAAATGGTACCTCCCTCCCAAAGTGAACTATTTCATTGCAACTCATATAACTTTTAATCACTTGTAAATCTCCAGTAATACCTTAATGCCTCAAATAAAAGCATTCTTTAACTCACATTGAGTGGATTTTACAGAAGATATTCAATTGAATTATTTCATTTTGAATTCCAACTTGGAACTAAGGAAGGAATAAATAACAATAAATCAGATACAAAATCAATTAAATCATGAATTAAGAATTGAGAATGGATAACATGGCGGATGACACCTCCACATCTAGAGGTGCAACCAGACCAATGGTGCACTTTGGTAAGTTTAAGAGGCATCGGTGTCAGTTATAATGGTACAATTTGTTTTCCTCCTGATATGGTTACATCAGGAGAAGGATTCATGTTTATTTATGATTAACCAACTGCAAAATCAGATAATTATGTTCAAGGTGTTAATTTTGATTGTAATTTGCTGCCCTGTCAACCCTCACGCATTAGGCGTGATTGTCACGCATTTGCTGGAAAAATAGAAATCACGCATCAATTTAGCGTGTATGGTCAAAGCTTGAAGGAAGGTGTTCAACATTTGGAAGTCACTCATGTTAGATGGTCCCAAGTTGACAGCCCTGAATTTGTATTTACAGAATCTCCACAAACTGAGATTACTGACCTTCCTGGAAGACCTGACATCACTATCCACTGCAATAAATGTCGAGTTTATGTGGATCTGCGCTCCCTGAATGAGCACAGAGCCTACCACAAAGCTCTCCAGACAATGAAGTTTAAAGTGAATGACCTCCCAGAGGATTTAAAAGCTCTCCAAAAAAGAAGGATGGGGCTTATGCGAAGATTGAAGAAAAAAGCTGGAAACGAGACACCGCTAGATACAAAGGATGTGACAAAAATTGATGCAGCTTTTGATTTGCTGAAGGCCAATATTGAAGATACATATGAAGCCCTGAGGTATGTACAGTAGGACCTTCCTTAGTGGACCTTGATCCCTTATCACTAGTAATATAAATGCTTCTGAAGTTTGAAAACACAGTTAACATGAAAACCTCTGGTTGAAGGTTTCCCTCCTATTCACCTTACATGTTTAACTGTAAATGTAAACATTATTTGTAAATGAAATGATAATACAAAATGTGTAAAACACATAATTGTCTTTCAATATTTGGGAATGAAGTTTAGATATTACAAACATGTTACCCAGCATATTTAAAAAAATGATGACAATTAAGACCACTGTTTATTGGTTAATTGTAAGAAAAGGGAAATTGCCAAGAGAGGAAAGAGCAAAGACAAAACAAACTAAAAAAGCAAAAGTCCAAGAGCACAAAATAGTCACAAGGAAATCAAACCTCAGACTTCCCAAAGTATAATCTAATGCATAAGGAAAACAATGTCTTAACACCCACTTACCACCTATTGTAATAATTAAATGATTCTCTTTTAGGCAAGTGAAACACATTGTTAATACTGATCTTGCTGGAGTCGCCCTCAACTGTAGCACAGCATGCGCTTATGCTGTGGGAATCTGCTCCGATCAGAATGGTCGTTGGAAGAGTACAATGGAGGATACTAGAGTGTTCCAAGATTATTTTGGCAACGATGTGGATAAATGTTTTTATGCGATATATGATGGCCATAATGGTCGATATGCAGCTGAAATGGCTGCAAGTGAGCTACACCATGCTATGCTATGTGAAATGTCTAAATTTGACCCTAAGACAAAATGTACATGTACATTCAATATGGCTGATGATGAGAATGCTAAAGTGAATGATATCCATCGCCCAGTGTCTAAGGATAGCGAAAGAGTTCAGCTGTATGAAGCTAGCACACACATGATACAACAAATCATTCACAATTGTGAAGATAACCTGGACAGTCTAAAACCTCACTCTGGGAGAATTTCAAAACCAAACACACCAAAAACCCCTAAACCTGCCAAAACCCCAGATGTGAAGGACTCAAATGAAGAAAAGAACAAAATTAAAAAGGAAAAAAAAGCGTAAAGAGAAAGATCCTTTCTCTGAAAGAGTTTCAAATGCCTTTAAAACAGCATACAAAGCAACAGACCTTCTCTTGTCATATGGGAAGGATGAATCATCAAGAGTGCGCTGGAGTGGTTGCTCTGGACTAACATGTATCATACAGAATACACGTGATCCCGCAGACATTGATGGCCTCTTTGAACAGGATGAAGATGTGCACTCCACCATTGAAGAGAATGAGAAAGAGGAAACACCACGTAAACCAAAACCACCAGTCCAACTCGGACTTATTCATCTGGCAAATGCTGGTAAGTTAAGATTATTAAATGCCTCAATCATGCCAGGCCAATACTATGGCAAATGGCACTAAAAGGCATGAGAGGCCATTTCTGTGCTTAATTATTGTACTTAGAACCATTATTATACAGTTTGTTTCTAGTTCACTGTCTGATGTGCTAAAACATATATTCATGTGCTAAACCATTGGTTTCTATGAACACATGAACTTTCATGAATGTGCCATACTGTATATTCACGCGGTACTAACTTCGACCGTTAATTTGAATTTTTGATCTAACAGATGTTTGAAAATCAAGGATTGCGAGTCTAATACTGTACCATTATTCTTCAAACTTGTTCCATTCAAAGCATAACAAAAATATGGCTGGTATCTGTATCTGTTGGTACATTATGCTGTTAAACAGAGTCCCTACTTCCAGTGGCATTTTTGTCCCCAGCAGTGAGAAGGGCTTCTTACCAAAACGCTGCTAAAATGAGGGACTCTTTACAATAAAACAATGCACCAACTGAAAGGCAATTTGATATTACATGAATTCGAACATGTTAAATGTACATTTTCTATATCTACTTAAACCAGGTAATGTACATGCTCTACTGGTGAGGGACAACAAAGCCTATATGCTGTCTAAGGACCATACACCCAAGAACCCTAAAGAACTGAGCAGAGTTATCAAGGAAGGTGAGTGAAAATATTTTTCGATATCCTTTAAGTGCACATTGTTGGGTCATTAAAAATTATGATTTTCAATCACAACATGATGATGAAAACAGTTTATGGATTGATAATCATGGGTAATAATGTAGATTGGAAGGGCCTAACTGGTTAACTCTACCCTAACATACTGACATACTCTAAAGTTAATTGCTAATTTAATTGAAAATATTCACTCGCAGAGTTAGTGAACACCTAACATACTGACATGCTCTAAAGTTAAATAAAAAAGACCAACATCGATATAGAAACCTTACTTTCTGTTAATATTTCAATTACTAATTTAATTGAAAATATTCACTTGCAGAGTTAAGTGAACATGTTTCCCTAACATACTGACATACTCTAAAGTTAAATAAATAAAAAGACCAACATCGATATAGAAACCTTACTTTCTGTTTATGTTTCAATTGCTGATTTAATTGAAATATTCACTTGCAGAGTTAATAAGTGAACATGCTTCTCTAACACACTTAAACTGACATACTCTAAACTTAAATAAAAAAGACCAACATCGATATAGAAACCTTACTTTCTGTTAATATTTTAATTGCTAATTTAATTGAAAATATTCACTTGCAGAGTTAGTGAACACCTAACATACTGACATACTCTAAAGTTAAATAAAAAAGATCAACATCAATATAGAAACCTTACTTTCTGTTAATATTTTAATTGCTAATTTAATTGAAAATATTCACTTGCAGAGTTAGTGAACACCTAACATACTGACATACTCTAAAGTTAAATACAAAAGACCAACATCGATATAGAAACCTTACCTTACTTTCTATTAATATTTCAATTACTAATTTAATTGAAAATATTCACTTTCAGAGTTAGTGAACATGCTTCCCTAACAAACTGACATACTCTAAAGTTAATTAAAAAAGATCAACATCAATATAGAAACCTTACTTTCTGTTAATATTTCAATTGCTAATTTAATTGAAAATATTCACTTGCAGAATTAGTGAACATGCTTCCCTAACATACTGACATACTCTAAAGTTAATTAAAAAGACCAACATCAATATAGAAACCTTACTTTCTGTTAATATTTCAATTACTTATTTAATTGAAAATATTCACTTTCAGAGTTAGTGAACATGCTTCCCTAACATACTGACATACTCTAAAGTTAAATAAAAAAGACCAACATCGATATAGAAACCTTACTTTCTGTTAATATTTCAATTACTAATTTAATTGAAAATATTCACTTTCAGAGTTAGTGAACATGCTTCCCTAACAAACTGACATACTCTAAAGTTAATTAAAAAAGATCAACATCAATATAGAAACCTTACTTTCTGTTAATATTTCAATTGCTAATTTAATTGAAAATATTCACTTGCAGAATTAGTGAACATGCTTCCCTAACATACTGACATACTCTAAAGTTAATAAAAATGACCAACATCAATATAGAACCTTACTTTCTGTTAATATTTCAATTACTAATTTAATTAAGAATATTCACTTTCAGAGTTAGTGAACATGCTTCCCTAACATACTGACATACTCTAAAGTTAATTAAAAAGACCAACATCAATATAGAAACCTTACTTTCTGTTAATATTTCAATTGCTAATTTAATTGAAAATATTCACTTGCAGAGTTAGTGAGCATGCTTCCCTAACATACTGACATACTCTAAAGTTAATTAAAAAGACCAACATCAATATAGAAACCTTACTTTCTGTTAATATTTCAATTACTTATTTAATTGAAAATATTCACTTTCAGAGTTAGTGAACATGCTTCCCTAACATACTGACATACTCTAAAGTTAATAAAAATGACCAGCATCAATATAGAACCTTAATTTCTGTTAATATTTCAATTACTAATTTAATTGAAAATATTCACTTGCAGTTAGTGAACATGCTTCCCTAACATACTGACATACTCTAAAGTTAATTAAAAAGACCAACATCAATATAGAAACCTTACTTTCTGTTAATATTTCAATTGTTAATTTAATTGAAAATATTCACTTGCAGAATTAGTGAACATGCTTCCCTAACATACTGACATACTCTAAAGTTAATTAAAAAGACCAACATCAATATAGAAACCTTACTTTCTGTTAATATTTCAATTGCTAATTTAATTGAAAATATTCACTTGCAGAGTTAGTGAGCATGCTTCCCTAACATACTGACATACTCTAAAGTTAAATAAAAAAGATCAACATCAATTTAGAACATTACTTTCTGTTAATATTTCAATTGCTAATTTAATTGAAAATATTCACTTGCAGAGTTAGCGAATATGCTTCCCTAACATACTGACATACTCTAAAGTTAATTAAAAATTATCAACATCAATATAGAAACCTTACTTTCTGTTAATATTTCAATTACTAATTTAATTGAAAATATTCACTTGCAGAGTTAGTGAGCATGCTTCCCTAACATACTGACATACTCTAAATTTAAATAAAAAAGACCAACATTGATATATTGAAACCTCACTTTCTGTTAATATTTCAATACTAATTTAATTGAAAATATTCACTTGTAGTAGAGTTAGTGAACATGCTTTTCTCATAATTTGCACTTGTCATACCTGTAGGTAATTTATTAAAGAATTTATACATGTGCTTAGTCTATTGATGATGTAAATTGCAGAATGTACATGTTTCAATTGCTTTCTTCCACTTTGCAGTTAATCTTTTTAAACAAACATACTATTTTCTAGGAGGAACTGTTAACGATAGTAAAAAAGAACCGAGAGTGAATGGTGTCCTAGCAACCACCAGAGGTATAGGTAACCATGGGGACCCAGCCCTGAAGAAGGTAGTTCTTAATGAGCCATACGCCACCACAGTGAAGATAGACCAGTATGCCCAATACCTGGTGATGGCTTCTCATGGTCTTTGGGAGGTCTTTAATGAGCATGAGGTGGCAGACTTGGTTGTACAGGTTGGTTAGATTCAAAATCCACACAACAACAAGTTCTTTTTATAACCCATTATTACATTAATTTGTGTTGTATTTGTATATTTATTCAACCACCAATTTGGTGACAATACTTTCTTTTTTACAACATATTTACATTACAAGGAAAAGAGTAATAAAAAGTATTATTTACACAATGCTACATGTATCTCTTGACTTAAATTAATTTAGTTCCTTCAATTTCACATTTCTAAAGTTATACATATTGCATATCATTTTGCAGCTATGGAACTACATTATTACATTAATGTTAACATGCATGATATATATTTTATGCACAATATAATTATCCTAAGATGATATGTTTTTATTCCCATCATGTTTAAGTACACCCATGTGTCAAGACCCTACATTACAGTGTGTAATGTAAAGTTTATGTGCATTTATTTATGTACATGTATTTTGGCAAGCAAAGGCCCAGGAACATGTATGATTAAGTGAGACCCAAGTAGCTAAGGGGACTCAGACTTGATTTTTATACATGATCCCGGGCTTATGTTGGCACGCATCCCAAGATTAAATGGATTTTATAATGCTTTAATATTTAGATGCTGCCCCAGAACGCTTACCCAGCACCCAGTGTCTGCAGTACAAGTATAAATCTCCTTTTGGCTGAGTACCACCGTGACCTCCAAAGCAGGATGTATGCTGCCACCTATACAGAAGATGCCATCAAGTCAGGAAAATACTCAGTTGCTAGCTCAGAGAATCAAAGTCGACCAAACACAGGGAAGCTAAGCACAATAAGTAAAGACAGTTACAAAACCACAAACACTACAGTTTCATCTATACCAAATAGTAAAAAATCTGTTGGTAAAACCCAAGATTCTCATTCAGTAATCCTCGAGCAGGATGAAGCAAATGGTAGTTCCCCTATCAGCAGTGGCCCAAATCAGAACATCAATCTGGCACTATGTGACCTTCAGACTGAAGTTGGGAGCCAGATTTATGTATCTGATGATGAAAGGGAGGATGACTCTGGAAATGAGGGAGACATTGACACTTGCACAGATTTTGTTTCTATACCTGCACATTCACGCTTAACAGGGATCATTCCCACTAAAGCTGAACTTCATCGGGAGTTTTCTCGTATGATTTCTGAACGTTTGGTTCAAGCTGCTTTACTTGCTGGAGCTAAAGATAATATCACTGCTATGGTCATCATGCTGCCTGGATGTGGCTTATAAATGCTTGTAGTTTATCTAATCTCCATGGCAAACATACAGGGTGTTTCATATGTATGCATCTCCTCTAAACTCATACATGTAGCATTGCCACCCCATCATGTTACCCTCCTTATAAGCCACTGTATGAATCCTGGCAATACATGTATATCATTGTGCATAACTGTCACAGACATGTGAACTGAACTCTGCCATGATGACAACTGCTAGATAAGTGCAGCACGGAAACTAATTTTGTCCTTTAAATTGCTCTCAAAATGACCAGAAATTGCTCTCTCAATAACCAGTACCCACATACGCTGACACATTGTTTCTTTTTTTCAGGGACACCCTTGATTCCAAAACTTTGCAATCTTATGTAACTTTCCACAATAAACAGAATGGTATATAACATGATAGGGTGGCAATGCTACATGTATGAGTTTAGAGGTGGGTGCATACATATGAAACACCCTGTACATTAGAACTGATTGGAGTAAATTACTGGAAGATCAATCGACAGTAGTAATTTTGTGTGTCATTGTACATATACCATCTGCACTTTACACATCATGATGCTTGATGTGAGTCAGTGATTCAGATTACACGTTTTGTCCACTCTTCCTGTGATACATATATTTATTTACTTACACTGTAATGTGAATATTAAATATTGCAACACTATACATTATTCATTTTATGTTATTCATTTTATGTTGTTATTTATTTATATTTATTAATAATGCTCATTGTTATACTTTTATATTATTTACATTACTTCGACTATTTTGCATTCCTTACAACACAGATTGTCACTTGCAAACCTTTTTTTGTTAGTGCAATTTGAGCTTTTATTTCGCACAATGTGTCATGCCAAGGCATATTCATGCTTGAAATGTCTTCCTTTTATGATCTTTGAGTTATTCCCGAAATGTTGTTAATGGAACTGTTTTGGTTTGATTCTGTTGGAGAACTACTGTTTAGAATTTGTGTTTTACAAGGTCATACTGTACATGCAGTGTTGAACAAAAAATTGACATTAGATTCAAAAATATAATCAATGTCAACTCAAAATATGTTAATCATTTAAGAATATTTTATTTTACATTCATCATTTAAAAATATTTTATTTTACATGAAGGTACAGTATATGTACTTTTGAATGTGAAAATACTATAACATTTTTAATATCATTCCATAATATCCAAATACATTGTAATTGCATATTTGCAATGTAATTAAAGTTAATACGGTGTAAAATATATAAAGGATGGTAAAAAAAACGTCAACCCTAATTTTTCCTTATAACGTTTTAGGGAATTACTCCTTGATATTTGGCACATTTGTACATCATTCGATTTCCTGACAGCCTACCATAACTTATGACCATTGGACTGATAGTCACAATGTCACAGCATTTTAAACAACATGCCCCAGATGGCTTTGGGACTACTTTGATAACCACATTGTCAGCAGTACAACAAATAATGAATCGACAGCCCATAGGCCAGATATGGGACCATTTAACTTTTACCAGTGAGGATACCCCAAATATAGAATGTAGGAGAATAACAGCAGAAGAACATCAGACCTCAAAAGTGAGATCACATGTGTCATTCAGGCCATACTTGCTGAGGAATGCAGTTAGATCATTGACAACTTCGGAAAATGTGTGCAGGTTTGCCTACAGCACGACGTTTGCCAACTGGGGCACGTTGTTTAAAGTGCTGTAACATTGACACTATCAGTCTGATACTCATGAAATAAATCATTCTAGTACGAAATTGAATGAGGTACACGTGTGCCAAATATCAAGTATATCAGGGTTGCCTTTTCAACACCATGTATTTGACCTACTTTAATTTGACTCAGATGATCAGTTATGGTGATGTAAACAAACCCAATGACACGGATAATATAAATTAAATTGAACGTATGCTTAGAGGAATGATGATAAAATATAGTAGTACGTAACCACTATCACACTGGTACTAGTATGCTGTCAAATTTTTAAGGTGCTATGTTGTATCTGTCCTGATGATTGGCGTGCTGGCATATGTCGGTGTATCTGTTTGTCTGAGTTCATAAACGCCACATAAATTTTGTAATCTTAATTCCAGGAAAATCATTTACATGTTCAACTCAATTTTTCTGATAAAAACTTTGACATTATCACTGTGTGTATAACTATTGTTCCATCATGGTGCAGATAGGATGCGATGTTCGGGTTGCTCCACATCTAGCTTCATCGTACATAGTCAATCATGACTGCCAATGTTGCTCCACCTAATCACGTTTCCTTTTTCCTGCACTAATACCATTCATCATTGGGAACTAATCCATGGCTTGATAGGTTTTGTAGGTTTTGTAGGTTTTGTGAAAAAAGCCAGTTCTTTGTTTTGGAAATAGTTTGGAAAGATCGAACTCCTGAAATATATTTAACAAATGTTGATTCAGATGAGCTAGAAAAAAACAACATCCTCACTGACAATTACTGAATGATTGCACGCCTTCTAAGCAAATAACATTCATAGTAGCAAAGTGAAAGAAAATCGAGAAAATTACATTCAGTGTCAGTGTATCGCGTTATTAATCATTGAAGAAGTGGCACACATGTATGGTTCAAGTTGTTAGATTTTTTGGTTACCCAGTCGTTAAGTTTACACTACCTCAAGATAAAATAGGTTGCTTTCGTCATCATCGCTGTCCTCCTGCTCGTAGTCGCTCTCATTACTAGCTTCTTCAGAGAAGTCACTCTCAGAATCAGAGCTATCCAGCTCATCTCTGGGCTGTCTTGTGTTAAACGGCCATTGTTTATCTGGCTTCGGATTTTCTGCTCCCTTCTTGTTCCTCTTAACACCATCTTCCGGCTCTATGTTAAGAATAAAAAATGGTGAAATGTTTTTTCCAATTTGTGAGTTGAACAATGATACTTGAAATGAAATGAAATCGATGCAACTTTGGATAAGCTTTAAAATGTTATGCGACACATACTATGGAAACATTGGTGTATGTCTGCCCGGGGGGTCACATACAAAATAATAATGCTTTTACTGAATAATTTTATTTGTTATTTTTATCATCTATGAGCATATGGAATGACACACGATCACCCTATAAACTTTTCTATGTACTTAGCTCATAATAAATAAGATATTTCCTTATTTCGAAAAAATAAATCCTTACAGGTTTGTTCGGTAAACCATGTCATACTCACTTGTCGTGGATAGTCTGGCTTTATCCAACAACATTTTCACAGTGTCTACGACACCAATCTGGGGGATCTTTGTAAAGTTATCTGTCAACCTTTTCTTTACAAATACATTGGAGATTGCTGTTCTTATTTCATTAATGATGTGAATAAATTCCGGTCTGCAAAAAGAAACAACTGTTAGGCAAAAGAGATCAAAGAGCAATCCTAATGTTCCTTCCTGTTTTTCTAACTGACGAATTTGATACAATCTGGTCAGAATATACGAAAAACGCAGACTTACCATGGGCGTAGCCACTAGCCAGGGAGGGGGGTAGGATAGCTTCGCTTGTAGCGAATCACACCCCCCCCCCCCTTAACAATTACTGGCTACGCCCCTGCTAACAATTCATATATTTGCATACTTTTCACACGAATGTGAAGCTTGCATTCAATTAAACCGACATTATAACCTGTTAAAAGATAAAAATGAACAGAATACACAATATGTATTATGAGTGTTACCTAATACAATAATAATCATGAAGGTTGAACTCCACTCCTCCTTCGACATCTAGCATCGCACATAAGCTGTTACTCAATGAAAGTGATGCATTTCCAAGGGATATTCCAGCAATTCTGGGACACGTGTCATCATCGTATACATGCACTCTAACTTCTTGTCTTTGTGAGACAAAACACATCACTATAACAGCAGCAATAAGTCCATGTTTCTCTGATGGCAGGATGGTTGTTTTGTGGGCCTGGTATGTTGTGGAAACACCCTGTCTCGCATTATTCTTCTCTGGAAAATTCAATGGCATTTACATCTATGCAGGTACCTTTAATACTATATTGCAGATTGATATTCAGTGACATTAAAACAAAGGAATATTCTCACGCGCTAACTACCATTAAGAGTATGACCTTCTTAAACCTCTACTCTTTCAGGTGTCAAATGAATTGTTAAATCTAAGTACATCGCCGTATGACCTTAAGGTCTATGGGTAGTTATCGGAAAGGACGGGTGTCATTAAGGGCCCTTTTTAGCCCCCAAAGATATCTGATAATAATGCATATCATATTGAAGAAAAATCATTTGTGCTTTATAAAAATACAATTTCAGCGAATTTTGACCTTTGATGTTCACACAACAGTCATTTAAAGATCATATACCATTTTTGGTGTTTTTACCAAAAATTCTTTATTTATTGTTGTCTAAGTAAATAGTATATAAATATTAAATATATTAAAATGTAATATATGAAATACTGAAGAAAAGATACGATTAGAATTATTTTCATGGAAAAGCACATAGGGCAATATTGACAAAATGCAAATGCTATTTTAGTAGGTTCTGGGCTAGCAATGGGTACATTTCAACTGTGACTGTAATGGATTACTATTGACTTTTATCAACATCACAGGGCAACATTTAAGCAACTTAAATACAAGGAAAATCAAAGATTTCCTCTCATTTCTAAAACGAGGAACAAAAGCATGAATTCAAGGAAAATAAATGATGGCCTGTGCCAAAATATATAACATATGCGAAAGTTGTGGCACAGTAAAGGATATGTATAGGATATTATATGATTTTAAATGATTTTATCTTTATCTCCGAGTTGATATCAATATCTTGCCAAGTTAGAATAGCGAATTAGCGCAGATATTGATATCAATGAGTTGGATTAACACAATATCACGAAAATTCATAGGATGTTCTATTTTTCCCATAGTTCACCTCTAAAACTAAACAAAACATATCAAAACAACATCCATTCATCCCCATGATGTCATGAAATCACTATGTAACAAAACACATCATATTGGTGGTAGTTTTCAAATCCCTGCCAAAAGGTGATATCTGTGAAATATTTTCCGTATTCCAAAGATATCACTTTTTCCACACATTTGCAAAATATCACAAATATGTTTTCATGTTACCCAACAGAGCGGAACAGAGTTCAACTATGGGATAAAGAATAAAAAATAGGTACATAATTGAATTACCACTCCAAAAATATTAAATATGATGGTTTAAAGAAAGAATATTGAATATGAGATTCAAAAAGACAAGTGGCCTCATGTCTCACATTACCCAAACCCCAGATCCTCGATGTCATATATACTTGTATACTGTATATCAATGTTATTTACTGGGAGGATTAAATATGGAGTGTATAGCAATGGTCAATACGATATTTCCAGATAGATATTTTTCCCTAGAAGCGGAACCCAAACTCAGTCATGACATAGAAGCTAACTTTTGCAATAAATAGAAACTTGTTTTTTATTATATTTTTGTGTTCTATATTTGAGATGAAATAATATGAGATTCATTTCTACAAGGATGGAACGAATGTGAACTTGTATATTGAACTATACTCCTTTTCTGAATAAACAGAAGAACATTTTATCCAAGCCAATTAAGAAAACCAAGGCCAATGAGTGTAATTTATGCCCAGTTAAACTAACACAATAACAACTTTTTGTCTGGACTCACTTATTATGTAAGAATGAATTGTATTACTGTTTACTGCATTAAATGTCAAGTATACTATCTGTATTTGATTTCAAATGCCTATCTCACTTATCGAAGGTATACAAGAAATGTTATTTTGAAACAAATTCAGCACAACCAAAACCATGTCCACATATATGACAAATCCAAGATGGCTGCCACAATTTTAGATCCATGCAGATGTGAAGAAGTTAGAAATACACATGGTCCACAAGTTCCATCCCCAATAAAATGGGAAGTTTAAGGTTTTCACACATATCAACTCTATTCCTATATACTTTATATTTGTGGTAAGGCTTGTGATCTAGGTAAACTTAGCATGTTCATGTACCTCCTATCCTCTGAAGCTAAAAACAGAAATAGTGACTTCAATTGAGAAAAATGAATCTTATGGGCTCCATATACATTTTGAGTGGCTGTCCGGCTTAAGTTAGATACTACTGATAATCTGAGATTGAAAATTATGTCAAGTTTAGTCCTCAGCCTCTTATAACGGATAACTTCGAGGTAATTGTGTTGTCACTGCAAAAACCTCTATTTCTTCATCACAAATCTACCATCTTTTGCATCTGTCAAAACCCTTCATTTCATGTTAATTTTCAGACTTTTGCTTGTGCCATCATTAAATATATATATTCAACTTGTTATTCAGAATATTTTAAGAACTTTTCATGAATTTTTTTATTTTCACACTTTTGAAAAAATGACTAAGTCAGAGAATGGCCTCTTAATGACATGTCCCCTTTACACCAAACAGGAAAATTAGAAAACATGTGAATTTTCGAATTTTTGTTTAACTAGGATGACAGAGTTCTGCTTTGACCTTCAGCTACTCTCATATATCATTTACATGACCAGGATCACAATGGCCATGGTCAGAATGACCCTAAAATGTTGCATTAGCTATTCAGCGCTCTGAAAAAAAAAATTTTGTTTCTCAGTCAATCTAGCTGAAATGTTTTACTCAGTATGCCTACACTATTCATACATTTCAATATTAAATTGTAATGAATATGTCCTCAAATAAAAAGGTTATGATTGCTATAATAACAAGTTAATAACGATAAGTTTAACACATTTTAAAGTATACTTTTAAATACGAAATAAGCTATGTCAACATAAGATGATGTGTAAGATGACATCATAATTGAAATTTCTTTGATTCATGACATCACTGATCAAATAATGATGACCTTTATTGGTTGATGACATCAGACCCTGTAAAAACCGCAGTGTCCATTTTCTTAATGTGTAAATGGATGCAAAATCAGCAAAAGATGAGCATGGAGAGCCAAGGGACCCTAGTTACTATACTTATGATGATAATTCCCTCAGTAACAACTTAAACCTTTTCAAGGATAGTATCACTAAGAAATTGAAGATGGGTCGACAAGATCAAGCTCCCTACTCACCTTACGAGGCGCCCTTGACTTTGGATTTTATCATTAAGAATGATCTTCGCGGAATTCGTCATTTGACATTCGGGGGAACTTATTGCATCCGTATAGGGATCAATCACCTATAATTTCCAAAATGGATTTCGCCATCTGTTTGAGGAATGGGTGCAGAGGTGTACAGACCATGATGGACACTATTTTGAACACCTATACCCTTGCGACATTGCTAGTAAAATAAATAGGACAAAATGAAAAAATTGTGAACATTCAAACAGAACAAATCCTTTTTGCCTGCTCCGCCTACCCCTGACTCATGTTACTAGAGCAACCATAACTTTTTTCTTCGAGAACCTATTTATTATGATTTAGGATCTCAATGTATGAATAGTGTAGGTATAGTGAGTGAAAATTTCAACCTGACAGCCAAACAATTTAGAATCCTTTTGCAAGAACTTTATGAACGCCCTGTATGCATGTACATCATGTTTAGAGTCATTCTGACAATGTCCATTGTGATCCTAGTCATGTAGCAGAACTCTATTATCTTAGTTAAAAAATTCCTGTTTGGTGTAAATTTCTATTAACTACTCCGAGACCTTGATTTTTTATTATGATCTTGACCTACCAGAACTAAGTAACCATTTGACTGATATCATCCATTTACCTTTACTTCTGACCTTTTATAGCGAAACAAAACTTTATGAAATTTTTAATAATAATTAGTCCTTTCACCCAGAGCATAGCCCCTTGCGTTAAAGCCTGTTCTCCCTGGGATGCGTTTTTGATCTGCCCGCGGTGCAAGTATATTGCAAAACATTAATACGTTTTCCCCAATGTATCACGAAAAAGAATAATAAGCCCCTGATGTGCAAATTATATTGTCACACGTTTTCAATAAAACAGTTCATCCAAGCGTTCTTACAATGTGTCAACTGCCTTGGTAAGTTGCTCGTGTACCACAGAAGTTTGATTGCAAGAAACCGTTTCAAAAGAATTATGTGAGTGTAAGTGCGCTTGGATGAGCTGTAATGAGCACTGCAAGACTTACTGTTATTTTTAGTGATACTTGGGGAGAGACCATTTTAAAATATAACGCAATTCAATTAGACCGCGGGCATACAAAAATACAGCCCTAGTGTTATGAATTGTACAAACTGTTGTGATCCATAGTCTATGTAACGATAACTAGACCAACATACAGACTAGCAGGCTTTGAGATATGGATGTAACAAACTGTGTTCTAAAATGGATGCTACTAAAGTATTCATTTGAGATGCATTTGCTTTTAGTTTTATTTTGCTTGATTGGTATAACGTTTTACTGTTTGGCTTTTATCTATCATACCAGTTTTCATAATCTGAGCAGGGAATCCAATGTGACATCTCTTTTCAGTTTCACACGCAAATCCAAGGGGATTTCGCCAGGCCATTATTTTAGCAGGTTCTATAAAAGCGTAATCATAATATTTTATTGAAAAATCTCATCCATGTAAATATATTGTTGCTGCAGACAATAAACAAATTCATTATATGTTGTCCAGGAATCATGAAGGCTTAACCTTCTTTTCAATCAAGTTGCTATATCTGTATTCATAAAAAGTATGTTAATTTTAGTTATTCTTAAAGTCATATACTATACTAATCTAGTAGTTGTGAACAAACTTTAACATAATAAAATTCTCATCAGAATCGAACGATCAAGATGAGTTCACCTTTTCCTCTCATAAATGTCCATTCCAAACGATATGGCTGCTCTACAGTCTTCAATATAGCTGCATGTCGACCCTTTCCTCCGATGTTAGGGGCATCAAAATACCTCATATTACCTTCTGCATATTGGTTTATTGCATGGGCCTTCCAAGGTACATCATGGATCAATTTACGATTCTGTTCCTGGTTCTCTTTAAATTGAATCACAATGTACTGCCTGCTTGCCATTTCTGTAACATAATGAATGGAGAATGCGATGTTTCTTTACAAGCTGATGTCAAACTGCTATTGGGGATAGATCCAAAAGACAAGCAATATTGAATAGATGAATGATTCGCACATCCGGTACCAAGGAAACACTGGTCTAGAATACAAAAACACTGTCCAACACTGTCCCTGTTCCATTACAGGAAAGATTATCACAATCCAAAACCAGTATACCACATTCTGCCAGAATGTCCAATACAATCAAATTTTTGTTGTCGTATGGGTAGAAAGGGAACTATTGAAATATGGAGTATTTAATGTTCAAACACAACATAGAAGAAAACACATGTACAATGTACAGGTACCTGTTAGTGCGTGGTCATATTCTCCCGTCCTTGAATGTCCGAGAATTGTAGCCAGACTTGCTCTGACATCCTGACGTTTTTGCTCTACATTTGGAATATCATGTTCAATGGCAATGGTTCTTTTTGGGTCATAAGCCTGATCCTTTATGTGTTGCATTAAGTCCTTACATTCCCTGGAATGAAAATCATTGTGATGCATTACAAAAGGAATATTGATATTATTAAAATTGAGGAGCTCTTCAGATTGGGTTACATATCTGGGTAGTACAGGTCAGTTGAAAAATGGCCTTGGCCATGTTCATTGAGTATTTTAGAAATTATAACTACCTTTTTCTATTTGCTCGTCTGTCAGGGCGCAGACTCAAATCCTTTTCCTCGGACTCTTTTTTCTTAACATTTCCAACCATAAGGTTAGCAGTAAATGCTCCAGCTATTATGGTTTTCAAGATTGTGTCATCCTTTTCAATTAAGTCATCAACTACCAATCCAGATTCTGGTTTGGATTCTGTCTGCCTGGAATATTTAGATCTAGCTCCTGTGTTCTCTTCTTTTGATGCTTGAATAGAAAGGGTTTCAAGTTGATGGGCAATCGCTGCATTTAATTCTGGTTTTGCCTTTTTTAAATCTCCACTTTGTGCTTTCTTATCGCTCGGTGGTGGAGTGTAGTCGGTGATAGGGCTACTTCTCAGAAGATGAATAAGATATTCTAATTGCTTGGCAGCTTTGGTTTCTGAATCGATCAGAGTTAACAAACGTCTGGCAATTTCAATGACAGATGACTCAAATTCTTTCAGCCGTTTGTCTGACAAGAAATTCTTTCCACAGAATCTCCTTGTTAGATGTTTTCTGTCCGTCCATTTGTATGTTTTGTCTGTATAACCTCTGTTATTTTCCACCCAGTGCAACCAGTCTATGAACATGTTACGCATCATAATCGGTTCACTGTACAAGCCATTGTCATAGTGATAACGTCGACTGGTACTATTTCGGATGGATTCAGCAAACTTTTCCGAGTCTTTCATGATCTGTACGTGCACAAAGAGAAATGATAGTAGAATTGTTTAACCAACCCCAGAACCGACCATAAAAGACGCGCAGCAAATATGCAATTTCACATAATTATAAAACCATCAACCTGTATTTCATTAAAAGGGAATGGAGGTAAAAGTGATACCTTGAGTGTTGGAAGGGTAAATGGCTCCATACTGGCCGATAGCGATGCAGCAATGATAACAGCATCGCATGGGCAGCCAAATAATGTTCCCAGTAGAACTACCTTTGACATCCTTATGTCTATTGGAAGTCTCACGGCAAGGTGACCCAGGAGAGTTGAACGAGACAACTCATCCTCCTCTAAATAGAATATTAAAAGTCAGTTAGATAACTTTAAAGACAATTGAACCAATTAAAATTCAATTATATTTTCAGTTGTATTTGTAGGTATTCTTTAAATGTTGCATCTTCCGCTTTGTACTGTAGCATTTAACATACACTGAATTGTATGAAACATAGGCTATAGAAATTCTTCATATTAACCTAATAGAGCGCCGTCATCAGCCAAAGATTTAAGAGCATCATCTATGTTTTTTATAGATGGCACCGACACAGCTTTTTTCAACAACTCAGTAGGTTTAAGGTCACATGATATCTTCTCTCTCAAGTGTTTAACCTAAGTGAAAACAACAAAATGTCAGTGAGAAATAATATTCCTATACAAAAACACTATCATGTATTTCAAACCAAATTAACTGTTCAATTTATTAATGTCACAAAAGTTGCCTTCTCATATTTAAATGTTTTTACAAGTTCCTTTGCCATTAAAACTTGAACTAATATCAAAGCAATAGGATCAGTATTAAGTATTACCTGGAGCACGAGTTTGTCCAACGAACATGACAAAATCTCGGGAACTTCATGATCCTCCATAGAATTCTCATAGAAGCATCTAGGATACATTCTAATTACTCTTCCTTCAAACACCCGGCCAGTGCGACCTGTGGTACATTTAAAGATGCAACATATACATATATGGAACGTTTGAGGGACTAGGCGGGATAAAGACATGAGAAAAAAATAAGATTCGAAAATTCATTAGCACGGTTTTTGAAGTTTGCTTCAAACATATAACACTTTCGATTCCTTCTTCAACTAAAACTACTTCTAAAATATCACAATTTGACGATACAGTAACATATTCATTACATTAGACCTCTAAAAGCCATTGTGATTCTAGAATAAATGTAGTTTTAACTAAAAAAACAATTTGAAGCAATACCTTTCCTCTGTTTTGCACTAGCTTTCGAAATCCATCCTTCTTTGAGTGTGGTCATTCCCTTTCTCTTGTCCCAATTAATCTGTTTCTCAACGCCAAAGTCAAATACGACTCGGACTTTTGGTAAAGTTAAGGAGCTCTCAGCAATGTTAGTTGCAATGACAACGTGAGCAACATCTTCTCCCGGAGGAGCAAAAACTGCGTCTTGGTCTTCTTTGGGAATCTATAGCAAAGAAATGGAAAATCAGTATTTTAGCAATAAAAATATTTAATTGCGTTTTACATGGGTGTAACCATGCTCCAAGGCAAAAATGGTCGGAAAGGTGCCAAAATTACTAATTTAAGAAATGTACTTCTACTATATAAATTGAATTGGATTGAAATTGAAAATATTTTTATTCCATGATTTTTTACATTTTAGACGTTTAAATTAAATCAAATTAAGGAAAGTGTGACCTACTGTCGAATGCAATGGAAAGATCCGGATAGGACAATTACATGTATCCCTCCATTTCTCATAATTTTCTTCTATTGGAGAAAGAATTTCACACAATTCATCAATGTCTCCAATTCCTGTAATGAAAGAAATGTGAAACTGTCACTGCAAATCCCATTTCTACTTATGTCTAATCATTTTATTTGAACTGTTCGCTTCAATTAAAAGACGGGGCAACAAGTTAGAGTGTGTCCATCACAATCCTAATATAAATGAGAATTGAGATATAATTGTGAAAGCTATTGAAGATTTGAGATGCAGATATTATATACGGTGACCGGGAAGACCACTGAAGTAGGCACTAGAGAGGTTAAGCTACACGTATTTAACAAAACTTGAACGTGAACTTCAATGCGCGCGCAGATAAATGACGTCGGATTTGTTTATTTCCTGTGGGCCAGCGTGAAGTTTTCAGGTTTTTACATGAGATTATCATATTCGTGCAATTACAGACGCGTATTCAACAAAGCATGAACGTGTACTTCTATGCGCGCGCAGGGAAATGACGTCAGTTTAGTCTACTTTCTACAGGTAAGCGTGAAAGTTACAGGTTTTTAAGTGTAGATGAGGGATTACACGTCGCTCATTACGTGATTGATTTTAGCTATGTTCTAGGATGGCCCTGGAGCCCATATTTGATACAGACATTCTTGCTTGTCTGAGCCCATGGTAAACCCCAATCCTTAATTGGAAATAAGAATACATTTTAATGGGTAAATGACAACTTCAAATGTGATCGTTTGTTCATTCCGTACAATATCAACAGGCAGGGCCAATTTGATACCCGGGGCTTAGTACAATAGGTTTACTAAACGAAATGAAATGACAACCGGGCCTACGATTGCCTTATTACTACATTCGATTTGAAAATGGCTATAGAAAAATGCTTCAAAAGCAACTTTTACACTTTTGAAATGCCATACAACTTTTTAAATCCTAAGATTATACTGTTATGTTTCATTTATTAATAACATATTTGGATAAGATGTAGGGATGTGTAGGATGCAAATGGATTTTGACAGACACAAAAAGACTTCCTGGTTTGGCATCTCTACCCCTGTACACTTTATGATTGAATATTGGCCCTAATAAGTGGCCCATTCATCAATGCAGTGCTGAATATAGGTCAACACGGTACTAGTGTACATAAAAATGTAATAATAAAAACAGTATATTCATTTTTAAAAATTAGATGAATTCATTTTTGATCATGGGAAGATCGTAATGAAGGGTGCATTGAATATTAAATACAGCAAAAATAAAATAAAAAAAAATGTTTTGATGCGACTACTGTAGATTCGGACCCAGGCCTAACGGACACGAGTTGGTAGTGCTATCCATTACACCATAGAGACATGACCTTTAGACACAGTCACCACATAAATATAGCTCCACATCCACTGACATGGTTTCAGACGTGTAGCTTAACAGAAAATTTTCTTAAACGTGTACTTGAGCGTGGACTTACGCGTTCAGGTTCACGGTTTGCATTTATACGTGTAGCTTAACCTCTCTAGTATCTCCTAAACAAGACAAGTGACATCATTAAGATTTTGCGCACACAAGGACAGTTATATGGATTTTTTTTCCTGAAACGCGCCATTGAGAACAAGGCAGAGCTGGATTCATATAGTAGTCACTGCTCAAAGTAGTCACTGAGACCAATGAAGGGCTGGATTCATATGGCAAAATACCCTTACATATTCAGCCCATGTTATGGCATTACATTTTTAAACCATATAGGTCAGATAACCCGTCATCTCCATACAGGCTAGACTTGATTCCACCTGATTTCTTTTTGTGGGGCTATTTGAAACCCGATGTGTACCAAAACAATCCGCAGACAATTGTTGACCTAAAGAAGACACAATCACGTTGCTAAATGCAATGCCATAACAAGGGCTGAATATGTAAGGGTATTTTGCCATATGAATCCAGCCCTTCATTGGTCTCAGTGACTAATTTGAACATGTTATGTAAATGATCACAGCTTCCGAACCAGTAGACTGGTAATTGAATCTTTCAGGAACGCATTTTCATTGTATTGGTGTGTGCAAAATCTTTTGATGTCACTCGTCTAGTTTAGGAAATATTGCCTACTTCAATGGTCTCCTTATTTCCGGCCACCATGTTTTTTTAAAGAGAATCTCAACAATTTTAAAATAATTAAAAAGTAACGTTTTAAATCAAAACAATATTCGAGTGAGCAAAACATATTGGAGAATCGTGACACTTTAGAAAGTCACCTTCGTCTCTAATCTTTGTTGCATCTTTGATATTCATGTAAAATACCAAAGGATGTTCTGAAACTATTTGTTGGAAAACTGCTGTAAACATACTTATCCTTCAGACGTACATACCCGGAACAAAGACGAGAATAGTTTCTCCTCTTACAACCAAAGTTTGAATAAGATGAGCACAAAGAGGATAAACAGTTTTGTCTACGTATGGAGTGGGTGTCTTAAATTTCCTCTGATCATCATTTGATTCATCAATCAAACTTCGCACCTTTGAGCGAAGTTCATCATCTGGAACAAGAATACGCGTTACTCAAGTCAGTTTGATTAGCACTGGGAATGTAGACTATAGTTTACAATTCTAGAAGAATTAAAGAAGTATCACACCGGAATAGCCTGACAACGGTAAAGTCAGATACCGTAAAATGGCGGACACAACCTTCGCTACAATTAGATTTTCATGAACTTTATGTTTAATAGAGCACCTAGACTAAATTCCTACCTACCATCGAAATAAAGTCTTTAATTTAACCGATCAAAATAAGATATGGGACAACGGAAACTGTATTACCATATGCCCCTGTCTTTGTAAATTATTTCACATTCAGATTCCGTTGTCAATGACGATATCGTAGACGCTATATTGTAGCGATTCACCAAATTTAATCGAAATTGGGACAAGAACTTAATACATGCACAGAATTAGCGACGATAAAATCCCATGAAATGAGGACCAAGTGATTAAAGAGTTGAAGCGACGGTAATGCCCGCCATTTGTGACAACGGTATCTGACTTTACCGTTGTCAAGCTATTCCGGCGTGAATATATAATAATTGAATAATGGTTCACCGACTCGGATCATTGATTTCAATGCAAGATATGATATACATGTATCTAACAAGATGCAATATATCTGTATTAATGCATATTTACCTAGATTCGTCAGCGCCTCTCGAATTCTATCCATACATTCTCCATCCTCTAAGTGGTGTTCACTAAATCGTAACCATTGTTGAAAGACGACGCTCACATGACTTGACTCAAGTGTATACAAGAACCCTCCATCTGCGTCTACCAAATCTTCCAAGTAGATTTCTTCGACATCAAAAGGCTTGCATCCAACAAAAATCGGCTTTGTTCTTTCATCTCCGAAGTATCTAGAAGTATCTGAACTTATGTATTCCTTTGTTGCCGAATTACTAAAGAATTACTTAAGAGCTCTTACATTTAGGTTGCTTACTTTGTGAAAAGCTGCCCTTGTAGCGTTGCCGACATGATAATTATCTTTGTTCCGGTGTTTTCGGGTTTATCCTTTAAGATTTTGATGACAAGACTCAACATATCACTGTCGATGCTGCGTTCATGAACCTCATCTAATATTATGAAATTGTAGTTGGAATATGTATGCGGCTGATTTATGAGTTGCTGTAATAAAAAATAGTATGAAATTATAATTTACTTTGCGTCAACAGTAAAGGAAAATGTGTTCTCTCTCTTGGTATACAGTCAATGTACTGTAGTATTCCCTGCTGATGAGTACTGAGAAGACAGGAAGATATCGATGCCATTCAACATCTTTAAATATATAAACTTATCAATAGTGGATATTGTCTACTCTTGGTTCCAACATATTTATACACGGTGGTTTTGTTCTATTTTAATCCATTTCACACAATATAAGTATGCTGCATGCAATAGGTATAGAATTATCGAATTTTTTTCCATATTTTGTATGAATTCTCGTTTTTTTTACCTGCAGCAAAACTCCAACAGTGGCATATATAATATTGGTCGATGCGCAAGAGGCATTGTCACCTCCTATCCTGTGACCAACCGTGTTCCCTAAATAATAATAACAAAAGCAGATGCACGTGCATGCATTTGTCAGGTTTTGTGAGTTCAAGAGAGAATTTGATATATTTTCTCAAAATCAGTGACTATGAATCCCTATGTACAAAAAAGGTTGTTCAAATATGGACTTGCAAATCAAGCATATCTATCCGATATCCGTACATTCCCCATTCTGATACTCGTCACATCTCTCTGCCTTCAACTAAAAATATTGGTATTCTAGAGGGAAGCTAATACTAGGAGGCCATGTTGATTTCTCATGATGTGTACATTCCCAAATAAGCTCAAATATATAGAAAGTACTACTCTTCAGCTTAAAACGGATAGACTTTCACTTCCCATTGAAAATGCGGCATGCAATACATTGTCAAACCTAGCCGAAGATCAGTGTGATGGTTTTGGGGCTGAAAGTCACTTTGCCATAGGCCTACTATATTGTAAAGAATATCATAAGTAGGTCATACATGTTGGATTGTTCCTTGCAATTTTCAATAATAACTCCTATTGTATATCTCTGACTTACCAGTGAGATCCCTTTTATAAAATTGAATTTTTAAAACCATCAAAAAGGATAAAAAACAACTCCTCCCGAACGCAGTGGTCCATACATCATCTACTCTGTTCCTTCCTTGTTCAAAGTAACGGAGTGGATGATGTCTGCGCCCGTGCGTTTGGAGATACAGATGTTATCTAGTATTTAATTTGGCGACATACCGACTTCCTCGTCCCTCTCTTGAGCCACCCTCTTTGCGAGTGAAACAGCAGCAACTCGCCTTGGCTGTGTCACTATCATCTTGATATTCTCTTTGGGTATTCTTAAATGAAATAAGAATGGATCTTGCGATGTACAGTCTACATCCACACTTCATACGATTGCTTAAAAGCAGTTAGTACTTAATCATCTATTTGTTGCAGAAAGACGGGGGTTCAACTATACACGACGAAAGACCGTTTGATTTGAATTATATTTAGATTTGAATAATTTTTCTGAGAACAAAACCTTTATTACTGTATGTAAGCTTTATTACTGTTTGTAAGCTTGTATAAAGAAGAGATTTCAGATAATAGTGTAATTGGATACTACCCCTCATTAATGAATACTACTCTAGCGTATGTCGTGCCAGACAATAAGGAATCAAACACCAGCGTAATGTTATTAACGGAAAATCAAAATATATTCATAATTTAAAAGCAAAGGTTTGAATACTAGTATCTCAGATACTTTACATTCGTTTTATGTGAAATGTCTTAGTAATTTAGGAAATTTCATATTTTTGAAAATTATGTCCGCGAAGTATCAAAATTCAAGAGGACACACGTGTTATTATATACGGTGTCCAACCCAAACGCTCTTACATGCACGACGGAGCGTTTCATTAACGCGGAAACGCTGCGGACCGAAATAAAATGGCGGCTAATGAAGATCCTACTATGGCCGTAAGTACTGTTTCACTCGTTTCTCTTACACATCATACGTTATGATGGTATATTATGTACCATTCGATGACCAATACCCTGAGCAAAGATCTCATTTATTCAACTTCTTGTGGTAAACTGTTGTTTGATCAAAGCCCCGTAGTGTAGATCGAACGAAGCTGAATTTGTTTTGATATTATTTTCAGATTATTAGAGAAGAGTTCGGAATCGAATCTATCTCTCAAAAACGCGTTGTACTTGTTAGGCAAATTGAAACGTCCCAACCTGGTGGTGCTACACGTGCAACAAGCAGACTTAAGCCTACATTAGATGATTTTATGCTTACATGTGTGCTAAAACATAAAACTACTGACGAAAAAAAACAAAAAGTAACTAGTTTATATGTGAATCAATCTTTCTTCTTTTGATGTCAAGGGATATAATAGATCTTTTCGTTCTCTTCCTGAAAAGGAAAGTCAAGCTCTAAGTCCATATCTAGACTGGTACCGGAGCGTTTCCAGTTCACTGTTAACAGGTCGCAGCGTTTCTTGAACATGAGAATGTCATCATTTTTAAGACTGTATTTTCGGTCATCAGATCACAATTACGATAATGTATGGTGTGTTGAAGCATTAAAATTTGACCAAAATATACGTTGGTGCTCTAAGCTTGGCTCAATTAATCACATGTCTCGACAAAAGGGGTTTTGACCGGTAGAATGACAAATACGTTTATGAATTGTGATAACTATACTGAGCTTCGTACAGCTCTTCCCAATTGCTTCAAACGTCAACAGCCAGCCAAGTACAACATGAATATCACACCCATCGAGTGGTATACTCGAAATAATTAACTCATACCTCTTATTCCCATTATTGGGGAAATCGTCAGACGCCTCATCATTCCAATCCCGCCCGCCAGTTTTCCTACTCCAGAGCGTTTCTTCGTTTAGTTTCAGTAATGAAACGCTCCGTCATGCATGTTTAGAGCGTTTGGGTTGGACACCGTGTTATATTTAGCACAAACCAAATAATACAAGATAACAAACGTTTTGCGTGTAAAATATGAATGTATTTTTCTATAAAATGCACTGTGGTTTTTTGATTGCTTATTGTTTAGGTTGTGTTTACCCATTTTTCAGCTGATAGTCCAAAATAAATTGTGGAACCTTTGTGCTCTTTCCACAGCCAGTCTCTCCTTCAATGCACGTCACACGGTTGTCCCTTATATGTCGCAATATGTTCTTTCTCTCTCCCATAATGGACAATTCACCGGGAGCCCCTTGATTAAAACATTGCTCAATGATATACAAAACAAAAGAGTGATCGGTACCGATTGTTGAAATTATTACTCATTACTACGGTGTATAAGCAATTGACGTAGAGCAAAATTAGGGGACGAGGATACCTTCCCCTCCTTTAATTTCTCGGAGAATATTTAAAAATGTCAGCAATTTAACAGAAAAGATAATTCATGACAAATTTGATAGAGCGGTTTTATTTTATTTTTGGATTAGAAACACAATTAGCACTGAGCATCAATAGAACGATGTAGGGAGGGGATTCCCCTTTTTGAACTGCAAGACGAAAGTTTCAATTCTTCGAAGTCAAGCTTGAAGTCGATAATCACGTGCAACCCATTATCATCAGCAAAACAATAAAACCATAATATGTAACTTTGAATTAACCTTTTTACATTTATTGATTTTTTAGCTAGTTATTCAATTTGAAACCATGAGCAGATGATACCTGTATGAGATCTTCTATTCCTTTCCATGGCACCAGTGATCAGAGAATTGACCTACAAAATAAGTTGAGATTATTCATGTTTTTTATTCATTTATTTCTATTAACACGATTGATGATAATGCTGAGCATGCAAAGCCACTACAATAATCAAGATAATACATTTATTTTCAAGTTTAATCGGAATTTAATAGGCTAGTTCTGCGAAGTACGGAATCTTATAATGATAAACGATTGGGTAAGGCAGTTCGAACTCTACTCCAAATCACTACCAGACTACATCAGACGTCCTTTAATTTCCTGACACTGAATGAACCATATCTTAGTCAATATCCGTGGGGTTCACCGGGGTCTTTACATCTACTTAAAATACTAGATATAGTAATAACACTACCCCTAGACAGTTGTACAGTCAAAATTAGGTCACAATAAATGTGGACAGCGGTGATCTCGTCGTTAACATCATGTACTTTTCCACTGGCCTATCATTATCTCATCTCAAATGAACCCCGTCCCAGTTATCTTTTTTCACAGAAATGTGCGTTTCTTAATTCAAGAAGGGTTTTTAGTTTGTGTGGGTACAGCCTGTACATGTCTGTACAGCACGTGATCATTCCAGAGACTACATACAAGCACGGTGATCGGACAAATAAACGAGGGGGTCAGCCCATTTTTGACAGAAAATTCAACAAATCTTGAAGATTTGTTTAATGAAGAAAAAAGTTTAGGTCTTCTATATTTTTTGAACGCGATAAGCTTGTAAGATATAAGATCTATTTTAAAAGGTGCAGCGCCACCATCTTGCAATTGCCAATGTTTTTGCTATAAATCAATTTTTATCCAAATTGGCCTCCACATTTTGTCCTATCAATAGGCGTGACATACACTACATAGAATTTTCACGAAACTATCTTCTGAGACAAAAAATCAAAATGGCGACATACAATGATTAATCAATATGCGAGACGCAGATTTAATGACACATAGGTGCCTGATTATGATATGAGAAATTCATAGTTACCTTTTCGATAGTGTTGTCAGTTGTGTGTTTCAGATCCTTCCTTTAACGAATGGTCCAAATTGTTAATGCTAATAAAAATCGTATTGAAGACATATGCTGCATAAGACCTACACTGTATGCAATCAGTTCGCGGAACTCATTATTAGCAATAGAGTTGAATCACCAACAAATAAAAAATAGGAATCCCCGCCTATTGGTTTCGGTAAACAGTTTCATCGGAAGCAACTACTTTCGGGTGGCGAGATAACATGCCGTATGATCCTGAAACAACAGGAACAACAACTTCGGAGCATATAAAGAATTATAATAAAAATCAAAATAGATAACAATCACATACGACATTAAATTAATTGCACATTAGTGTATGATTTAAGTCTGATTGAATTAACATGATTAAAATACGATTTTATTTTGCATTGTGTTTCGATGTGCTAGTTGCGATGATAATCGGAGACTAATAACATAAGATTTTATGTTTGTCTCAGTGATAATTAAATTATTATTGATGAATGAAATATCTAGTTGAGTTTGATAACTACACTGTACAGTTGTTTCTGATTTGTCAATTTTAGTACGAAATGAAATGAATTTAACAGATTTCATTATTACGTCATAAAAGATCCAACCATTAAATGAGTCAAGTATACAATTTGTGAATATTTAGCTAGCGAAGTATTTATATCTGGTTGTCCTCATGATGGTAAAAACGACAAAATAGTTAACATCACTCGATTTTTTTTCAATCATTGGCACAGTGGCATGGAGAATATTTTGCATTGTTATTACATTGTTATGATTAACTTGCATTCTAAAGGGGCCATGGCTGTGATTCAAAAAGTTATAAAAATACCATACAGACTCTGTACGTCTTTTTGGTTCCAAAAAGGGAATTGATTATTATTAATAAATTGTTTACATTATTATCAAATTAAGCGTTCTATCAACGTGAACGATTTTTCAAGTCTGGATAATTGTCTCTATATAGTCTCTATATAGTCTTTGTGACCCCTTTTATCAGATGATTACATATGATACTATTGGGATTTCCTTCAAAGCATTTGCATTCTTAAAAGAGTTCAATTCAGCATCAGTTTTACACCGGCTATGCTTCCACTTCACAGCTTTACAATATTATACTAGTACCCCACTGAGAGGTTATTGTCACTGGCGGATCTTGCCCCCCTTTGGGTGGGCCCAGAAATAAAAAATGAGCCCACTGAAAATGTTGGGGCCAAAAAAGGCCTTAAGACCCCAATAAGCGGGCCTTTTTAGACATCACCGGGCCTTTAAAAGGCCTTATAAATGGGCCTTATTTTCAAAAATTGGGCCTACTTCAAGTAGGTTTTAGGGGCCCAAATTTGTTTAGCGCAAGCGAAGATTTTTTATCAGACACGAAATTTGGTAACAGGACCGGGTAATCCGCCAAATCCAGTAACCCGGGCCGGTAACTGGTCTTGTATAATATCACTTAAGGCAGAATCAGATGATGACTAGCAATTACTTTTCATCTCAATGGAAATTGTTTTCAAACTTAAGAACTATTTTGGGCGATCAATCCATGTCATGTCTATTTTCTAAAAAATACCCTAAGTATATACTTAAAGAATTTTACAATAATGCAATCATTTCAATCTGTAAGAAATTGAATGCATCTCAGTAGCCTATTTTGGAGTTTCATAATATTTGTCCCCATTTTTACACTTTGAAGAAATTGATAACGTATCACGGATATTTTGGGAGATATTATTATGTATTATATTTGAACTTGTAAGAAATACATCTACTAGATCAATTGTAGGCCTGCCATCTTGTCACTCTCTGGCCTATAGATCTGATTAAGTCCCGGGGCTTTATGTCACGTACATGTAGTACAGCTTTCATTTTACTTTCCTCGCAGTGCACTCGCACTATGAGTTTTCAAAAACTGCACAAATTATCAACCTTTTACAGTAGATCTCTGTTTACACGTCTAATTATGACCTCAACTAAAGAAGGAGCATCTGCAACTGCACCGATTGAGGTACTGCATGACGAGAAAAAGGGTGAATTCTACATAGAAATGGACGCAGGTATGTGAACGGTCACCTTTTATCGCCCATCTCAGTTAACTGTACTTCTGGGTTCAGTTTACTTCGGTCCAAAGCCTTCTCTATATTCCGGCTTTGAGGAGGAAGATTGAGCTTCCTTAGTATTATAAATATTGTAAATCATTGTGTCACACGCACAGTAAATATGGCATAATAATATGAAATATACCTTTATGTATAGATTTGAAGAACATCAGCTCACATCCCCGTCTGAATCTATTGTTATATTTGATTTCTTTAAGCGAGAATAATTTCAAATGTTATTCACGTCCAGAACCGGAAGCCATTTTTAGCTACAGCGAGAAAATTTCACCATGTGTCAAAACTCCGAAATGAAATTTTGAAATATCTAAATCCAGACAAGCAACGCTTCATCCTAAATATGATTAATATTCTTAAAAATATTTATAAAATTTAATAAAAATGAGTTCTAGGTGCGTGTAGGTGCGTGTAGCACAGTACATACGAAATCAATGAAGTTTCGTCTAGCTGTAAGCTAGAGACTCGAGTAAGGTTCAGTATATTTATTGTTCATCCTTGGTTCAAGTTACCCTGGCCTTTGCATCATTCGTTCAAGTTTAGTACAAAATGTACTTTTTATGCTGGACTATTCATTACTTATTTGATCGGTTCACCAGCAGAGACTATATATCCAACCTAGAGTCCATTTTAGTATGTATCCAACAGACTGACAAGAAGTCAGTCTGTTATGATGTACTACTTTCCTGTGGAAATTGCAGTGAAATTTTTTGCACAATATTATCAATTGAAGGAACCATTTCTTCAATAAAATAAACATTACAAAATTTCAATTAAATAGTAAGGTACAATTAATTGCAATAAAAAGTAACACAGCATATTGTCAAGTGGAAATAAAGCTAGTTGAAGTAACAAATGTGCAAATTAATTTTACCCAATCGGCCATTTTGAATAGCACTTCCTATGTAAACAAATATTTAGAATTACCAAACTTTAACATAGGTGCCTTATAGTCTGAATATAATTCAGACTAAATAGGATATAGTCTAGAGTCCATTTCACTGCTTCATTTCGTCAGTAGAACAAAAATAAGAAATTGGGAGACCATTGTGCAATAATATATGGAAAAGTATATTCATAATGTACATGAATGACATTTGTATATTTCAGATTTTTTAGTTTTTTGTGCAATAAGCCTGTGTCGTCTTGTAATTTGAAGAATTTCAGCCATGTTAATCTTATTGAAAATAACATGGCAGAGAAACATCCAAATATAAGAGGCCACACACTTTATAAGCCAAACTAGAAGCAATCCAAGATATACAAATGTCATTCATGTACATTATGAATATACTTTTCCATATATTATTGCACAATGGTCTCCCAATTTCTTATTTTTGCCGTTCTACTGACGAAATGAACCAGTGAAATGGACTTTAAGTTGCAACACCAGTGTGTCAAAAGAATAAACAAAATCTTCAAACCGCCTACAAATGCTCCAGGGGGGAAATTTCCCAAAGATCACCTTTCATATTGACACGTTCAATAACCAATTCATAAACACTTCTGCAAATACTCTATACATGTACAGATTAAATGTTTGGAACTACTTTGAATTTAAAAAATAAGTTATCAAAGGACCATATTACATGTAGTAGGCTATATGTAAAAATAGAAACATTTATACTGTACATGTCCATCTTCGTTCACTCGGCTCCCATCGGTCGATGGAGCAGTGAAGACCGAGCGTGCGAAGATGATACATGTTCTTACGTTTGTATATTTTAGTTTGTTTAATATTAATGCTTCTCTGCCATGTTATTTTGGGAAAATTAACATGGCTGATATGAAACTCCCTAAATTTCAGAAGGCCACAGCTTTACTGCACATTATATATAACTATCTGAAATATATATTGCTTATTTTTTAAATTCAAAGTAGTTCCAAACATTTAAAATTTTACTTTGTACAATTGAATTGAATTATCAAAACTGAATTATCAAACTTCCAGGCATAGAACATGAGTTTGTCTTGGAATGAATATGTTGCAAAATAAGCAATCAAAGAATCATTGGACTATTGTGCAATATTGTATTGAAAGATGCAAATTTCAATATACTCAGCAGGAATTCAACGATGTCAAAAGTTTTGCAACACCTAATAGTATTAAAGGAATTGACAAAATTTAAATAAATTAGTCTCTATTAGTTATACTTACATCATTGATTATTTCTAAATTTGTTGAGCATCATACAACTTAATTAACAGATTTTTTCTAATTTGAGATTTCAGCAGGGGTCTAATTTACAAAATCATCAATTATAAAAAAAAGATAATAACATAGGGAATGAGTTGCAATTAGTGCAACCCTGGAGAACTCCAGTGATAAAGATGATAAAAAACATGGATTACACATCAAATAAATTCTTTTACTTGTCAAATCCTGAAGAACAACATAGGTGTACATTGAAGGTGAAATAATTATGTCATTTATTTTTAAGAATTTTAACAAAAAATACAGATGGACAAATGGTCTTTTTTCAATTTTACAAATAAAATAGATATGTCATGCTAATTACCTTTCAAACAATCAATTTATTAGTAGATCATCAGTTGTAAACTCACCAAAAATATCAAGATTTAATATTAACAAATTTTTATAGGCCCCTGCTAGACCCTACATTAATAAGTAAACAGTAATGTTGACAGGTGCTCAACAGGTAGAGGAGTATATAGAATTTTATAATTTTGATTGCAAAATATAGTCATACACACGATCTTATTTTCAATTAAATAGATAAAATCAATATATCATGCTCATAATGCTTTCCAAAAACTGATTCATTAGTAGATAATCCGTTGTAAACTTTTAAATTATCAAAATCTTATATTTTTATTTTATTGTGGACCCCTGTTTAACCCCTCAATAATAATTAAACGGTAATGTTGACAGGTCCTCAACAAGTGAAAATGTACATGTATGTAGGAATGTTTTATCATTTAAACGCATCAAAACGAATAGAGGATCAAAGAAGGAAACAGCTTAACTAAGGCTTATCTGACAAATTCCTCTATCACTATTAGACATAGCAGACTAATATGCCAGAATCAAATGGGAAGTCAGGAGTATCCGGGAGTTGCCAAAGGGGATTGTATGTTTATAAGGTCATCACCATAGATGGGTACAAGTCTTAATGCTGTGGTATTGTATATGGTTTACAGGTGGTAAAACCTCCAGGGCATACCTTCAGTATACAAGCCAAGGAGGAGACAAGGGAGAGGTACTGGATATGTATCATACACTGGTACCACCAGAGTTCAGAGGCAAAGGAGTTGCAAAACATTTAGCAAAAGTAAGTACATGTAAGATGAATTGAGGCAATTCTGGAGAGCTTGTGTATTAAATTCTAGCATCTTTCAAAAGCACTGGCCGTGGGTCAATTCAATTTGTTTTAATGTTTTAATCAGTGAGCTGGGGATCTCCCAAGGATTTTTTCTCAAGTTGGTGCAAAATTTTAATTTTCACAATTCACACTGAATTTGGTCAAAATATGACCATTTTTCTCATTTTCAAGTTGGTGCAAATGGATTTTCAGGTGGGTGCAAGCCTGTTTTTTAAATCTCAGGTGGGTGCTGCGCCCCCTTTAAGGCTGGGGAGATCATTGAGGCTATTTGAAATTGATATTAAAAGCCTGTGTTACATTTAAACAATTGTGTCATATTCAGGTCAAGGTCAACTCTAAGGCATTACATTCATACTGTAAATTAAGGGGAAGGTCTGTATTTTTCTTCCCTTAATATTCTAAGCCTCCCTGAATTTAGATACAGTCGCATCTGAAGGTCAAGATCAATTGAAGGTTATGATACTCATCGTAGATTTTCCGGTCATAGAGGGTTCAGGCTACATTTAAAGGTCAATGTCAATTCAAAGTTCAATCTTGTGGTTTTAGTATCTGAACTGATGTTTCAGTGAGGTGTTTTTCAATTCTATTTGTTGTGATTTACTTTACTGATCCAGCAATAAAAGGGTCTTATTGTTTTCTAGGCTGCATTTGACCATGCTGTAAAGAAAGATGTCTCTATGAGGTTAACATGTTCATATCTGCAGAAATATGCACAAGATAACCCCACACCAGAGTATACGAAAAGGATTGTATGATACAATGAATCACAGAATATTGTATGGACATTTCAATTTACATGGTAGTCGTCATCAAAAACATTATAAGATTTAAAACTAATTATAGAGCCCCTGTTAAAATTCCACCAATTGGCAAAATCTAAATTTTGAAGGTCAAAAGTGGATTTTTTCATTTTTGTTGTACAGTTGTAATGATGATTTTATTCAGAGAAGAGTATTTTTTGCAGAAAAAATAAGTTTCAGTTAAAATTTAAAATACTTATGTTGGATCAATTAATACATGTATATACCTATATTCGCTTAAAATTGTTAACTCTGCTCAGCATGTTGGAATACCACTGGGTAGTACAAATGCACATGTTAAAACTGCAATATCTTGTGCAAGAAGAAAATTTTGTTCACTCTTAGGTCTAGGCAATGGGTGCGGTGGTATGCATCCCTTGCTTGGATCAAAGCTGTACTGGTCATTCTCCTATCCAACTCTGACTTATGGTTGTGCAGTAATACCTTACACTAACAATGACATTAATCTAATGGAAGGTCTGCACAAAGAGGTCGGAAAACGCATTCAGACATTACCAAAGAATACGCCAGACCCTGTCGCCACTAGTCTGCTTGGATGGATGTCTGTTAAAGCAAAAATTGACTGTGATAGATTGATGTTTCTGTATATGTTGTTAAGGCTACCTGTAAGCTGTATATATAAGGTCATTTGTTTAGAAAGGTTAATACGGATGATGTATTTAAAATCATCATCTCAAGGTCTGAAATCTCCATTATCTCAAATGTGGGATACTGTTGTGCAGTACAACCTCATAGACTATGTTAAGAACATGATTTTTAATGCAGAAATCCCTTCAAAACAAGAATTTAGAACTGTAGTCTACGGACGTGTCAAGAGTTTTCACAATTATAGTACTGTTTTATCATCATTAATGTATAAAAATCTAAACGTGGTGACAGGATCGTTGTCTATCCTAAAACCGAATGTATGGTGGGTGATCGCAAAAGAAAACCCCAATGTATTATACCTCTGTAAAATGATGGTCAAATTATTAACCTCGACATATTTTAACAGTAGACGCCGTGAGGGTGACACAACTTTATCAGAAATCTGTATATTTTGTGATCTTAACGAAAGAGAAAGTGTTAAGCATTTCTTGATTACTTGTCCAGCTTTTACTGATGTTAGAAAACCCTTACTCAATTTAGCGAGGGGTAATCTGAATGTAATGAACGACGATTATATTCTTAAAGTGATTCTAGGAACTGTATACAATGATGATAAGGAGACTCTGTTACTCATAGCTATGCATGTGTACGAGTTACACAGGCATAGGCAATTTCTTGTGGATAAAAGTTAGTTATCCTCTTTACCTTACATCAAGTAACACAAATATGTTTTATAATTTTATTTAATTTTCTCTACATGTTAATATGAATGTAACTCTCTTTTATTTAAGAGGTAAATAAATTATACATACATACAAAATATAATAAAAGTACATTTGGACCATTGATTCCAATGAAAGAAAGCCTCACCCATATAATATGTACAAAGAAACAATTAAAAAATGTTTAAAATGTGCAATCAACTCATTCAGGGTATGTCAGCAGCGATTAACTGCATATATGATATTTAATAATCTTAAATTGAACAACTATAAATTTAAGTGTCTTTTTAGGGAGTAAGCTGGTCAGAAATCTCATTTTGATGTTTTTGAGCCATTTGAAGTGTGATTGATATTCAAACTATAGAACAAGAAACGTCTACGAATGATTTTGCCTCTAATCCTTCCTTGAGATGTGTACTATAATACAGATTTTCTCATGATATAAGCTCAACTCATTCTATCGTCCGTGGTGACTTATTGGAAATACACATTGGATTTTATCTAAGGTAAATTATCCACTTTTCATTAAACAAGAAAAAAACATGTTGATTCCTCAGAGGAAACAATGAATGACTTATAGCCTTAAATGTAATCAAACAATATTTACTCAATTTATGATGGTATTTTCTAATAGCAAACTTGTGGTAGTGTGCCAGAACCTAACCAGCTAACTCCCTTAGTAAGATGTATTTAATTTGTACAAATTGTACATATGAATAATTATAAAAACTGTACAAAATTATGTAATTATTGTAAATTATGATTGAAATATAACTATTAAATACATATAGGCTCTAATGTTTTAACTTGAATCATACAGTATGCATATTAGTAATTTAAGTTCATTCTTTAAGTCCATGAGGTTATCAAATGCATTTTGCTCAAAATTAGTGGATGTTCCAATGAATATTGAAATATGGTTTGACAATAATATACACAGTTTTATACTCAGTGTCTCAAGGTCATCCTAACAACAGAGAGGATTGAAAACTCATGATTAATACTAAAAACTTGGTTTCAGTATAGATATCAGTGTAGGCGTATATAGTGCAATAATACTTGTATTGACATAAGCCTAAATGCTGAGCTAATATAACTAGATATCGGATATGAAACCTACTTGTTTATCTAACAGAACTGAAACCAAAAACTAGGGGAATCCCCTTTTTATGGTATCGCTTGTATGTATTGAAACATTTTTTCAAACTAATATTCTCCATGTTGTGTTAACCTTTTCATATTCAACAATTTATTAATTTCATTAACACTTCAAATAGTGTTACAATGGGAAAATTCCAATTTGGCAAATATGTATATCAGCAGATACAAATATATCTGATGTTAGGAAAAATACTATCATAACAATTTTCTTCGTTTTAAGTGATGAAAATTGTTTCAAAATTGTACGCTGTAAATTGTTACCAGTGTTTCACATTCTGCAACTTAATTACATGTGAAACCAAAATTATGTTGATTTATTGATTGCTGAAACAACATAATAATCCAGAGAAACAGATATTGCATTAGTCATCATATTCAGATGAAACACTCCACGTGTCCTATGACTTTGTATAGTACATTTATGAAACCAATACTATACTAGAAACTGAAATAGACATGTATATAAAGAGACTGTGTAGGAGTTTGAGTCATTCATTATTACTGGTTAAACAAGTAAGTTTTAATATTATAATTTTGAGTAAACTATAATAATTACATACTCATTATAAACTGCTTTAAATAAATGCACAAGTAAATGCGCTTTACTAAATGAGAATATATTTTTATTTTGGAAGTTTGAGTTACATTGCTTTTCTAATTTTGTCTTTGTGAATTATTTGAAGCTCACTTATTTTTCAGCAATCGACTATTAACAGTTAAAATCTCAAAATAATAAGCATGGCACGAGATGGAATCCACCTAAGTGAGAACAATACTGCTAAATTACTACCTGGGTTAGGGAATGACCATAAATACCACGTTATGATATCATACACAAAAGAAGATGCAAACCTAGTGAATCTCATTTGCAAATTGCTGGAACCATTAGAACCAAAGATATTATGTGTCGAGGATGGCGTCATAGTTGGAAAGGCTGAGGATGTAGCAAAAGCTGATGACCTGAATAAGGTTATTGAACAGTCACTTTGCCTGCTTGTGATATGTTCAGAAAACTTCAGTGAAAGCAAATGGGCTCAATATATAGCATGCCAAGGTAAGATATCTATATTTGGGGAAAACTTAAATGAGACAAAAATATTTGTTATGAATTTAAATATTTCTATAAGTTTGAAATTTGGATTATACATTGATCCAAGTTCACTTGGATTATCCAACATTTATACATGTAAATAGTAGTTTTCCCTATAGCCTAGTAGAGCTAAACACCTAACTTTGCATGAAAATATACTTATAGGTATACAAAAGATGATGTCTGCTGTAAAACCCAGTCCATTTATCCAAATAGTAAAGTGCAACATTGCTTACAATAAGATGCCCACATATCTAAGCTGGTTGACCTACATAGAGTCAAAGCCAAATAATGATGAGGATTTCAAGAAGAAAATCACTTGGGCAGTTGCAGGTAAGAAAATGACAGTATTGAATGGCGCTACTGATTTGATTTGATATTTGATTATTAAGTTTGATTGATTATAGTGACTGATATGATATACCATATGGAATTAAATCTATGACCCTCTGAATCTAGTGTATGGTGATGTTTAACATGATCATGATATAGGGAGTTGGAAATTATATTCTAACATGACCTCTGTTATACATGTACAAGTACTTGATAAGCAATTAAACAAATTTCTATGTAAAGCAGAATCTGGTATCTGTTTAAAAGGTTAATATTTATTGTATCTGAATTACTTTTGTTTTAGGTGAGACTGCAAGATCTATAGATCTATTTGGGGGTCTCTGAAGCCTAGAGTAGCAATCTGCATAGAGTTATGATGCTTGGTAAGTAAAGATCATCATCATAATGCATTAAAGATAACTAATTGAGCATAAGATGGTCAAATCAAAATAAATGAATAGTGAAGCAAAAAGGCTGTAAATGAATGATACAAAGATTAAATCAAAGAATTTTCTTCATTGCATTTAATTTATCGGTTGGGAACAAACAACCAAAGAGTATCATTTCTTTCATTTGTTCATGAATTCTGTTCTGAGATAAAGCCAACTACTAATAAAAAATATTGAAATGAGTGCAAGTACAATGTTATTTCAATGTCCCTAACCCTTAAATGAAGGAGGAATGAATACAGGTCAAATTCAGAATCGGATTAGTTTCACTGTAACATGATATCATTCTGTGTTTTCATTAACCAATCAGTGCATGTAATATGTATTTGTTGTATTTCCAGGCTACCTCAGAAAAGGATAATTGAGCTATTCAATCCTTGAATATGACATGAGCTGCGAGTGCAACTGCAAGTGGCATCTAATTCAGGCGCAGAAATACAACCTGTTAAGCGCTATCACTCGTGATAGAAGACACAGTGCCTCAGAGGGCTCACACTGGACATGGGAATGACATGAACATTGCAATAAATCGGAACATTGGAAAACATCTAGACATTGACACATATACATCAAGGCATTGACACATATACATCTAGGCATTGACACATATGGAAGTCTGTGACAGGTTCCAATTTCAAAATGGCCTTTGGTCAGGATTATTTGCAATTTCACAATGTTGAGAAACAATATGGATTTCCTAGTAGTCTACACTCAGCAAGAAAAGGATAAGCAGGGTCTATAGACATTAATGATGGATTAAATATAAATTGAAGTCATTAAAGATATATGTTTGCTCCGGTTATAGTGTATTACAATTGCTTACAAAAACTGTACAATGTTTGAAGTTTACAAAGTCAAAGAATAAATGAACTATATAAATGTGTATTACATACCTAGCGAAGCATTTGTATGGAAGTCAATGGGAAAGTTAGCGAGCTATATCCACCGATATTGCCCGATTACCCCGATATAGCCCGCTTACCTCGTTTTGATATTAGATTTCTTTAATAACCATGATAATATCATGACGTCACGTCATTGATACAAAGTAACCATGGGAACAAAGGCATGTAATACATCAGTTATGTCACTATGACGTGAAATATGCCTTCGTTCTTGCCCAAATATAGAGCCTCCCAAGGTCGGCCTATATTTGGGAGAACTCAGGCATATTTCACGTCATAGTGACATAACCTCTAAATATATTTGTATGATTGTTCTAGCTAATTATATTTCACAAGTTCAGAAACAATGGTCAAACATTTTGAAATCATTTTGCAATCACCCTATTCTTGAAACATGCTCTAATTTTGAATCACACTTTGATGTGCTAATGTAAAAATGAAAGAATTGAAATGTAAAATTTGAAATTGCTAACATTTTGCATGATCAGTTTTGTCAGCACCTTGCTTCATGTTCAATTGATTGAACCATAGAAAAATATACAATTCTTAATACTGTCAATAATCTACATAAATTTCACTTACAGTAAAACTGTGCAAGTCAAACACTAGCTTGACAACTTATAAATGATCATTCCCACAGAGGGCATATAAATGTGTTGAACGCATATTAACTAATGATAACAATTTAAACAAGGCATTAGCATGCAATGCTGTACACCAACTGCCGAACACAATCCACAAAAAGTTGAAGACCACCCATGGTGGTGACATAAAAATTGAACTTACAGGTGTTTGACTTTGCAGGTTTTACTGTAGTGATGTTTATTTTCCATGCTGTCCAAAGTTGTTTGTAAATGATTCAAACTGTTTCAGTTCTTCAGTAGTTACTGTGTGTCTATGCTGCTTCAATGACTGCAGGAAATCTGCAACATCAATATCTCTTGGCTCCACCTGAACAAAAAATATTAATATATATGATGGAATGACTGCAAATGAGCCAAAAATATTAATATATAAAATGAAATGACGGCACCTGAACAACAAATATTATTAATAAAAAGATAAAAATGACTGCAACAAAAAATATAAATATATAAGATGAGATGACCAGTGGCAGGCCCGTAGCCAGGATTTGCTAAAGGGGGTTCACTTTTTGAAAAATTCCAGGGACGCTTCACTTGTGACAATTTTTGTCTAAAAATGGCCAAAATCACTTAAAAAGTGCTCAGAATGGTGAAGAACTGCATGATTTTGAAAGATTTTTTGGCGGGGGGGGGGGGGAGTCTGAGGCAATTTAAATAGTGGAGACTTTAATCTAATGTGAATATAATTCTTCAGTTAAAAACAGGAAATAAAAGACTAAGGTTTTGTGAGACCCTAATGAGTTTCAAATATATACAGGGTGGTCCAAAAAAAAGTGAACCCCTGCAACAGGCCATATTTCCCTTATTACTTGCAGGAATTATTTTTTATTTTCACATGTTGTAGAGGAAGGTCTAAAATTTATGTTGGTACCATACATTTTTCTTAGTCTTGAAATTTGCAGAAATTATATGCCCTAACCAAACATTACTGAAAATGGACAAATTGTGATTTTCAATAACTGCGATTCTTCAACCCTTTAACACCTTTCCCCTGAGAATTTTTTAAGCTGCAGTCTTAAAGAACTAATATTTTCTGACTTTGTTCAATTTTAAATCTTGCACATTATGGCTTAAAACTAGCATCCTACATTTGTTAGTTGCAAAGTTATTGTGATCCAAAGAGATGTACTAAGCTTCCACAGACGAAAACATTTCCAGTGAAATCATGAACATACCCCTATATGATCTTGAAATGTCAATATCTTCATAAATCATGGACCAATTCTAATGATATATGACTCAAAACATTGAATATTGGATTTTCTTTTGATTTTTTAAAGATATTTGATGAAGGGGTTTTCAGATTCCTGGTCACAGCGGCAACTTCCTTCCATAAGAGGCCCCCCTCTAACTGTTGGTGTAGGTAACATACCCCTGAACTGTTGAACAGTTAAAAATGCTTCAATTTGATCAATGAAAGTGTGAAATGTGTTTTCTGCTTGAATAGTGTCCCTTTTGTCATATGGTAGGGTTTTAAATGTGTATCTCTTTTTATTCTTAACTTGTATCTCTGTTTAAGATCATCCAATGTGTTTCAACAATTTCCGTGAATCACATTTGTAAAATTTTGTACAATATCTAATTTCCAGGGATGTTTGTTAAACGCTTGTATTTTTTTTCAAAATTTAAGACTGAGAATAAATTATGGCATCAATCAAAATTTTAGACCTTTCTTTACAAGATGTGATAATATGAGCCAATTCATGCATGTATTAAGAAAATTGTAGCCTGTTGCAGGGGTTCGCTTTTTTTGGACCACCCTGTACATGTGCACATATGAGATCAGTTAGTAAAGTACATATCCATGGAAATATAATGTAATAACACATGACTCAGTGAAACTTCATTGAAACACTCATTTTAGTAATTACATGTAAAACAAGAGTTTTACCTTATCATGGGGAAGGTCTTGCATCCTGGCCTTCACACCTCCAGGAATATGTTCACTGCAAGGCACATAGTTCCCACCTGAAAACGTAATAAGCAAATCAAACAACCAAAGAATATAACAAAGAATATGAAAAAGAACGATGGAGAGGTTATCTTTAAGTAATTTTCAAATGTTTTTACATGAAGTTATGTTTTTAACTACCACATACCAATCTCCCCTTAATGAAGTTAGTTTCAAAAGGAAATATTTTAACAATAGGTTTATTTCTTTAAGGAAAGAATCTATTTGATGCAGCCTTAAGACAGATTGTTGTCATACTGAAATAGAGCTTGGGAATTCAGTAGTAAAATGTATTAAAACAGTATTTCTTATTATGTTATGTCAATCATCTTTCAATCTTTTTCATCCATCTGATATAGACAAATTAGTGCACTCAGGCACTTTTAACCAATTTATAACATACTCATGGGCCTTGGGTAAAAACGAATAACTTTAATCTATATTATAAAGGCATGCTAGATAAATTATATATGGCTGCTTACCTTGAAGTTTATGCCAATATTCAGCATTATTCAGGTCCCTGATTGGCTGAAACATTGCATCCAGAGTCAAGGTTGCCAGATCACTGCCTGAGTAGCCCTCAGTGGCGTCACCTAGGGTTAACCACTCATCTGGGCTCAGGGGTACATCATTATCCTTAGTGTGGATCTTCATCAGAGAAATCCTGGCTGCTCTGCAAGTGGAACGAAACATAGGCTATAGGTAATAGAAATAATTTTAAATAAAGATGGCATAATCACTGGTGATCCACTCGATTACGCTGTTTACCAAAACGGTTCGTTTTGGTAACAAAATGTCGGAACATCGAAGGTACGATTTTTCTCGTTTCCTTATTTTATACGTTGTAGGCAGAATTCCCACGACATTTTTTAACACAAACGTGTATCAGTATCATATGTTTAAGAAATTGTACATATTTGCGAACAAATAGTCTAGAAGACAACAGAATCGTCGATTTACTTCCTCACTTAAGTTACATAAACGGTTTGGGTTAAAAGTGCAGATCTTCACTGTTTTTCGAAAAACCGTTTATGTAAATTAAGTGAGGAAGTAAATCGACGATTCTGTTGTCTTCTGAGCTATTTTTTCGCAAACATCTACATTTTCTAAAACATATGATACTGATGCACGTTGTCAGAAAAACGTCGTGGGGATTCTGCCTACAACGCCCGAAATGATCAGGAAAAAAGAAAAATCGTGCCTTCGACGTTCCGACATTTTGTTACCAAAACAGTTCGTTTTGGTAACCAGCGTAATCGAGTGGATCACCAGTGATAATAATCTATTTGTGCTACCATCTTTATATCGGTCCCAAACAAATAGAAACATATATTGGTTAATTATGAGTCTTGAATAAGAAAATATCAGGCATACAATGGTTAAATGCGGAGTTGTGTACGCAGCTAGCTTACGAGCAAGAATACATTGATACAAGCCCGTAGCCAGGAGGAGGGCTTGGCCAAGAATTCTTCACCATTTTTTCACCATCCTGTGCACTTTTCATTTGATTTTGGGCCAAAGTCAAATGTGAAGTTGTGATCACCCTGAAATGTTTTAAAAAGTGAACCCTCTTGACAAAAGCTCACACGAGCCTGTTGATATCACATGTAAAATGCCATAGTTTATTAACCTGTCAGGGAGAGGAATGTAAATTCTCTTCTGAAATCTTCTCAGGAATGCAGAATCCAGTTCCCATGGACAGTTAGTAGCACAGAGAAGAAATATGTGATCATCTGCATTCTGGTTATCGACTCCTTCCATTTGTTTCAGTAACTCTGTCTTGATTCTGCGTGTGTATTCCTCTTCACTGCTTGATCTCTTCCTACACACACTGTCAATCTCATCAATGAAGATCACCTGTGAAGAAAAGTAGTTGAATGTTCATGGATGTATCCCTCTCCCAATTCCCATGTGGTAGGAATCCCCCCCCCCATCTTTTCTTGAATAATATGCAAATGCTATGTAAAATTGATTCAAGTAAAATGGTGTTTATGTGCCATGTGGTTTTAAGAAGCATTTTTTATGATCTGAAATCATAACTTACATTATTGTTGTTTAAAATGCGAAAAATCAGAAATTTTGAAAATGTCAAAAGTTAAGATTTTAAAAAAATGTATGTCAATGTTCAACTGAATGGAAGTACAATAGAACCTGTAAAGTGGAACACCTCTAGAAGTGGAACACCTCTGTTAGTGGAACTTACAAAGTCACAATACCAAGTGACTCATTGTTAAATGAGCCTCTATAAGTGGAACACCTCCCAGATGGAACATTTTAGAGATACCAAGTGTTCCACTTGGACAGGGTTTACTGTATGTACTTACTGATCTTCCAGCCTGAGATTTAGCATGGCTGAATAACTCCTTGATTAACCTAAAAAGAAATGAACATTTTCATAAAATATAAAGCAAGTATGATGCTTCCAAAGGATGATAAATTTTGGTCAATAGAACTCTTTGATATATTCCGTTATGTGTATTATTACCATTTGTATTCATTTGACTTAGCTTCTTAAAAGAGAGCTTCGTCATCAGTTAACTGTTATCTCAAATGGATGTAACATTTTCACTCTACCTTTTCTGTACTATAATAATAATGTATTAAAATATCAACACATTTTTAATACTCACTAAGAACAAATTACTTTTGAACTTGAGCCTTAATAGCAAATTGTATTCCCAAAAAGTACATACAATACTTACTTTTCACTTTCTCCAACCCAACTGGATACAAGATCGGAGCTAGAGACACAGTAGAAGGTTGAGTTAATTTCCGATGACACTGCTTGTGCAAGTCTAGACTTGCCTGTTCCTGGAGGACCATACAGGAGGATACGCTTCCAGGGCTTCCTGCCACCTAGCAATATAACAATCATATATTATTCTGTTATTTGAATTTTAAGGCATTTATAACTTAAAAATATAATGTGAGAATTTGAAGATTAAATGGGGTTTGTCTTTAAGTTACCACTTGGCTATAGGCATACCATGGGCATTCAATAGATTGAAAGCCCATGGGCATACTTACAAGCCAACAGTCACATATACCATACATGATGTTGGGGTACTTTTTATTGACTGTCTCTTGCCCAAGTCGGTATTTTTTACTTATCTGATCTTGAGTTATTAAATCAAGATAAGTAAAAGAGACCGACTTGGGCTAACTGTCTCTGTACACATGTACGTACTGCATTATTGCATTTAATTTCATTCAACTTTGCATTTAACTTTTTCAACTTAAAGAAAGGGATAACTTTTTCAAACTGGAATATTTGAAGAAAAGAAACATCAAAATCTATTGATGGTCACTGTTGAGCAATTTGTGACCTTATATGGACTGCTGTTGGTGTATTTTAGAATCAGAGCATGCAATAAGCCAATCATATAATACCAAGCAAACCAATCAAGACAAGACAAAGTGCAAACCAGTGAAGAGCTGGGGAAACTCCAATGGCATTATAATAGCTTCCTTCAATGCTTGTTTGGCATCATTTAATCCTGCTACGTCACTAAATGTTATTTTGCCCTTTGTAACTATGGTATCTTCGATAGCAGATTTTCTGGCAACAGTTTGTTTGTCTCCTCCATCTTTTCCTGTATCTAGAAACACAGAACAATATTCAAGCACATTGTAAATACTAGCTTATAATTTTGAAAAGGAATCTTTAAAGGATATGCATTTGTGAAATAACTTTTAATGGATTGCATATAATGCCTCTTTAAAAATAAATCTTGCTTTAAAAAGTACTTTGAAAGGACAGGCAATACATGTATATAGTGCGTGTTCTTATATTCTAAATAATATTGCAAACATCATCTCAATAAGACTAGCGCTGTCATCTATTATTCAGATTTTTAGTTGGGCCAGACTGCCATAGACTTATGTGTTAAGATCTTGGAAAAGTGACTGAATTTCGAAATTTATCAAAAAGTGCTGGTGAACTTGTCCAAAACTTGAATGGTATACCATATGATGACCCTGTTGATGGGTGTTGTACCCCTCCCCCCCCCCACATAACCAATAACCATTAGATAGAAGAAAAGAGCTTTAAAATGCTTTTCACTTGAAGCTTCTAGCTTAATTTCGGAGGATTTTACATCAATTTTTGTAAAATTCAAAATAAATCTTTTTTAGCTCACTTATGTCATGATCACCCCCCCCCCCCCCCCACCTGACTGAAAACCGAAAAACATTCCCATGAGAGGAATTTATGGAGACTACTGTAAAGAGGATCTTAAAGGAAATGAGTCACTGGAAAACACAAGATCTGCATCATTGCATGTTACATCTAGCTGAAACTAACATAGTCGGTTAATTAGACCTGCAATTAAACAACAAACAAATTAACTAGTTAACTAACAGAAGCACAATTAAATTTAAATGATATCAATTTTAAAATCCAACAAATAACATCACCACAATAGACAGTAAACCATTTGAAAAGCAACATACAGTTATGCAGATTTTTTAAAACCACAACAGTGTTTTTCATTGTATTGAAATCTATCATATTACTCTTATAATAAGTCATAATATTCCTGACTGTAGGTTAATTTAATAGGGTGTTCTCAGTCGCTTCCTGGTCATCTCAACCCCAAGTCAACTCAACCCAGTAAAACTCAACCCCAAGTCAACTCAACCCCAAGTCAAGTCGACCCCTGTAAAACTCAACCCCAAGTCAACTCAACCCTGTAAAACTCAACCCTAGTAAAACTCAACCCCTATTATTTCTATATATTGATAAACTTATAAGAAAGTTTATTTCATAAAAATAATTCTGTTGATCGTGGCATAAGCGAGCCAAAAAAAGATATATTTTGACAAAAATGATGCAACTTCCTTCCGAATTGGGGGGAGGGTGTGTGCGCACCCCTTCTGGCTACGCCTATATGCTTTCAGTCTATTAATTAGTAAATGTTAATGATTTTGTTCATGCATGTTCATATAAATAAAAAGTTATATTACATTGTTGATTATTTCTAAATTATCTTAAATTTGATTTCAAAAGATGTCTTAAATTGAATAATAGTTAATTAATCGTTTTCTTTTGGAATACTTTTACAACTTTTTATTCAAAGTATCATGCAAAATGCTTGATTTTCAGAAATCAATGACTTAAATCATGCATCATAAAAAAATTAAATTAGACATTGCACAAATGAATAGGGTTGAGTTTTACTGGGGTTGAGTTTTACAGGGTTGAGTTGACTTGGGGTTGAGTTTTACTGGGGTTGACTTGACTTGGGGTTGAGTTGACTTGGGGTTGAGTTGGACTGGGTTGAGATGACTTGGGGTTGAGATGACCTGTCACCTTCTCAGTTTTGTTTCTAATATCATTAAGAATTTCAAAATGTCTAGTAGGCTATCTTAAAGATTTATCAGAAAGAAAGAAATGTAGTAAAAATCTGCATATAATGTCTCATTAAAAAGTAAATGATCCTAATTAATTTCTGTATCCAAAAAATGTATTGATATGCCCAAAACAAAAATAAACATAAAAATCCTTTGATAATAAGGTAACACAAATTACCACAGATCAAAAAATAAAATCAATTTCTCATTTAAATCTATCCCAATGTACCATTCTGACTTCCTGTTGGAGGCCCTATACTGAGTGGTTGACCACTGTCAAGTTGCATGATCTTAGCAGATAGGATCTCTTGGTGATGGGCTACCATCAGATGCAGCTCACGTAAAGCCTCCTTTAAAAGAAACTATTACCAGTCAAGTTCAAGTCCCCGCCTGAAGACTCCTTTAAGAGAAACGATCATGCTAGCAAATGCTAGCAAAATATCCATTCCTCCTAAATTTTGAAATTTTAAGTACTGAAAAAATGTTATTTAGCACATACAATTTATTTGGTTAGTTTGAGTTTTGAACTCTGCTTAAAATCATTTTTTGTTTTTCATAAGCGGATCCACCTAAAATGTGCTGCAAAAAAATTGCCCACCAGTACCATGGGCTTTCAACTAGACTTATTGAAACCCGTGCCAATAGCAAACTTCTGACTTTGAAAGAATATAACTTCCAGATAAAGAAAAATACAAGGACATAGCATACTGTACATATACTCCTCCGCCATTGTCCCCATTCACAGATTCTGCTGGAGTCCGGGGCGAATCTGGGAACCAACAAGGGGGGCCAAATTTCAGGTCGAAAAAAAAATCTTTCGTGCTTGCGCGGGCCCAAATTTTGAGGCCCATTTTCTTCAAAATTTGGCCTGAAATTAAAAAATAAGACCCAGTAATAACCAAAAAGGCCCACTTTTTGGGGCCTTAAGGCCTTTTTTCACCCCAAATTATTTGGCCCAATTTTTTTTTCTGGGCCCACCCCAGATCCGCCAGTGGGAGTAATATGCTCTGAGGAATTCTATAAAGCATGTACTGCAGAGTACAGAAAATGCTGAGCAAATTGATTTCAGAAAGTATTGGATACAGTACAAACCTTAACTTGGTAACCTCTAAAAGTTAAATGAGAACTTCTGTAAAGTAAAAACACTTTTAATACAACTGGCCCATATTTATTCCTTTCCATAAGATTTCATGACAGATACACTCTAATTTGAACTTTATCTACGGTGGGTCCCAAAAGTGTTCACCTTAGAGAGGATTTTCTGCACATATTGTACTTACCAGCCTTTTTCTGTTGGTTTCTTCCTTGATAATATTTGCAATAAGACGTGCACAGTTCTGACAGTTGATCAACATCTTGGTGATGTGAACATTATTGCTCTTTTGGCTCTCAGTAGCAGCCCCTTTGAGACTGCAAAATCAAAACTTGAAAATTGGGAAAAATAGAAGACTGCAAAATCAACCTTGAGACAGCAAAATCAACTTTGAAGATAAGAAAATCAAGCTAGAACAAAATTGGAGACTGCAGAATCAAAATAAAACCATTGAATCATCATTTTTTTGTTAAAAAAGTAGAGTGAAACCTATAAAAGTAATAAACAATTAAGACCTGCCCAGGGGCTGCTATCACATGATTTATTCTTTTATTGCAACAAGAAATGTATCAGTGAAAGTATCTACTAGACTAAGTGATAACCTGCAAAGATCAGATGACAACATAACATTAAGTGATTGTGTATAAAAATGATATCACTAAAAATCAGAGGCAAGGAGCTTGGTCTCTAGTTTGTATATTATATATAAGGCCCATGGTCAAATGCAACTCTAAGCCTCCTGGATTTTTTTAAAAAGTTACCCCCCCCCCCCCCCCCCCCCCCCCCCCCCCCCTCTGAGTGGCTATGGGCCTGAGCTGTGCTAAGAACTACGAATAACTCACCATTCTGCTGCATCTGTAAAAAAGAAAAAACAATTGTGTGAATCTTATCTTGAGTTTAAATTTATACTGTTGTGGCAACTTATTTTGAACAATCTATCAATTCGCAGCCTGGCAAAGCACCGGGGGCAAAGCCAAGAAGCACTTTTAGGTGAGGCAAAAAATGAATTAATCTATACACAACTGCAATATTTCCTATATGAATATCCAGTATTTTTAAAGTGTTAGGCTAAATATAAAAAATCAATGTAGATGAAGATGTAACACAAGAAACTTTATTTTATTACTGTTCATGTGTACTCGGGCCCAGGGAGGGTGAATCATGAACTTCTTACATTGGACATGGGCTTTCAAGAAAGCCCATGGTTGGAGAATCATGACATCATGGCTTTATTTATATATCTAAGATTTCATCCATTGCCCCCATCAGAGTCTATTGCAAGACTTATGCCTGGCACAACCGTCACCATGTTATTTAGTGTTTTTAAGTTTCGCAGCGATCCTGCCATGACTGGTATTGTTATCGTGAAAGCCTGGTATAACCGTGACAATGCTATATTGCAAGGCCTGACCGTGGTAATGTTAAAGCCTGATATAACCGTGACAAATTGCAAGGCCTGTCATGACTGTGGTGATGTTAAAGCCTTATATGACTGTGGCAATGGTTGTAAGGCCTGTCAGCTGCCATGACTGTGGTAATGTTAAACCCTGATATGACCATGACAATGTTCACGTTCTTGAATGAGATTAGAATTATAGTTTGTGGAAATGAATTATGAGTTAAAGTAGTAGTACATGTTGTAGTAGTCTAGATTTACAAATTCAAGGTAGATGAACGATGAAATATTTTATTACTAATAGTAATCTCATGCTACTAAATGTCAATTAATATAACCATTGTCATGGTCATATTGTGCTTTAACATTACCACAGTCATGACAGGCCTTGCAACCATTGTCACGGACATATCAGGCTTTAACATTACCACGGTCATGACAGGCCTTGCAACCATTGTCACGGTCATATCAGGCTTTAACATGACCACGGTCATGACAGGCCTTGCAACCATTGTCTCGGTCATACATGTATCAGGCTTTAACACCCGGGCTTTAACATTACCACAGTCATGTCAGGCCTTGCAATATAGTATATCATTGTTATGGTCATATCAGGCTTTAACATTACCACGGTCATGACAGGCCATGCAATATAATATAGCATTGTCACGGTTATATCAGGCTATCACGATAACACTACCACGGTCATGGCAGGATCCTTGCAAAACTTAAAAACACTTAATAACATGGTGACGGTTGTGCCAGGCATAAGTCTTGCAACAGATAGGGTCTCCAGATAGCATGTGCATCAGAGACAGGGCTCTCACCAGGCTTTTAGACTGTGGCGCAGCACCACACTCTATTTAGCTCCCTCCACACCCTGTTGGCAAATCATGACTGTTTCCACAGTCTAAACTTAACTGAATATACAATAATAGCATGTAAAAAGGATAAAACATAACATAAATATGATTTATCACGATTGAACGGTTATTCTGAAAATGTTAGCACCACACCCTAAATATTTCCTGGTGAGAGCCCTGAGAGACATAAAAAACCTAGGATTTCTTCATCCTAGAAAAAAAACGATTTAGTCTAGCCAAAGTCATTAGGGGGCGGGGCCTAGAAGGAACAGTGTTTATATCCGTTCATAACTTACCTTCATACATTTGTAACAAATCATGATTTGTTTGTTGGGCCATTACGATTGAAACAATTGAACAAATAAAGATTTAATTTTCTATTTTTAAAATTTCCGCCATCTAATTCTTTAGAAAGGAAGAAAGCTGTGTCTGGATTTTAAAAAATGGCAAATTTCCGGATGGCGAAGAAATATCAGAACGTAATAGTATTTGTTGTTATTGCGGTAGCAGTTCTGTATTTTATTATTCCAAACGTCTACAAAAGTGAAGGTATGAATTTTTCTAATGTATATTGTGAATTTCAGATGTCAAAATTGAAGACTTGTGACCAAAAACAACAATTTTATTTTCCTAAACCGTCAGTGTCGGAGTTGGAGTCAATATTCTATTTATAAGTTTGACTTTCTAAAATAAGAGAATGATATGCTATCACCACGTATCTACTTACCATTATGTTGTATGTCCTCCGGCAATCTAGTTACCTAGATAAAAACAAGTCCAGGCCTGTCAACTTGGGAACACCTAACATGAGTGACTTGGAAATGTTGAACACCTCCCCTCAAAATGTGGACAAATTGGTCCAAATCCAAGGAGGATTGGCTCCCAGGATCGAAACTCGATATTTTCCAACAATGAAAACGTCGAAATGTCGTTATTTTCTGAAATTAAAACCGACTATAAATTCAAAATAAACAGTTCAAAAGATTCGAACCAATATCTCGATCATTTCTTGTGAGTTTTGGAATTTTTCGTTTGGAAATAAGACCAAAATTCACGATTTAAATGTTGAAGTGAACAAAATGGCGGCTGTTTGAATTCGAATTTTGTATTACGACATACCCATATATGGGACAGAATATCGGTGGTGCACTCTGGGAGCCAATCCTCCTTGGTCCAAATCTGAACACCTTGATCCAAAGGACAAGGTGCAATTATTGGCAAATATCCCTATGGTCAAAATGAATCATTCGTAGGTGTAACATGAAGAATAAAATGTCATATAATACTTTGGAAAGTATTAAAGTGCTCGGACACACATAAGCTGAGATAGGGATCATTTCGTTCAGTAAGGTTGTATTGACTTACATGGGTCTGTGCACCATTGACTTAACATGAGGATATCAGCAGATCCCAATAGAGGCCATTGGTTTCCATTGATTATCACAGAAATACCAAAAATACACTATGACCTGAATCGATTCCAAACTTAATAATTTCACAATACGACACAAAGGGTCTATCTCATCAAATGTGCAAATATGAAGTTTGCAATTGATTCAGGTCATACTTAAAATTAAAAGATTGTACACATTTTCATCATTTTTTCCCTACAAAATGGCTATAGAAAAATGCTCCAAAAACAACTTTTACACTTATCAAATATCATACAAGTTTGTAAAACCAAAGATTATACTATTATATTTCATTATGTAGTAACATATTTGGATAAGATGCAGGGATGCGTAGGATGTAAATGGATTTTGACAGACACAAAAATACTTCCTGGTTTGGAATCTATGCCTCTACACTTCATGATTGAATTATGACCCTAATAAGTGGCCTTAATACATCAATACAGTGCTGAATATAGGTCAACAAGATACTAGTGTGCATATAAATGTAATAATTGAAGCAGAAAACTCATTTTGAAAAATCAGATGAACAGTACTGTCAACCCCTAAAGATTTTCTCGCGGGACAGATTTTTTAGACCCAGTGCCCAAAATTCGCGGGATTTTGCGGGACATCTACTAAATTCGCGGGATTTCGCGGGACATTTAAGGGATTTGCGTGATTGCGCTAATAGGCCAAATTTTTTTTATCAAATTCACGGGATTTCGCGGGACCATTCGGGGGACAAACACCCTAATTGCGCTATAGTTAACAGGTTTACCACCAAAAACTTGATAGAGGGACAGATTTTTTAGACAAAGTGCCCTAAATTTGTGGGATTTCGCGGGACATTCACCTAAATTTGCAGGATGTCCCGGGACATTCAAGGATTTGCGTGATTGGGACTAATGTAAAAGCGTGTAAAAGTACTTAAATCAAACTTCCAGATACTGATTAATCAAATACAATGCACCGTTGCATTGTAACTTAAATAAACGTCAACACAATTTCACAAAATATGTATAGGAATATTATTAAACTTTAAAGTAATTTTTGCTTTTGCTTCAGGTGTGAGAACCGTAATCTAACACGAAATTCAAAAATTCGGAACAATACTTTGCACTTCTGGCGTCGTGAACAACTATGAAACGCTTACCCCCATAATGTTATATATTAAAATGTACCTATTCATGGCATTTTCTTTCAATTGAAAGCCAATGATATAGGGGTTCGATTAATCTACATCAAATTATAGGGAATGGGGTTACTTTTCTAGATAGGGTTTGTAGAAAAAAACGGGTACCGGGTAAAAAACGAAATATACGAATATACAACATAATTAGATCATTAGAAAACGTGTAAGATTTGTTTTGAATTTACAAAAATGTATGTAACTTCCTTCAAAATTGAGCTAGAAGCTTCAAATAAAAAGCATTTTAAGGCTCTTTTCGTCCTCTATCATCATATTTCCATTGGTAATGAAAGGGGGAGGGGGGGGATGCGATCGCACCCCCTCCTGGCTACACCAATGACATTGTAAGACGATTTGAAAAACAAGACAAATCAATCAGTCTATTTTCAATAGTTCGTTTGTTGGTACGTGAATTGTTTTGATTATGATTTAAATCTGTAAATAGCTATCGTTGCTTTAGCAGGGAGGTGACGTGTTAATTTACATGATTTTGATTATTAATCATAATTTAAGTTATCCCAATTTTCGACAAAATTGTTATGTCTTACAATGTCATAGGCGTAGCCAGGAGATGGTGCGATGGTGCGATCGCACCCCCCCCCCATAACCGATGAAAATATGGCCATGACGATAGAGGAAGAAAAGAGCCTTAAATATACTTTTTATTTGAAGCTTCTAGCTCAATTTTGAAGGATGTTACATACATTTTTGTGAATTCAAAACAAATCTTACAAGTTTTCTCATAATCTAATTTCGTTTTTTGGGTACCCGTTTTTTGACCAGGTACCGGGTACCAAGTTTGAACCCAGCATGGAGGATTTACTACCCGGTACCCGGTTTTTCTACAATGCACCCTTTCTAGATATCAGCGTCCATTTATTGTAACTCGCGTTTGCTAACATTTGCTCAGTTCTGAGATGAAGGCCACACGGATAGTAAAAAGCCCAACGTTAGAACTATTTTTGACCTACATCCCTATTTTCGTAATTAAAATGAAAGTTGAACCCTTCCTCTTTATTTTGATACCAAACAACAGCATGCTAGGTACTTAAAATTAGGTAAACTTTTCTACTCCTCAAAAGTGCAAAAACTTAGCTTCTTTTATAAGATAAGATAATCACAATATTGGGGATTGCAACAAATTCGGAAATTCGCGGAGGTCAAAAACCACATTTGCGGGACTTCGCGGGACATTGCGGGACACGCGAATTAGCCTAATTTTGATCAAATTCGCGGGATAATCCCGCCATTCGCGGGACACTTGACAGCTCTGGATGAATTATTTTTTTCCCATGGGGAGATCCTAATAGAGGGTGTATAAGGTCCTTTGAACACCTTGCGTGACATATACGGTGATGCATTCCATTCTGACTTTTCACGCGAATTTCCTATATGTCACGCATTTGGTTGGAAAATTGTGTATATGTCACCCAATTGGCTCAAAATTTTTGTACCTACCCCCTGAAATTCGTGTTGGATTATAGTACTTGCACCTCCTGTTGATATTAAAGGTCAAAATATATTTAAGTTTGGATATTTAATCAAGACTATCATATATTTTTATTGTCTCCAAAGAAACCCCCTGGATGAACATTATTTCAGCATAATATTCCTCTTGAAACGTGTCGGATCTTAAAAATCTATAAGTGGGACTCCCTTTATAGAAGTTTTGAACTGAATTTACACTTCTTAATGCTGACATTGATAGTTTATCCATGCATTTTAAGAAAATAGGTATGTTAAGGAAGATGTTAAGCCAAATGTTGCCCTGATAGCTCAGAAAAAGTAAAAATTTTCAAATTTTCTCTCTACAGGCCTTGTTGCCCCTTTAAATTGTTGTTGTTGTAGGGAGTATAATGAATTTAGACATGAGCATTCAGATTGGATTTCTTTGACTTATAATGCACCATTTAAATGTTTGTATGAGACCCCCAACATGTTCGGTGTTGGGATTTTGAAAGAATACAAAATTTTGGGCTGTCAAATTCATTGCCCTGCTAGGAGCAACCTTGTGAGTCAGATTCCCCAATCTGGGAGCAATAGTAACTGATCAAAATGAAGTTAAAAATCTAATTACGGTGAACATGCATTCCAAAAGTCTACTCTCATGTGAAATTCCTATTCAATGTATGGGATTTGATTTGTTTTATACATAGTACATTACTCTTATCACTAAAATCCTAGGTAAATGTCATTTCTTGATAAATGCCCAATAATTGGCATTATTTCAGAACTCTGTATATATGACATTACATGTATCATTTATTTTCAGATGCAATTGAAGTTGACCAATCAATCAAAACAAGGCTACGTCAAAAAGCATCACAATTTGATGATGTTGTGAAACAATATAAAAATATATCACAAGAAACACTTCACTCCAAAGGAAATGCCAGTGTTCTGCGAATCACCAAACCCCAATCTTTATATTTGTCAACATATCTTCGCATTGGAACAATAGAAGAAAATTGGATAAAAATCCGGGAAGGACACTTTGAAGTAAAAAATAATGAAGGAACGTGTACGTGCACTTTCGGAACATGCAAATGTTGTATACATTTTATGGTGAAAAAACTTAAAATTAATTCAGTTGTGTGTGCAGTATTTAGCAAAACAACAGTAAGTACATATATATCTACATTTACTGTACTTCTACTTAATTTGGGCGGCTGTTTTAATTTGGCTAATTTGGCCAAATTGTTATAGTCCACCAAATTAAGTAGCCGCCAAATTCCCCAGTAATAAAGTACCATTAAGGCCATCTTGCAAGTTCGCAAAATTAAGTAGCTGCCAAATGTTCAAAACACCAAAACTGCCAAAATAAGTTGCGCCAAATTAAGTAGAAGTACAGTTTCTATTATGATTGAATGATTACATGTTTAAGTGTTATAGTACTAATTATTTTCAGAAGATGTACATGTACCAATACTTTTATTGTTAAGAATTTTATGCAATGCTAGAAATTGAAGAATAGGAGAGGTGACTATTTTCAGTTTTTTGTGCACCTCACAAAAGAAACTTGAAGAAAGAGAACTCATTTTTCACATCATCTCTGTGAAAATTAATGTTAATCCATTTTACATGCAATCTTTCCATACATGCAGTCAATGCCAAAAACTTAAAGGGGCAACAAGGACTGTAGAGAGAAAATTTGAAATTTTTTCTGAGCTATCAGGTCAATATTTGGCTTAACGTCCTATTTTCTTAAAATGTATGGATAAACTCTAAATTTCAGCATTAAGAAGTGTAAATTCAGTTCAAAGCTTCTATAAAAGGAGTCCCACTTATAGATTTTTAAGATTCACCACGTTTCAAGAGGAATATCAGTTGAAATAATGTTCATCCAGGGGGTTTCTTTGTAGATAATAAAAATATATGTTAGTCTTGATGAAATGTCCAAACCTAAATATATTTTGACACTGGTCTATGATCGTTGAATGGCCCCCCTGCACTAATTGTTGCACCTTTAATAATATCAATTATACTAAGAAGAACACTCATTCTGGTACATAAACATTACTTGGTGACTCTGTTCAAGGTTTGTAATCCTATAAATCCATACATCAACATAATGTAGGACTAAGAACACTAAAAAAATCTGTTTACTCTAATACAAAAAATTGTTTGCCTTGAATTATGAAAGAAAATTGATTAAATATTTGTTTTGCATCTTTCCCTAAGCTATACTATAGAACCTACAAGCAACCAAGGTACCAATCATCAAATTGTTTGATTATAAGTTTAACTTGGTTTTGCCTGGTACAATTCTATTTAATAAAAGAAGTAAACTCATGAAAGCCCATCAGAACTCTTAACACCAAGCTTTGGAAATAATTTTCAATCTCTAACATTATCTTTATAAAAATCGTATAAAGGCAAGGGTTGTGTTATGCTCATAACTTTGTTTCTTAGAAACTACTGTCAACCAATTTTGTTTTTTTGTCATGTATGAGTATCAACCCTTAGGTATTTGTTAAATTTTTCGATTTATTCTATTAACATCACTTGAAGTGATGTTAAAACAGGGTTGTTAGCAAGGGAGAATTACATGGAGTAAAATAAAACACATGAAATGATGCACAGCTTGGGACAGGACACATTGTAGATCAATCTCTTTTTAAAACTAACTTGAACCACTAAAATAGAAATAAAAATCTCTTTGATTTAGGAGTATTTGTCAGATTTTGAAACACTTTACTAAACACACTATTTTTTCTAACTTAACACTATAACTGTTATTTTTCAAGGTTTTTTCATGTTTATGTTTTCATGTTTTATACTTCCTATAAAATTCTGAAAAATCGTTCAAGTGAATAAAGTAAGTCGTTTAAATATAAAATCTTGGAAGAAACTCGAGAAAAAATCTATTTAATATGTACAGTATACAGTAGTATGAGTTAATATGTGTACATGATATTTATTCATACTGTTGACTGTTGAATTCTATTAATTTAAACATGTGTTTGTAGGTTTATTATATATAGACTAGAATCATATGATGATAAAAGCCTCTAGAAAGTGAAAGTACTTATATTTTAACGAGCAGGCAAGAGACCTATATCAAAATACTCCCTTATATATAACAAAAGATTTGTGAGATTTAACATGGTGAACGAGGTGTCAAAAGGCACTAATTAGACAATTAATTAAAATAATATTCTCCATCCTTAACTAGTTCAAACAAAACAATCAGTGTTGATCACCACATAAATAGTTGTGGTCAACTTGTCATTGTGCCAGGTTGGAGCTCTGCCAGCCAATCTAGTGTTACGATAATTGTACTTTTTCTGGTTTGATTGACTTTATTGAACTAGTACGGTCTAGAACCAATAATCACCACTCATAATCATCTCCCTATCAAAATAGACTTGTTAGTCAATGGTTCAGACAGTGGGGTCTATCACACAGAAAACAGTATGCAGTTTCTGTACTAAATCCAGATGGACAAACGTTATAAAAAGTTTAAAAGAAACAGTTGAACACAATACAAAGAACCTTGAAAATACAATTGAGGCATAACATCCAAACAGGACCTCTACAGATAATTTATAAATCATCTGATATATTTTCAACAATGGGGAAGGTAGAACGCCACAAAAGTTAAAATGGCACAATACATTTCTGACATACCAGTATAGTGCACAACAACCAGTATAATATAATTCTCGATAGTACCAACAATATCCATCATTGGAATTGGTATCACCTAATGCCAATGAAATGCAAAGATCATCGAGACAATTTTTTCAAAATTCAAACGTGATACAACATCAGTATCTATTTGGCATACAGCCAGGCCTGTCAACTGTCCCGCAATGTGCGTATTTGTCACGCATTTGCTGAAGAATTTGAAGTCACGCCAGTTTTTTGTGCGTGACAGAAAATGTCACGCAAAATACGCATTTTACCTGGCAATTGTCAAGCAAAAATATTTCTGTAGAAATTTTTTCGAAATATGTTTACGATACGGTAAAAATACGAACGTCGGAAAAAACCGAACGCAATTTGTTCGGATTTGTCACGCGAATCCTGTATGTGTCACGCATGTTCATTGGAAATTTTCGTACCTACCCCCCCCCCTGTTGACGACATTGCGAGCGTAGCGAGCGCGAAAAATTTGAGGTGTTCAAAGTTTGGCAAAGGTGCTCAAACTTTGGCCAAATGTGTTTAAAAGTTGGCCAAAGGTGTTCAAAATTTGGACAAAAGTGTTCAGATTTGGACTTAGGTGTCCAACATTTTGAAGTCACTCATATTAGGTGGTCCCAAGTTGACAGCCCTGTACAGCATTCTCTCACAAGTGAATTATTTTCTGCTCATGTTAAAGAGGAACATGTTCTTAGTTGTCAGATGTGAGAGAAAGATAATTTGTTTTAGCTAATGATCATGCCTTCTGCAGTAACATCATATTGGATCATAAAAGGTGTGAGACGAATTTCTACCAGGAGCACGATTTACATCGTCATTATTTGTGCTGGTTCATTTAATCTGTTTTTCAGTTTAGTAATAAATTGTGTGGAACATTGAAACTTGTAAAAACGACCTGGTATACCCCAATGTTCAAAATGGCTGATGACAGCCTGTGGTGATGATACTGAAAATTGAAAATATGTTTCCATATAACATTGTATGTATCAATGTCAATTTTATAGTGTTATTTAAGTAAACTGGTCATTGTGTTTGCAAAGGTTTTGAATATATTAAAGTATGCTTTTTGGTATGATTTTCTTTACTTTTATAAATATGTGAATAATATAACTGAAGGAATATGACAGAATGTAATACGGAATAAAATTGAATTAGAATATATTGTTTTCTTGGTGAAATGCTAATTTGAGTAGTAAACCTAAATATTGTCTCTATTAGTAATGCAAAAGAATTGGTAATTGACTATTTATTCCACTATACATATTATGCCAACCACAAGAGAAATCTCTAAAAGCTTCCCAAAATTGATCAAAAATGGTTTATTTTCACTTTTTATACTCTGTAGCCAGATTGTATTTACTAAAATAAAATTTCTAAAAAAAATTAATGTTTAATTTTTTCTGCAAAAAAACATTTTTACCCAAAACACATTATGACACCTATTTCTTCTTGTTAAATATCAGTATCAATTAAGAAACCATTCACCTTTCAATTAGTTAACATGACTTGCCTGCTCGTCAAAAAGAGGTCATTATATTTTCAATGCACTGATTCTAGTCTACATTCATTTCACTATATGCCAACCACAAGAGAAATCTCTTAAACCTCCCCAAAATCACCAAAACTGAAATAAAATTTCTAATTTTTTTTAATTTTAAAAACAAAATTCTCTGAAAAACACATTTTTAACCCAAAACACATTTTGACACCTATTTTTCCTTGTTAAATCTCAGTATCAATTGAGAAATCATTTATCATTCAATTAGTTAACATAACTTGCCTGCTCGTCAAAAAGAGGTCATTACATTTTCAATGCACTGATTCTAGTCTACATTCATTTCACTATGACAACCACAAGATAAATCTTTAAAACCTCCCCAAAATCACCAAATTCGATCAAAACTGATTTTTTTCACTTTTCCGTAGTCAACCAGACTGTATTCACTAAAATAAAACTTCTAAAAAAATGTTTTAATTTTTAAAAAAAAATTCAGCAAAAAACACATTTTTTACCCAAAAACACATTTTGACACCTATTTCGTTTTGTTAAATCTCAGTATCAATTTAGGAACCCTTTTCCTTTCAATTAGTGAACATGACTTGCCTGCTCGTCAAAATATAAGATGTCATTATATTTTCAACCCCCTGATTCTAGTCTAATAATGCGATGCACCCTTATTAGATGAAAAAATTATAGTTATGAAATCCCAAAATAACTTAGATTAAATGCCAACATTGGTTTGTATGTATTATAAAAATGGCAACATTTAATTTTACAACCCCTAATATAGTTGCTACATTAGTAAAAAAAGGATAAAGCTAATGTAATGTTTTATATAAAAAAGGAGTCTGAACAATTTTTAAGACTTTCAATAGAATAGTCGAATTTTATGATTCCTGTTATTTTCACTTGCAGATGCTTGATGTTGTACTGTTATACAACGATGCTCCAGTATTACATGAACAACGGCCAGGTAAGGAACTACATCCTCCGATCACAGGGCTTCAAAATCCAGAATGCTTCTTTCTTTTTACCCCCTGCGATAAGCAGTTAGCATTTCCCCAATTGAGAACTCGCAATTTGATTCGCTGTCGCAACACTGCGACAGCTATCATGTATACGTCATCGGCGCATAATTAGATCACTTGATTCAGTTTAATCGGGCACTTCCAAATTGGTTATTGCAGGGGGGAAGAAGGAGGTACAGATTCTGGACACCTGCCTAGGAGGATGAGGAACTACAGTAGATATACTGTCAATAAATTTTTTTACAAACGTTAAAGACATCAGTGGTTCCATTGGGATTTTAAAGTGAAAACAACAGTAGACATGACATAACCAGTTTGTTGTTGAGTTTGCAGTGAGTGATAGTTGTTTCATATCATCTCTCTTTAATGTATAGGTGCAATCCCTAAGAGGTACATAAATTTGAAAACATAGACTACATTATTTTTATGGACCATGCTTCCTCTACCTTTCATGTTTTCTCAGCCTTTCACAAAAAATGTTTTATTTGCATCTATATCAATTGGAATACAGTGCACTTCATTTTTATTTCTTTGTACCTCTTATTGGTATGATGAATGCAGCATCCAAATTGGATCCTTGGAGAAAACATAATAACTTCATTTGAATATTTTAGAAATTTTAGTAAAGGTCAATACAGTTAATTATAAGATGTATTTAGAGGAAAAGTTAATTTGATTTACAATTAATGTAGATAATTTTTCAATACATCTTACATGTAGTTTGATTTTTCATATTTAAAGATAGTTTCATTCATGATAGGAATTATGACAAGCCTGTTTGGCCTCAGGGTGCACAGTATATATTGGTACTTTATCCCCACCCAGAAACTTTTTTCAGATTTGCTTTTCCCAGATTACTGCTTGCAACCTTTTGTAACCATTTGCTAGTGATATTTTGGCATGGAGGTTAACCTCTTGAATCCCAGGCTCTAAAATCGGTTGAAACCAAAGAATATTTCATTTTTGCCACCTTTTGACATTTTCCTACATACCTATACAACTTGAGATGCTTAGTGAAATTAGATGGCAGAGATCATTTATACACATATTAAAACAATTTTTGTGTAAATTGGATGAAAATTGTTCAAATAAGAGCAATTTAAGTGAAAATTTTTGTGACTGATTTTCTCATCACTCTGAGTTTCAAGGTCATTTCTGAGGTGACGAGAAATCTCGTCACTCCAGGTAGTGGAACACCTCCAAAGTAGAACACTTTTTAAAGGTTTTCACTTGTATGTTCACTTTAAACATGTAGTTTAACCTCCCTTTTGTATTGTGTCATTGCTAAATAATCAATTTTAAAACAATTTTTGTGTAAATTGGATGAAAATTGTTCAAATAAGAGCAATTTAAGTGAAAATTTTTGTGACTGATTTTCTCATCACTCTGAGTTTCAAGGTCATTTCTGAGGTGACGAGAAATCTTATCACTCCGGGAAGTGGAACACCTCCAAAGTAGAACACTTTTTAAAGGTTTTTACTTGTATGTTCACTTTAAACATGTAGTTTAACCTCCCTTTTGTATTGTGTCATTTTAGCGAAAGAATCTATGCCAGTCTGTATCCATCAGGCAGATTCTGGGGCTGAATTGTGTGCAGTCTTCCATAAGCTACAGATGCATCCATTCCAAGACCAGAGCTACTCACTCGGTGGATGTCTAAACTTTCAGCTCGTTGTCATGCAGAAAGAGAAGCTTGTATTCCCTTCGGGTTGTTTTGATTTGTCACAGTAACATATAGCTATAGGATCTATGAACTTTAACATTATCATGCATTATGATTATGGGTCGTCAAATATGTTATATACATGTATTTACCATTTGGTGAAAATATAGCTTTAAATATGTTCACAGTACAGTTGAGTATGAATTTGTTGGAATGTATTTTTTTGAAATGAACAGAATCTCACAAAAGTATGAAAAGGAGTGTTTAGATGTCACCTCTTGGACTATTTGAAACTCAAGCTTCAGCTACAGCACTGTGTATTCTGACTGTTATGCAGTTAGATGAATTGTATTACTTGTTATATGTGGTAACTTTAATTATGTTGTTATTAAGGCAATATGATTAATCGCAATTTTGTTATTTTACTTACAGAGCTAACAGAAAATTCTTTTTTACTAAAGCTGATAAGAAAATGAATAATATATACATGTAAAGTGGGATAAACCTGTCTATACATGTGGGTATTTGTAAATACATATCATGTTCAGGTGTTATACTTCAGGCATGTTACAGTGGCCAATCTAAATATTTATATACAGTCTAAGGAAGGGGAATTAATATAGGCTTCTTCATTTTTCTAATTATTTTTAAACAAAATAATAGTATTTGTAAAAAATGTAGAAAATAAATCGTTACTAAACAAAATCACAATATTACAGATTCTAACATGACTGTATTCACGCCTTCTATTAACTGTTAACAAAGTCAACATTTCACCTGGGGTATAATTGCGAACATTGCCCCTGGTAATACATGTAATGTGTGACGTCATAAAGGTGGGCCGTAGTAATGGCGGACCATTATGAATAAATCGAAAAAATTTTGTGAGTTTTCATGTTTGAATTGTAATATAGACCTCAGAGCAGATGTAATATCGTCGAATACACCCCTTAGGGCTAGGCACAAAAGCTTTCGAACCCCTCACTCCCTTTGGTCGTTCAGGGTTCAGAAAACGTTTGTGCCTAGCCCTGCGGGGTGTATTCAACAATATTACCCCTGCTCTTCGGTCTATATTTCGTAAATAATGTATGGCATAATCGTTCATTTATGTAACTGTATTTAGTTAGTTTAATTTTACCAGTCTGAACCACTGACTGAATTTAAGTTTCAATAACATGTGTTTTGGAAGCAGACACTTGGAAAAGCCAATTTTTCAAGTAGATGTACACTCAATGCCAGACAGGTAGATAAAAGTTAAAGGCCCTATACTTTAGTATAATAGAAATTATTTGCGTGTTAAAAATGAATGACATCACAGAAAAGTTATGAAAAGTAATATGTGAATAATTAAACTATACTTTCACATGGGGACTTTAAATTTATAGTTTTTTATGAAGTGTGTTGAAAGAAAGGAACATGGAGATTTTTATTTCTTGTTATTTCTTGATTCTGTATGTCAGTCATGATATTTATGTTGAATGCCTGCTGAGAATCGCAGGTTATAATCAATGAAAGTACACAAGTACAAAAGTGTGATATTCTTCATTTATTGTTTTTATATTTTTATATAATCATATGTAGTTCCATTAGTTTACATCACAGAGTATCTAGCAAGTAGAGATACAACTGCTCCAGTAAAATAGTTAATTGTTTAAAAAATCTCAAAGAGTATTTATCTTTAATGAGCCACAGTTGCCTCAGGTAGTTATGTCTTTAGAGGATCAATGCCAGATTGTGTATTGTATACACTGTATGTTATGTTCTACTCAATTGTTTTACTCAGTTCTTCCACTCCTATGAAACAAACAGACATATGTATTTTTGAAAAAATGTTTGTATTTTGTATTTTCATATTTTTAAATGTATGATTGTTTCTCAACATTCCTAAAGATATTTGTAAATCAGTCTGATCTGATGTTTGTCTGGACTGACATTCCAAACAGAGTTAGAGTCAAGAACCCTAGTGAACAAAATTGCATATAGTAAAACATCGCTAGCGATTCGCTAGATATTTGGTTCCATCAACCAGTTGCCCAATGGTTGAAAAAAATATTTTAGAAATGAAAAAGGTAAAAATCAATACTAGGTTTAATTACAGGTAGTTAGTTGTTTTTAGAGTCGCAGGTAGCAAATATTAATACTTTGGAATAGCAGGTTTCAAGCAATTCCTGAAATATAACGGACAAATATATGTGAATATTCACACTACTCTACCCCCATACTGTAGCCTGTATTTCTTTAAAAGGGATACAGGCTACATTGAAGTTGCAATTGGAGCAGATATTCTCTTATCTTTGTCTATACGACTGTTCTGAAAATAATACAATGTAAACTGCCCAATGAATCTGTATAGTGAAACACTTGGAATCTATGAAAAATCTAGTATACCTTCAAAAATATGGAAATATACAAGCGTCCTCCATTTGCAACTTCACTGTAGCCTGTATTCAGTTTAAAAAAATACAGACTACAGTATAGGGGTAGGATAGTGTGATATGACATACTGTATATGATATATGTTCTTAATGCTTTATGAACAATAAGTTTAATATTGTCTGAATGAAATGAATCATTCCAGTATTTTATTTTCATATTAAGTATATAATCAAGTTACTTTGTATTATTGTGTGTTATCACTCAAACATATGTGTTATCAAAGATAACTAGATGTATTATCTTTATTTTGTATATGCTTATCTTTTTTATTTTCTATGTTTATATTATTTTATACTAAAATCAATACAACTAAATGGGGAATGTACAACTTAACTTATACTAACATATGTTTTTATCGCCACATATCTTGCATAGGCAAATATCATACAGTTAATATGTAGTTAGTATTTTGTATACATGTATGAAGTTAAAAAATAATATTGCTGTGTGATTACATTCCCATTAAGTTTTGTAATAATCATACAAGACTTAGTATTAGTTGCAACATGTTATGGCATAACAATATAATTGTGTTATCAAAAAACCATAAAATCTTTGTTATTTTGGGACACATATTATTTTCTAAAATACTAAACAAGATATGGGAAATAACACAGGTGTGCACAAGTTTGGTGCATTTAAATTTCAGCAGTCCATTACTTACTGTTGGTATGACAACCATTTATTTGTTATTTAAACACAATAAATGAGGATGTGAGCATGATAACTAAAAAACTATGCAATACATTTTAATCATACAATGAGACTGGTGAAAATAATCTACACGTTATTTCTTTGGAGAAATATCATTATAAAAAAATATTATAATCAATGCAACACTTCCGCAACACTTTCCATATGACATGACTTCCTATTCAAGCTTCTATGAAAAATTATGACAGCTACATTTAGAGTGATTAACATCTTTTCAGCTTCAAAGATAATGTCCCACTCAGTCATGTCCCTGAGATTCCTGTAACATGCCATTTTCTATCCATAGATATAAATCACCCTGGCCTTATGATTTGTCATGATTTATAACTTCACTGTGCGTGGCATGAAATAGCCATAGAGTGTTAAATACATGTGAAATAAACATGACTAGAATGCCACTTTGAAAAACAGCATTTCAATATAACAATTTGGTATGGTAAAATCTGAACACCTCTCTAATCTGAACACCTCTCAATATGAACACTTTTCAGTTCCACTTGTAATTATTGGCTCACTTTTTAAGACACCTTGAAATATGAACATCTTTGGCCAGTCCCAGTTGTGTCTGGATTAGACATATTCTATTGTTAGTACCTCAGTTGAAATACTCGGAGCGGTGAATAATTTTAACTGTACACCGCGCAATGCATTGCCGGTGAATAATATTCCCAGCATTCCACTAAAATGACGTCATTATCAGACGATAAAATGGCCGCCGCTAGCACTAGCCGTTTCAAAAATGTTGAAGATGAGGATATTATTAGTCTCTTAGAGAGTCAAGACAGTCAAAATACGAAGAAAAATCTAAAACTTTGTACAAAGCTTTTAGTGGACTTCGCCCAGGAGAGTAATTTGACTCCATTGAGTGAACTTACTGCCGTGGCAGATGTAGAGGGTCTCGAGGGTCTGGATCCAACTTCAAGTCAACTTCAAGGGTCAGAAAAATCTAAGATATTCTTCGGACTAACAAAACAATTATAGACCTCTCCATTCGGTTTACTGTCAAAATTATATCCCGAGACTGTAAACCGAGACCGTAAACCTCTGGAGAGGTCAATAATTGTATACTGTATATTCATTTCATGAGAATGAAATATATCTTCAATTTCCAAGGTGATTATCACACAACAAGTTGGAGTACAACTGAAATCTTGTGAATGTGATGTTCAAGTAAATAGCTAGTATAGATGGCAGACTACAACTGGTTTGATGTTGGGCCACTTCTTGTATTTTATAACATGTAAACAGGTGCGAATCTGAAAACTAACAGGTGGGGCCAAGATTTCAAGTCAGAAAATAATATTCCGAAAAAAGATTTGGGCCCCTAAAACAAAAATTTTGAAAATTTAAGGCCCATTTTTGATAATTTGGCTTTAAATTAAAATGAGGCCGTAAAGGCCAATTAATGCCCAAAAAGGTGAACTAATTTGGGCCCTAAAAAGTTCGGGGCAACACTCAGGCCCGTCAGACACTTTTCCCCAAAAGGGGTGCGAGTGCGACTTCACAATTTTTTATTGTAAGTACATAAATGCGCTGATTTCAGGTCCATTATGATCATTTAATCTATCATTATTTACTTGATTTACTGCATAATGAATTCAATGTTATTAGCAAATTTACAAACAATGTTGCAAATGGATTGTGGTTACTTGGACCTGGAAATGGAATGGTGAAAAATATCATGGACATTCAAACATATCTATTTATAGTCTGTGACCCCATTGATCACAGTGCCATCTAGTGTGCAATACAAATACTTGGAATCCTAACTATTCATGTCTGAGCCATTTACACTTGTCCATTTTCCATTGGAATCAGCATTAGAAGTCATATTTGAGATTTGACACACAGGTCCATTGGGGTTGTCCCATTTATCAACACCGAATTCAATTTTATTATTAGAATTCTGAGATTCATATTCAATTTCTGTGTTCTCATTTCCCCACTGACCAGTCATTTCATTGAAACCCTGTAAGGACTGTGTGTTTGATATAACAAATGATAATGAGTTCTTATTGTCATCTTCTGCTTGTTGGTCCAGTTGATTATCAACATCATCTGAGGTGCTATCCTCACTGTTTTGCTCACTGCCAGATGAGTGTTGCTTCTTTATGTGTGCCTCCAAAGCAGGCTTAGAGTAACCTCTATAGTCGCAACCCTTAATGGTACATTCACGGAGAAGTTGTCCCTGGAACTACATGCAAACATCTGGTAAGTTTTTGAATTTCCAGAATGATTAAGGTATTTATATTTCAAATAAAATATTATGGGGTAAGAGTCCAGCTAGAACTGCATTGTTTCCCAAAAACGCCTGATTAATTAGAATCAAATTATACATATTTTAAATGTGTTATACATCGAATGAAAGCTGGAATAAAGTGTTCAATTGTTTTTACAAAGTTATTTTTTTTAAATTTAACCAATTCTGGCACATGTACATTAAGAGAGTAAATGTCACCCAACCAGGGCTTTAATTATGTCACACCAGTTTATTTCATGAATTCATTTCTAGAAAAGTTCATACAAGTAATCTTTATGGTTGAAAATTTATTTAATTAAGATTTATATTTTAATTGTGCACAAGCTCAAAATGAACATAATTAAATTTTTCAGGTTTTACCTCAGGTGCCTTGTGAACATTGGCCATGTGATTCTTCAAAGACCATTTATAATGGAATGCCCCCTTACATTCAGGCACTGAACAAATGAACTTCTTATCTGAAAAAATAAACACCAAATCTGAACATCCTACTATAAACATAGGGACCTCTTCTCGCTTTCCTTTTGAAATTAGCTTATCAAAATAATAATTCATATTCCTTTTGGGTATTTCATAAGACACTTCGTAAATTCAACTTTTGTTGAATGTTGAAAGATACTACAAGGAATCAAACAGAATTGTCTTTATCAACTTAAGTCTGTTGAGCAGTTTATTGCTTGCCCTCCTGCTACCCACAAAGCTGGCAGTAATTATACAAACTATTAAGATACCCTATTCTCTCTAATGAATGCACAGTGCGGTTCCCAAATTGAAATTTAAAAGGGTGAGATAATGAGATTGAGAGATTAAAAGAAACACAAACAAAAAATTAGAAAAAAAATATTGCCCATAATCTTTTTGGTTATCACCTAACTCTACAGCTCCTGTATTTCTTTCTTTGCATTATCATCAATCAATATCTTGTTAAGTAAATAATCAAAACTAATGCATTTAAGGCCAACCTGCACTTTCTAACATTTTGATGACCATGTGCTTTTTTCAGTTTTTCAGAGGAACATAACTCATTCCAAACATGGCCTAATCTTTTATTTTTTCATCAAAGATGCTTTATTGTACCCAGATTATTAATTGAACATAATCCTTCTTTAAAATGTATAAATAACCAGAAAATTGCAAAAAAAATCCTATCATGCAGATCTGCCTTAACTCCATGATTGTTGAGACCATATTCAACATAAAAGTTGCACTTGCCCTCATTTGAACTGTGCACTCATTAGAGAGAATACAGTAATAAGATTCATAACAATAAAAAGAAAAACCTTTGTGTATCCTGACATGATCAGATCGCTGACTAGCAGTCGTAAATGCTTTTTCACAGAACTCGCAAAAGTAATTTTTGATCCCAGCATGGGCTGCTTTATGTTTTACGATAAAGTTATAGCGTAAGGTCCAATAACTACATTGTTCACAGTGATATCTGAAACACATAAAAAATCAAAGTGATTATAAAGATCTTGGGAAAAATTTAGAGCCATAAAAAATAGCCCTATGGGTGAAATGTCTACTAAGTCAAGAACTCTATGATGTACTTTTTAAATCACTAACTAGAAAATTAGGATAAAATTGAAAAAATTCAAAATAGGATGACCAATCAACCAATCAAAAAGCCCTCTATATATTAAGGAACATACAGTCCACAATTTTGGCTAGTATGAAGGATGTTCCATAAGTGTAGGCCCTAAGGATCTGAAACCTGCTGGTCAAAATTGCATTACAACCAGTTGCAATGTTATTTTCCTATACCTAGTGAAAAAATAAACTGGTCCAATTCAAAAGTAACCTGGAAATGACAAGCAGACTGGACCTTATGGCCTACTGGTTCCATACAGGCAGGTGTTACTATTTTAGGATCACTATTTAATCTAAGTGTACATACATTTCATGGCCATCTGGCACAGGGGATTCATGCTTCTTGGCTTCATGTTCAATGAGATCTTTGCTGCCGTTGCATCTGTATTCACATGAAGTACAAAGGTATCTCTTTTCAACAACCTTGGGAGGAAGTTTCTTATGGACTTCATTTTGATGTTTCTAAAATGCACAAGGAGATATTTTTAGGGTTGCCTTTGATTATTGTAAATATAGGAGGAATTGTATGGATTGGAACTAATTTGTTTACTTAGACATGTTTAATGGATATAAAACATGTTTTTCAACAATGGGCAGATTGGCAGTCTGATAACAGCGGGGAGACTGGTACTGATGGGGAAGGTACAGTATAATATAAATACTTGGCAAATAAATAAAACTTTGGATAAAAATTAAATTGCAGATTTTCTCATTAAAATTTTAGAAGATATACGCATGGTACACGGCTACACGCATATACGTGGTTAATTTCGGAAATTAAATTTTTAAAATCAAACAGTACAAGTCTGATTAATATATAACAATTTGCTATGTTTTGCTATCTTACCAAGCGATAATAACGATTCACAAACTTCTCATTGCAGCCAGGGTATTCGCAGGAGAGTTTGTAGTTCACACTGTGTTTATTCACTTTGTGTTTCGCCAGCTGTTTCATTGTGATGAATTCCTGTGAGCAATACTACAAAATACAAGTTATTAAATATGAGGGAAAGAATATGGATTTTATTCCTAGTGGCAATATGATATTGACCAAGAAAAATAACAGAGGGCCCTATTTCACTCCGAGCCAGTTCGTTCCCCTCCAAGCCTATTTATTCCATTGAAACATCATGTTTTCCACTTGATGAAAAATCTCCTTCAATTTAGGCAAGATAATATTATTATGTGTCACAAATGTTAAGATCAAACAGCATGCCATCAATGACTCTAATAGCCAAGTGAGTAAACCCTCTTCAATCACAGTGGTCCCATAAAAACAATAGACTTAGCTTGTATTCGCTAATGCAACTTTAGGCTGTCAGCTACCGGATTAACTTACTATCTTATGACAAACTCATTTAAATATGAATGGAACAGTAACAGGTACTATTCATATTCAAATAATTTGGTCATAAAATTGTAGATAATCCGGTAGCCGACAGTCGCTATTTGCATTTGGGAATACAAGCTTAGAGTACTATTCTGTAGTCTAAAGGGCTTATAAAGCAAGTCTTCTCTTACAAAAATCAGATGGAGTAGCGTTTACCCAACAGGGTTTCCTACTAAGGTTGAAAACATTGCTACAGCCCAATTTAAAATATTGGTATTCAGTACATAGCCCAACAGTCAATTCATTTATCCAAGTTCATTGCCAAGGGATAATAAGGCATTAACATGCAACATGTGTTCATTGCCAAGGGATAACAAGGCATTAACATGCAAAATGTGTTCATTGCCAAGCGATAACAAGGCATTAACATGCAAAATGTGTTCATTGCCAAGGGATAACAAGCCATTAACATGCAAAATGTCACCACCAGCCATTTGTTACAGACACCATGTTACAAATGGCACAAACCGCCATTCACAAAAAAGTTGCAGACCATATATGCCATCACTTCTGGTGGTAATGGACATAAAAATGATTGACATTGTCAGCCAATCAGCTGTGAGATTCAAGCCTAACACCAAGCAGCATTACAGGTATGTCATCTGACACTCACCTCACATCTAAGCCTCTTTGCTGAGTGTATATTGTGCTTGAATTCCATGTGTGCTCTCATATGCTTCACATTTTTCGATGTATAAAGACAATCTTCCTCCTTGAAACAGAAAAAAAGAAAAATGAGCAAATTATTGCATGATTATATATTGAATCATCATGGCTGCCAGGCCATTTTTATTTTAGATGCTATCGACCAATATTGCTGACTAATTTTAAGCAAAAAGCTCTAAAGTTTGGTGTGTTGTGACCTAATACAATACGCCATGTAGTCTCATTGATAAGATCAGTGACTGAGAAGTGTGAGGTATTGTGCAGGTGATAAAAATGTACAACGTTCAATTTTGAAAAATTTTGCATTCAAGAAAAAGCCATGGAAAGGGAAGCATTCGTAACAATATGTTTCTCTTGGTAATTAGAAAGTGAAGTATCTATGCTAAAATCATATCATAACACTCATAAAATAAAGCAGACATTCAAGGCGCTAACATTCAAAATGTAACTCCCTGTCATTCGTAACAGACAAACACCACACACCACACACCAAATGCCGATCACCATCCACAAAAAAAGTTAGAACTTTAACAATATGTAACCACTTCTTGTGTAGACATGAAATCTCACCTGGCACGCATGCTTTGGTGAATCCTTAACATCTCGATGTTTTTCGTTCATATGTGCGGAAAGCTCTGACCTTCCCATTCTTCCGTAACTTCTGAACTCATCACAATGGTCACACATTACGATCGTTCCCTGCTTTTTGTGGCCTTCATATAAATGGCACTTCAGTAGGTGTCGGGAATGGAACATGGCATCACATCGCCCACACTTATATTGTTTCGGGTCGTGCCCTGCCCTCTCTGCTTTGTCTTTGCCACGTGTCTCCTCAACAGTATCCTTTGATAAAAGAAAGCCATATGTACGAACAAGAATTGTAAAATTAATTCATATACATTTACTTTCTATTAATTGATTCGTTGTGATGTCAAAAACAGTTTGTGATAATGATAATCTAGTTTTATTAAATTCAATTATCAAATATTAAAAAATGACATAAAAATATTGGCTGTAACACAACTTGGTTGTCACATATTAATAATCAACACAAGGCATTAACATGCAACATAGCATCACCTGCCATTTGTTACTGATGCTGTCCACAAAAAGTTGGGGAATAACAATATGTCACCACTTCTGATTTTGACATTAAACAATCCTTACCACATCCGAGTCTGCTGGTACATTATGCACTTCTACCATGTGGTCACTTAGCGAAGTATGCTCCACAGTCTTATAGTCACACTCTTTAACCTGAAACGAAAGAAATTGAAAATTGAGAACATTCATGCACATGCAGAAATACCTGTATAACCAAACACCTCTCTTATTCAACCATTCTTCAAATATGAACACTTTCTTGTCCCAATACTTGCACCCATTAGCTTCCATGTATAGGATATTTGAAATTTGAACATCTGTCAATCCGAACACTTTTGGCTGGTCCTTGGAGAATTTGAACTAGTGACAGCTTCTATGAGATTACAGATTTTTCTTAGATTTGATTTGCAGTAGAATCGTACAAATTTACATTTTAGGTATAGGATTTACATAGTACATGGATTTAAACTTACTGTACAATCCATAATAGAAAATCCTTCTGACACTTCCTTGTGCTTTTGGAATACATGGACGGCAAGTTTATTCTTGTCATCATGCATATAATCACACTTTTTACATCTCCCCACCCATTTTCCTTCATGTACTTCCATCACATGAAACCTGAGGACCCTTAACACGTCAAAGTCTTCATCACATTTATGACATGGTAACTTCCTTTTTTTATTAGGTCGTTTATTTTTATTTGGGTCGCTATAGAAAAGCCTTTTAGTGTATTCTGGTTTGAGCAATTCATAATCAGGGTGATCCACAGGTTTAAGTTTTGGGAAATAGATTTCTTCACTGATCAAACTTTTGTCCTGGCCTTTTCTCTGGGCCTCAGCATATGCCGAGTCTCTGTGATTATCTCTGTGTCTTTTTATACATCTGGGGTTCACATTCCTGTAGTTGCATTCGCCTACCTAAAAAAATATTACTTTTTCAGTTAGCTGTCAAATATACTCACAAAACTGGCATTTCCCTGGTCCCGTCTTTGGTGTCTTTGGTGTGCTAAATGAGAAATGGCAGACGCCAGGTGCTGACCCACTGAAATGGACCAGACTGCTAAGGTGTAGTAATCATATAGTAGTTTGAAGACTGTTGCAATATTTTAACTTTGTACATGGGGGTACAAAGTGGAAAGAAGTTTTCCACTTACAAAGGTTCATTAACATGAAATCCATGAGCTACTTTTAGAAAATGTTCTACTGAGAGATGTTCCATTTACATTTTGATCTAGCCCTCAAAATGAAGCAACAAATACCAGCAATTGATGTATTAATCCAAACAATACCTGTGATATTGTGTGACGACAAAACACCAATGGTTTCTTCAAAGTTCAAACCAAATCCTGTAGCCTTTTACCCATAGCTCAAATTGATATGACATCAATATTTTGACTTAAAATCCTTAATAAATTACATATCCCTTACCTGACACTCCATCAAGGGGTATTCAGTAGTGACATTCTTATGTAAATTAAAAAGATGCGTAGCCATATCATCTTTATGACAGGTTATGTATTCACAGTGGTGACACGCCCCAACCCACTTTGTAGAATGCTCCATCAACATATGGTACCGCAGATATGTTCCGTTTTGTAAGACCTCGTCACATTTTTCACACACAAACTTTTTGATTGGCACTAATGTAAATGTGGTCTTTGACATTTTATTATCATTGTCTATCGTTGGTTCGTGTGATTCTGCGCCAGAAGGAAGCTCGCCATTGGGTCGGATTTCAACATACAGAGTGTTTACATCTTTTAAGCATTTTTCATTATGTCGTTCAGGAGTATGGAGGGCACTCTTACAAGACCCAGCTTGAAGAGCTGTTTGTTCTGGATTTGAGTTAATTTCATTTGACACTGGATGTTTTCCAGTGATGGATTTCACATGTTCACTAAATACAGGGTGTTTCTCAGAAACTGATGTCACAACGTGTTCTCCAGGGATAGATACAAAACTTTTACTTGACAAGCTCAAATTTCCAGAAGGGTTTTGAAATAGTACAGGTTGTTCACTAGGTATAGATTTTGAGCATTCATCTCCATTTGAAGATATCTTGTTCATTAGCTGTGCTTGACTGCCAATCTTGAGTAGTTGAAACCCAATGTTGTTTGGGAGACTGGTGGATTCTGTTGATACGAGAGGTTGAACAATTAAATTACGAGGTTGAATAGCCACAAAGCGTTTCATAGCTTGAGATGTTGGGTCAGGCTTTCTTTTGGGGCTCTGGTTTAAAGGTGTAGTTGATTTACGTTTTAATACAATAAGAGGTTTTGCGGTTATTTGAATCTCCTGATTGGGTTGTTTGGTTTTGTCCATGTTCATATTGGGAAGTTGAAGCTCACTGATGGGAGGCTGAATATTTAAACTGCGAGGTAAAATAGGAACAAATCGTTCCATAGCTTGAGATGTCTTGTCCTGCGTTGTTTTGGGGTCAGACACATTGCTTGGAGATGAAACCATCGGAGCCTGCACAGGATGCATGGTAACATGGCCAGATGCAGTCTCCTGATTGTCAGAGGTGAGAGAATCACTGTCCAACTGTACAGTACTGTCACTCTCAACCTGTGACTGTTCCATACTTGTGTCCATGCTATTGTAGTCATCATCATTTTCAACTTCTCGTTTGATATCTTCCTCTTTTATTTCCAACTTAACACTACTGCTCTGTTCAGTTTCTTTTGATAATTTGTTGATATACGACTGGATGTAAGCTATTGCAAATCCTAGCTTTAGTTTTGTACAGAGAGTAAGCATACCTTGATAATTAACTCTGTTCACCTCAAGTTCCCCGATGTACAGATATCTGATCACGTTCAGCAAATCCATGATCTGTATTCCCTGGATGTCATCCATGTCTATTAATGTTTCTTTATTTTGATCTCGTGTTGTGTAAGATGTTGCAGCTGAGAACCAATCAGACATTGCGTTGAGTATGCACTCGTGAGCTGGTATTGTACAATTTCCGAGTCTAACTGTGATGTCACAAAGAAGTCCTTTCTCTCTCATATTCCACAGATTTGTGTGTAACTTAGACGAATGCTGCTTATCAATGAATACCTGAAATAATGTCAGAAATATAAATTATCAAGCTACGTGGATTGAAGTGGTTATAAATAATTGATTTTCTAAATGCAGTGATCTCCCCAGGATTTTTTCTCAGGCGAGTGTAAAATTCTCATTTTCACAATTCAGACTAAAATTGATCAAAATATGCCAATTTTTCATCATTTTTCTCATTTTCAAGTGGGTGCAAATGGATCATTGATTTCTTGTGATATAGCATAAATCATTCCAATCTTATCGGCACAAAAATAATAAGCAAACATATGTTTCTGGAAATCCAAGTGATTTTACCCAAAGTAGTTTGTGGGATGACAGAATTCCCCACTTGTGTTATGTAAATGGAACTTCAAAACCCTTTCCATTTACATAACAAAAGTCAGGGGCATTAAATCAATGATTCTGTTGTCCTCTGATCTATTTGTTCGCTTTCCAAACGTGTAGATTTTCTAAAACATATGGTACTGATTACTGACACACATTTATGATAAAAAATGTTATGGGAATTCTGCCTACAACTCATGAAATATGCCTGAAGATAAGTCTGAAGAGTGCAGTGAAGATGTTATCCAATTCAAAGGCTTAAAATCTTAGAATCACAGTTGCATCATCTGATTTTTAGAAATCAGCACTTTATTTCCAGTGTTTTAAATATACTCACTGTTCTCATGGGGTTGTAGATTTCACCAGTGAAATTTTGAAATGGCTGGTTAGGCGGATGTAACATGGCAACATCAGGCCTGCCTGTATTTTCATTATGGCCAGACATGCTTCTGGAATATATTATATATATATTATATTACATGTAAATATAATAAAATTTAAATAAAAACATAAGATGATTTCATTTCGTTGCAACTAGTTTATATTATTATATATTATTATATTATATAATGTTAATTGTCACACAAATACAGTAAAACCTGTATGACTAGAACACCCCCGGGACACAACAAAAGTGTTCGGATTAGCAGGTGTGCACAATTCAAGATTTCTAACATTGTAGTCGATGGAAGATTAAAAATTGGGACCAAGAAAAAGTGTTCACAATAGAGATGTTGAGATTAAGAGGTTCTGTTTCGATATACAGGTTTTTGTTCACAAATTTAATTCACAACAGATTATGCATTGATCTTATCCACTTAGCGGGATGATGTACATGTTTGAACTAAAATAATTATGTCTCCCACTTACATGTGGGTCACAATTCCTGTAGTCATATAAATCCGACCATCGTATGCTTTATTTGTCATTATTTTTTGATAATTTGGATATTTATTTTTTGTTATTTTCTTGCATACTAGGGTCGTACACACTTCCCGGTTGTAAATTGAGGGAAATGCTTTCCTGGCCTGTTTAGGCAACCAAAATCACACAAATTATGTATTAGAATATGCTCTTCATCGATAATGTATTTAATCCTACCTTACACACGTCAAACGCCTGATAATTGAAGAAGTATAAGAATTTTTCTGGAAACAATTTTTTTCCCCATGTGTAGATGCATTCTGGGTAATGATTGTGTAAAAGTAAAACTCTAGGTGAAGCGAAAAACGAAATTACAATAAATAACAGCAGCCATATTGAGATCGAGATTTCAACTCGAAAGTTTATCATCGTCTTATGACAATTGAATCGCCTTCTCAGACACCAAGGAGGGTGAAGAAACCGAAACAGATATGTTGGTAATAAATAATTACGATTTCGTTTTGGTTGCATGGTTTCACATTTAGACAGTATTCAGTGACCTTGAGTGACCTTGAGAACCATATTGGAAATTGGTTCAAACATATACGAAAATGATTACATTTCTTCAATTATCAAGTATTTCCTGTGTTTAAGGTAAGAGTTAATACATTCTAGTTGAAGCATTGGATCCATTATCTTATCTGTGTAACTTTTGTTGAGCATAGAGGGCAGAAAAGCATTTACCGCAATATACAGGGCTTAATATCCTCGACGCAAATGTTGAAAACAAAAATAAAAAACAAATATCCAAATCGTCAAAAAGAAACGTGAAACAACAACATTAAGTCGAGTTCACTTGACTACAATTCCTGTGGTAGTGGGTCAATAATTTTTTCTTGAAATCCCTTTGAGTGGATGACAATTTTTATGATCTCACTAGACGTGTTTGACAGCCCAGGTTCCCAAGAAGTGGCTACTGTGTAACTGTGAGAATGTGTTCTTCTTCTTAGTCCTTTTCAGTGTTCCTTATAAGGTGTTCCGGGATCACTTTGGCATTGTTATGCTGCCTTTGATTTACTCGAGTCTCTAGCTTACAGCTAGACGAAACTTCATTGATTTCGTATGTACTGTGCTACACGCACCCACACGCACCTAGAACTCATTTTTAATAAATTTTATAAATATTTTTAAGAATATTAATCATATTTAGGATGAAGCGTTGCTTGTCTGGATTTAGATATTTCAAAATTTCATTTCGGAGTTTCAACACATGGTGAAATTTTCTCGCTGTAGCTAAAAATGGCTTCCGGTTCTGGACGTGAATAACATTTGAAATTATTCTCGCTAAAGAAATCAAATATAACAATAGATTCAGACGGGGATGTGAGCTGGTGTTCTTCAAATCTATACATAAAGGTATATTTCATATTATTATGTCATATTTACTGTGCGTGTGACACAATGATTTACAATATTTATAATACTAAGGCAGCTCAATCTTCCTCCTCAAAGCCGGAATATAGAGAAGGCTTTGGACCGAAGTAACCTTTGATCACTTGTTGCTGTTTTTAAAACTCATGTACTAAAAATATCACTTGTACTTTTCACTTGTGCTTATTTTACTTCTGTTGGGAGAGAGAGCGCTAAAAAAATGATAAAAAAAATATTTGAAAAAACAAAAAGTATGGCTATAATTTTATTTTTAGGTCATAAAACATATTGGAGACTCTCAATTCGATATGAAATATGTTGACCTGAAACTTTTACTTACATATTTCATATTAAATGAAGTCCAGGGGTCAGTAGTACCTATTTGGACGACGATTTGTACGCTTTTCCAGTTTTTAACTTTTTCTATTTTTCTTTCTCGCCTCCTAATTTGGAGAGCTGCTCGAGTTAAGTGGTATTGCTCCACCATTGATTTGCCGGTTCACGATCTGCAACGAACTCCAATGCAGTGTCTCGGTATAGATATCACTGCACGGGAGTTCGGATCTGCACGTCGCTATTAACGTACCAAACCAGACCCGTTTTCCACCAAAGTTGATCCATCTTCTAGACCTACCACTACACGCGTCCACAAAGGAAGTAGAATTGCTTTTTGCATTAATGATGACAACATATTTCACAATGCCAAATCGAATCCCCCCTCCCCCAGATCCGCCAGTGGATTTTAAGATCCACCACATTTCAAGAGGAATTAATATCAGCTGAAATAATAGACAAGGTGCATTTTCATCTAGAGGAAATGTGGTAGGCGTTTAGTGTTAAAAGTGTTCTGACAAGTGTTTCTTATGTAACTTTTTATGCTGAATCCAAAAAACCATGTTGGCAAGCTGAAATATGATTATTTAACCCTTAAAATACCATGTTAGTCACCCTACCCCCAAAATTCACCCCTATCAGGGGGAAAAAATTCTTCAACCTAAAATAACTTTGATTTTATGGTTTTTGTAAGTGAAATACATGGACATTGTATAAAATAAACATTTAAAGTATGAATAATACGGATTACACTTAAGAAATTTGAATAAAAGCAAAAAGTATGTACCCCAGGGGGCAAATTTATGACCCATTTTTTACTTTTCGTGTCATAACTTTTTTATTAGACAATGTTGGATGCTAAAAAAATCCATGTAAAAGGCTTAATACCTGGTCTACTAATCCTGCAAGAATCAAAGTAATTCCTTTGACAATTGCCTTGAAAAGAATTAGTGAATTTAAGAAAAAATGACATTTTAGCTGGGACTGATTTTATGTGTGACTATAACTGACCCCTATTGCTTTAACATTTATCCCTCTGTGTTCATATATTTGGCATTTTAGAATAAATCTAAAATATAAAACTTATTTAAGCTAAGTTTTAGGAAGATTTAAGCTTTCTAGCATGTTCAAATATTAAAAATTAATGAAATATGATGTCTAAAATTGATAAGTTATAGGTATACCCTTGGAAGACCCCTATAATTTCTTATTTATGAACATATTTGTACCAATATTAGTTTTCTAGCTTAGACAAATAATGTATGATATATCCTGGCTTGGCTTTCTGGTGGTTTGAACAATCTTAGGTGTTATCATTGAAAAATCATTCTTAAATCATAGGTCTGCAATCGATTAAATTCAAGTATACCATTAGCCTAGTATCATTCTACTGGTACAGGGTGTAAAAAAAAACAGGACCGAAGAAAAGTTAGTTAACCTTGTCAATCCTGCATATTCTGCCTCAAAACTTCAGAATTATTCAGTTCATTCAATATGAATTTTGTTGTGAAAGTTTCATGATAATCTGCCTGTGGAGTCAAAAACTACAGCACTTTACAACATATGTCCAATGTGGCCACCTCTCCTCTACATGCACAATCAAATCTGGTGAAGGAAGTTGTTCAATTGTCCATGGCGTGACTAAAATCTATCTAGAGAAGTAAAACTAGTGTCAGACAAATTCTCAGATGTTCTTCAATTTTAAGTGGATAGCTTCATCAGAAGCTTTGCAATCCATGTATGTATGAGTAGGAGAGTCATCAACAGCTTCGTTGGCTGGAGTGGTGGCCACATGGGGCATGTGTTGTAAAATGCTGTAGTTTTTTTTACTTATAAACAGATTATCATTAAATGTTCACAACAAAATCCACATTAAGTGAAGTAAATAATTATTAAATATTAAAGCAAAATATACAAGATTGCCCAAAATAATCAACATGAACAAGCTATGATTTCATAGATTAGTTTGATGTATGACATATTCCGAGCTGACTCTCTGTTTTCTCTAAGAGGCTTAATCATTGAAAATCATTACAAATAAAGGTCTAAACAGACAGTATTAAGGTACACTATTAGAATACCCTAATTATTTCCAGGCTTAGAGTTTATTGGTACCTACTACTGTTTCATAGCTCGGAGGTTTAATATATGATATATCCTGACTAGTTTTTCTGCAGATTTGAACCAATGACAGGTCTAATCATTGATTATACTTCATATACTAGGTCTAAAATTGAAGTATTCAATAGAACCCTCTATGAAAATTCAAAAAAAGATTCAAAATGACATTAACCTCAACATTAGATCTGAATAAGGATTAAAATCCTTCATAGAGCTGAACAGGGAAGACAAGGCTAACTTCATTCTGGTGTTGATACATGGACCTGGTCCAAATCTTGCTATACTTCATCCAAGCCCAAAGAAAGGGAAATTAGGAGCTTCATCTCAATGCATTTCAATGCATGATCCCTTATTTCATGACCACCAAAATTATGGAAGGTGTGGTACAGTAAACTTAGAGGAAATGCACTAACTATTAGAATATAGTACCTGCTGCAGTTGAGCGAGGATTCTTGCATTGAACTATGTGGTAAAAGGCTCTACAAATTCAATCAACCAAGTTGATTGACCCCTATGCCAGTATGCTATTGGTTAGAAGGGTGGCAGAATTGTAGGCATAACACAAAGACAATATCTGCATTGAACAGATGGGCACCGGGGTATAATCTTAGGTCACACATGGGGAGTCCAAACAAGAATGATGTTTGGACTTGCGTTTTGAGATTCCATAGAGGGGGGGGGGTGGTAATTTGCAAATCAAAACAAGAATCTATGGATATATAAGCACAAATGCCAAAGGGAAGGGTGACTAAAAACATTAAAGAAACCCAACAAGAAAAGCAAACCGCAAGTGCAAATCTGTCATAAGAAAAGTAGACCCTATATATCCCAAAACCATAATCTAACGTGAAAAGAAACAATGTCTAACATCCCCCTCCCCCCTCCAATCGAGAACCAATATCACAATCCAGGACCAGAACACCAAGGGACATTTCATTCATACTGAAGTCATTACAATACATGTTGAAGAAAAATTGAAAAAATTGATAGCCAATACTCATAACAGCAAAAATAGTTGTAGATACTAGTACTCATAAAAGATAGAGTATTCAGTCTCTGGAAGAAGATAAAATATGTGACATGCTGCTGAAGTTTGGCATGTTTTCAGAAGATCCATTACTTAATCTCCAAAGTATATGTACAAAAGATGTACTCACAGAAACAATCAACAGGCTTGACAGTTTGGCCAACAACAACTGGATGTCTTTGTGTCTTAGAGGTTGACACCAACAGGGTCAAATGAAAGACACAACATTTCTTGTTCTACTGAGCAAGCACCAACATTTTTTAAACTATATGCCTAATCCCAATATAAACGAGCAGAAAGTTGTTAAGGCAGACAGGAATGTTTTGCAGAATCTTATCACTGCATATGAAGCTAACCACAGACCTGTGGGTATCAATGAAATCATGAAACACGAGCTGATGTCTTTTCCAATAGCCCTCTCATTGACGAATGAAACATTCAAGCCAACTCAAATGTACTCTACTCCTTAACTGTTTAACAAATGGTATTGAAATGCCAACCGTAATATTTCCAATATATGATCCTTCTTACAAATTAGCATCAATTGCATCTATATCTGAGGATTTGGCTACAGTCTTCAAGGAAGCAAAACTTCAGCAGTGAAGTGTACTGTGCCCCATCTTGCATACTTTTGGTGGTCATATTTCATGAAAAAGGGGATCATGCATTGAAATACATTGAGATGAAGCTCCCAATTTCCCTTTCTTTGGGCTATGGTGAAGCGTATCAAGATTTGGACCATGTCCATGTATTACTACCAGAATGAAAAGTAATCCTTGTCTTCCTTGTTCAGCTCTATGAAGGATTGTAATTCTGATTTACAAGAGTCATCCGAGATCACATCAATCAGTTGCTTTATTTGATTTCCAGATCCAATGTTCATTCTGAATCTTTTTTGAATTTCCCATATATGGTCCTATTGGATTTAAATTTCAAAAATTGCCACTCTGCAAAAACCCTCATTAACTGAAACATCCCTCTAATTCAAAATGTTGTCAAAGTGAGTATACGCCATTTGTCAAGAATTTGCCAAGAGTAACACAGAAAGGTTAATGGGGACAGTGGGGGGGGGGGGGTTTAATATGACTTAACATTGTTCAGGGAAGAAAACTCCATAAAATGAAGATTTGTATGAATCATTGGTACTTTTGCTCTCACGTCATGCAATTGTCAGGCTGCTTAGAATGAAATTAGCCTTGTCTTCCTAGTTCAGCTTTATGAAGAATTGTAATTCTGATTCAGATCCAGTGTTGAGGTTAATGTCATTCTGAATCTTTTTTGAATTTATCATAGAGGGTTCTATTGAATACTTCAATTTTAGACCTAGTATATTAAGTATATTCAATGATTAGACCTGTTAGGTGGTTCAAATCTGCAGAAAAACTAGTCAGAATATGTCATATATCAAACCTCCGAGCTATGAGACAGTAGTAAATACCAATATACTCTAAGCCTGGAATTAATAAGGGTGTTCTAATAGTCTACCTTAATACTGTCCGTTTAGGCCTTTATTTGTAATGGTTTTCAATGATTAAGCCTCTTAGATGGTTAAAATCACCAGAAAGTCAGCTTGGAATATGTCATGCATCAAACAACTAATCTATGAAATCATAGCTAGTTCAATTATGCTCATACCAGTAGAATGATACTAATGGTATACATGAATTTAATCGATTGCAGACCTGTGATTTAAGAATGAATTTTCAATGATAACACTTAAAAGATTGTTCAAACCACCAGAAAGCCAAGCCAGGATATATCATACATCATTTCTCTAAGCTAGAAAACTAATATTGGCACAAATATGTTCATAAATAAGAAATTATAAGGGTCTTCCAAGGGTATACATATTTTATATAACTTTTAGACATCATATTTCATGAATCTTTAATAGTTGAACATGATAAAAAGCTTAAATCTTCCTAAAACTTTGCTAAAATAAGTTTTATATTTTAGATTTATTCTAAAATGCTAAATATATGAACACAGAGGGATAAATGTTAAAGCAATAGGGGTCAGTTATAGTCACACATAAAATCAGTCCCAGCTAAAATGTCATTTTTTCTTAAATTCACTAATTTTTTTCAAGGCAATTATCAAAGGAATTACTTTGATTCTTGCAGGATTAGTAGACCAGGTATTATGCCTTTTACATGGATTTTTTTAGCATCCATCATTGTCTAATAAAAAAGTTATGACACGAAAAGTAAAAAATGGGTCATAAATTTGCCCCCTGGGGTACATACTTTTTGCTTTTATTCAAATTTCTTAAGGGTAATCCGTATCATTCATACTTCAAATGTTTATTTTATACAATGTCCATGTATTTCACTTACAAAAACCATAAAATCAAAGTTATTTTAGGTTGAAGAATTTTTTTCCCCTGATAGGGGTGAATTTTGGGGGTAGGGGGACTAACATGGTATTTTAAGGGTTAAATAATCATATTTCAGCTTGCCAACATGGTTTTTTGGATTCAGCATAAAAAGTTACATAAGAAACACTTGTCAGAACACTTTTAACACTAAACGCCTACCACATTTTACAGAGAGACCTTTTGCAGAAAAGCACCCGGTCTATAATGTTCATCCAGGTTTTTTTGGAGATAATAAAAACAGGCCCGTAGCCAGGATTTGCAAAGGGGGGTAGGGTTCAATTTTTTAGGGTCCATGTGCAGTATGGCAAGTGATTTTAGACAGTCATATCTTTCACCATGTGTATTTCCTGGGTATAAATACAAGCCAATTATGCGGTTTCGCACACCACTAAACCAGGCATTTAACACGACCAATTAATTATGGCGACATCTATTTTGATGGATTCAAACTACTCTGTGACTAACAATGATGACACGACCAGTGACGATGAAGCCAACAGTCAAATACCCCCTGGACAAAAAGCGTGGGAAGACTTGTATGACTTACTCACTGAATTACCCAAAGACGTCTACACGGAACGCCTTTTAGCCCAACCAGGAATATCAGTAGAGTCATTTCGAGATGCTTTATTCGAAAAAGCAATGTCCTTAAGGCCTGCGGATTGCCCCAGATTTAAACTTATTCAACGCAAAGGAGGAAAAAGCGAAGATAGACGCTACAAACTTGCGAGTGATTGCTTCACACTATACCAGTTCATAGAGGGAAATTCGACTGAAATTGCATCCGTGTTCAGCAAAACCCCCTTTAATCGAGACTCAACACAAGCGTCCCAAAACCCACTCACCCAGGATTCTGACGCACCGTCTACGCGATCACGTGCCCATGATACCACTTCATCACATTTCTCAATGATGGAAACTATGATGTCGCATATGCTTAACATTAAAGAGACGTGTAACGAAATGTCTAACACTCTGACTGATCAAAACAACAGAATTATTAAACTTCGAAAGGAAAACATGTCCCTCAGAGAAAAGGAGCAAGAACTACGCAACTCTGAATACAAAGCTAAAATAGAACTTAAGCTTTTACAAACGGTCGTGAATGAAAAAAACATAATCATAACTGAATTGAAAGACCAACTGTCTCGCTTTAAAAACATCGATGGTAAACTTGGAAACATTAACAAAACTGTCAACAAAATCCAAAGTAATACTGAAATAGAACATACTGCACATGTAGATCTCATTAATAGAGTACAGCACATGTTATCTACCATTCCTGCTATACCCCCTTCCCGAAGCAGGTACCTTTCGGATGCTTCTAATACCATTGAAGATACGACAAGTCAACGTCGCCTAAGTGAACCTGCCCTACTCCACGCCAACCAAGCTCCGTGTAAACCAGCCACGAAACCTACAACTCAAGGTGCTTCAAACGTTCCACAAGATAGCCCATCAGCAGAACAACTGAGTAACGACACAGAGTTTAACCATGGCCAACTCGAAGACTCGAATGACTCTGCTTACTCCCATGACCCTTTAAACAAGCATGAACAAACCGACAAGGCCCGTTGCTCTTCTGACGTCAATAAACCCGAAGAGGGCCAACATACAGTACGTTCCCTCCCCAAAGATACGCTGATACCCGTATCATCACCCAACTCCCATTTTCAACACGACAGAGCAACATCAACTAGAATGCATTCCAATTCGACCAGTGGTCCAAAAGGCCAGCCACAATCGCCTGATGATTACTCCCAGAAACGACGAATTACTTCACCCAAACATGTGCTTAATGGCATTTGGATGCGGGCAGTTAGAAGTCATGAGTCGTTGCAAGAACAAACCCCACCCACAAGCGCTGACGGATTCTGCGGTGTTCCCTTTAAAAAACGGCCGAAAGTCAAATGGTTTGTCCTATCACGATTGCAAGCAACTGATCTTACATTTAACGAGATTAAACACAAAATAATTTCATTCGCTCGTAAAAAACATGTGAACATAACATTTGTGAGATCTCTCAAGTATCATGAACAGACGCGATACAATCCTGCATGGTACACACTCAGAATAAATGTTGACGTTAGAGACTATAACTACATGCTAGATGATGACCAGTTCTGGCCATCACACATTCATTGCAGGGAATGGCAAACCAGAGACCTTAAAAGTGAATCCTATGATGGACCAGCACCCGACAAACTATGGGGGGATTAATCCCACTTTACACTATTTTATATTTGATTTATTGTCTCACATATTACGTAATGTCATTGACAACTCTTAAAATATTGTCATGGAATGTTCAAGGTATTATGCACGGCACACCATATCTGTGTGAAAAGCTTCGACTTATAGATATATGTATTCTTCAAGAACACTGGTTGTATCCAGACAACATTCAGTATATTAATTCTATTGATTCTGATTTTGACAGCGTTGCTGTATGTGATAATGATTTATCAATAGATTCTGCTAGAAGATATCGCGGTAAAGGCGGTGTAGCTATTTTGTTTCGCAAAAATCTCAAACAGATCTCTGTTTTAAATTACAATAGCGACAGGATTTGTGCGATACAGATTAGCTTTCCAGCTGAATTAGTATATTTAATAGGTGTATATCTTCCATGCAGTAATATTTCAATATTGACATATAAAGAATATTTATGCGAATTACAAAATATCTGTGATGAACTTTCTAGCAAGGGTACTGTTATACTCTGTGGTGACTTTAACTGCCATCTGTCCTCCAAATTAGGCCCAAGGCACATCGGTAAGATAAACGATCGAGGGAATTATGTTGAGCAATTTATAGAAAACTCAGGTTTTGTTTGTGTTAACATGCAGAGTCGAACCACAGGTCCTATTTATACATATTGTAGTAGTGACTATAGTCACAAGACATGTCTTGACTTCATCATGCTACCACAAACAAAGTATGACTTGGTTAAGAGTTGTGCAGTTATAGACGACCACGAACTCAACGTATCCAACCACAGCCCTATTTTTATGGAACTAAATGTAGCGCCGTTTGGCCACCTATTTAAGCTTTGCCCAGTTCCTATAACCAAATGGAATTTGGCAACTGCAAATGATATTTCTAACTACCGTAATCTGGTAAGAGATGGTCTCAAACATATTGATATAAAATCAGCAACATGTGAAAACGATATCTCAACTCTCACTGATGAAATAGCTATGTGCTTGAGAACATCTGCTGATAGAACTATTCCTAAGACAACTTTTAAACACTTCCTGAATCCTTTTTGGAAATACGGTAACGTTAAAAACCTACACAAATCTATGAAAATCGCAAGGTCTATATGGGTTAATCAAGGCAAAACAAGAGACGCTACCAATATATTCTTTAGGAATTATAAAAATGCCAAAAGATTATTTAGGAGCGAGCTCAGGAAAGCCAAATTAAACTATGAACGGGAAAACTTTTCTAAAATTGAACAAGCTGCTGAGCTTGAAATTGGCGATTTTTATAAATATGTTAGGAACTCTAAGAGGCTCAAAAAAGAGACCCATGAATTGCTAATAAACAATGAAATCATTCGTGATCCTGATGCTGTGCGTGAAGCTTGGGCAAACTATTATGAGCAATTGGGAACACCTGCTGAGTTTCCTCACTTTAACAATACATTTCAACAAGAAATTGAACGTGAATTTGCTCAATGTCAAAAAGATTCATATCATAATAGGGAAAACGCTCTCTCTTCACCCATTACATCACAAGACGTATATGACGTCATATCTGGATTTGCATGTGGTAAAGCACCCGGTTATGACCTTGTGTGCAATGAGCATTTTAAGCACGGTGGTAGCTTACTTATCAGGGTAATTACTGACTTATTCAACAAGATGATCAATCTTGAGTGTATACCCCCCAACCATAAGATTGGCACTATCATATCATTGCACAAAGGTAAGAAAAAAGACAAACGCTCTCAATCTAACTACCGTGGTTTAACTCTAACAACGGTGATTAGTAAAATCTGGGACTATATCATACTTGATCGAAATAAGTTTATTCTCGACAAAATGAATACACCCCATAGCTTACAATTTGCTACAAGTAAAGGAGGTGGCAGCCAAATGGCTACTTACGTCTTAAAGGAAACTTTTTTACATTTTAATGAACGAAACACCACCATATTCGCAGGGTTCCTAGATAATGTTCGGGCCTATGATTATCTCTGGAGAACAGGGCTTTTTGTGAAATTATTTCGATTAGGAATCAACTCAAAATCTTGGAGACTTATTGTCCAGAGTTATAGCAATACTACTGCAAGAGTTTTATATGATGGGAACTATTCTCGAGAATTCCTTGTCGATCAAGGATGTGGTCAAGGCCGAATTTGCTCATCGTGGTGGTTCATGATATTCATAGATGAGCTAATCTTAGAACTCTGCGAATCTCCATATGGTGCACGTTTAGCTAATGATCTTATTATACCTGCTGTTCTGGTAGCAGATGATACAACAGTATTGTCTAGTACTCCCAATGGGTTACAGCATCTATTAGATATTGTGTTTACCTATAGTTGTAAGTGGCGTCTAGTCTACCACTCTGGCTTACAAGAACCATGTAAAAGTGCCATTATAATCTTTGGAAAGAGTATTCTTACATCCGAAATACCATACTGGAACTTGGGTGGAGAACCTTTGCCAACCAAGTCACAAGTGACTTATGTTGGAAACACTTTAGACAAGAAATTAACCTCGAAACCTAATACAACAGATGCATGTATTAAGGCTAGGAAAATATTTAACTCTCTGTGTGGTATTGGAATGTATAAATACGGGCTTAACCCAATCACAAGTTCTTACATTTGGAAGCGTTTTATAATGCCTTCAGCATTCTATGGTGCCGAGTTATGGTACGACATATCCAAAACAGAAATGAATGAAATGGAAATTGCTCAAAAATACGTTGTGAAGCGCTTTCAAGGTTTTGAAAAGAGAACACCTAGTGTAATGGCTATTAGCAGTATGGGAATATGGACAATAAGTTCCTTTATCAGTAAAATGAAATTCCTTTTTCTAGGGAGATTGTTAAGATCCAATAGGAATTCAACACAAAAACAAATGTTTTTATGTAGGCTCAGTAGCTTAATATCTAGAGATTGTCAATTTAAAGTGAACAAAGGCTTTTTACAAGACCTTAAAAATCTAAACCTTCCTGCCTTGTTTGAAACAATTACAAACTACATTGACCATGGCATATACATTCAGAGCAAGGATATCTGGAAATTTGTTGTTATAGAAGAAATTCAAACTCAACAAAAACGTCAATGGGCACATGATTTAAGCCAAGATTCTAAATACCTCAGGTTTGCTAACACCCACGTAGACTATGAGCCAATTATTCATTGGAAACTTGGGATAATGGATCCCTCCAGATTATGGGAATATGCCCAATTATTATATCTCATGGTACTCTCTACTGAAGAAGAGCAGTATTGCCTAGCCTGTGCCAAAACAACAAACGACATTGTAAAACACTTCATTTTAGAATGTTCATCTCTAAGTGCAACAAGAGATATATTTTTTGAAAAGATTGTTAATCTTCTACCTGTTGAAGACTCAATTAACATCTTAAACTCTGACGATGATGTCTTAGTAGAATGTTTATTGGGTAGTCGCACAGATGTACTACAGAATTACGATTTTGCTGAATGCACCCTATGCAGACAGAGCCTGTGGGAAATATTGGGTGCGGCGCAAATGAGCGGAGGGTGCGGAGCTAACGGTCATTTTTGAATTTAAAATTGGGATATTTCTGGAACTAAGCCGTTTTGGGACTTCAAATATACCAAGATATGTGTATTTGACACCAAATATCAATAAAATTGTGAAAATAGTAGTGCAATTCATTTTATAGCGACGCAGTATGCCTTAAACATTTCCCAGACCTATATATTTTGAGACTATCCTTTGAATACTGCGTCCCCAGCATTCATAAAAAATGGTGTTCAAGATACACTACCCATGCAAATTTTTTTTGCATCTTGGAAGCCAGGCAGTATCTGTGTGATTTTATAAAAATTCGAAAATGTTCTTCAGATATGAGCCCCTCTAAATATTGGGTGCGGAGCTACGTTTATGGAGCTGCTCCGCACCCAATATTTAGAGGGGCTCATATCTGAAGAACATTTCCGAATTTTTATAAAATCACACAGATACTGCCTGGCTTCCAAGATGCAAAAATAATTTGTAAAGATAGTGCACCTTGAACACCATTTTTTATGAATGCTGGGGACTCAGTATTAAAAGGATAATTTCAAAATATATAGGTCTGGGAAGGGTTTAAGGCACACTGCGTCGCTATAGAATGAATTGCGCTACTATTTTCACAATTGTATTGATATTTGGTGTCAAATACACATATCTTGGTATAT